TACTTTCGCCTTGAACGATTACACTATTGCTCCGTTTGATAAAATGTTTCATTTGGCAGTATTAGTAGATATCCCCACTCTACCGTCCGATTAGCCTCCTCATGTCTCTAAGCAAACTCTACGAGCGTCTTTCTACAATTGCCACAAGGACTTTATTTCATCCAAGGGATTTTTTATCGATGAACAATTAGGATTCCGTTCGAAACACTCATATGTACAACAGGTGTACCGCCTCACGTACCACATTCTCGTAGGGCTTAATCGACGTAAATACCCTCTTCGGCCAAATCCCTACCTTGGGAAAGGAAGGTCAAGTACCTGGGAGTTATCTTGGATGCATCCATGACATTGCGCTTGCACATTAAGTCTGTACGACCGCACCGCGATCATCTTGGCAAGCTTTACCCCATGATTTATAAGCGGAGTAAAATATCCCTTCGGAACAAGATGACGCTTTACAAAACTTGCATACTATACAACCCATTATGACATACGCGAGTGTAGTTTGTTTACGTAACCCGCACCCACATAGACACTCTCCAAACCCTCCAATCACGTTTTTGCAGGTTAGCCATCTCAGAACCGTGGTTCGTGAGGAACGTTGGCCTACAGGACGATCTAAGCCTCGAATCGATCAGAAAACACCTGAAGTCAGCCTCGGAATAGTACTCCAATAAGGCCGTGCGTCATGATAATCGCCTCACCGTTGCCGCCGCTGACTACTCCCCGACTCTGGCTCACGCAGGATCAAATCGCCGTCGACGCTCTAGACACGTCTTTACGGATCCATCAGATCCAATAACTCTAGGCTTAGGGAGTCCGGTAACTGTACTCGTCGAACTCGGCAAAGAGTTCGACATGCAACCTAACCCATACGTCAGCCCGTTGAAGTTCTCGCCGGATCTTCTCAGCGGGTCACGATTCCGATCCGGTAGTAGATTTAAATACTGGAACAGCTACCCTTGAGTCGTTAGGTCTCATTCGGAAGCGTTCGGACAGCTGTTAACAAGGCTGAGCCCGTGCTCGCCTACCTGTCCTGATGACACTGGAAAGGCCACCGGGCCACCAGTAATCCTTCCTTCCTAAAAAAAACCAAACTCCACTTTTCTGCTTTAACTATAAGCAAATTAACAACAGTAATAACATTAAAACGGAGCTGACCGAGATGTTCACCGTCTTAACTCAATTTTTTTTCTAACTTCAATTCTTAAAAATTGATTCCAATACAGTGTCGAACATAATGTAATTAAGAATTTACGGGCGGCACTGAAAATTTCGGGAATTAACGAAGTGACACAACATTACTATTTAAAAATGTATTTATTGCTTTTCGAAGTATTCTCCGCGAAATTTGACACATTTTTCCATACGATGGAACCAATCATTGAAGCAACCATTCCATTCGGAAGTTGGGGTTCTCCAAAATGGCCGTTTTGTAGGCGTCCACAGCTTCTTCAGGTGATGAAAATCTCTGTCCACGCAATTTATTCTTTATTTTAGGGAAAGTATAGAAATCATTAGGGCTTAGGTCGGGGCTGTACGGCGGATGGTCTAATAATTCTATGTTTTTTTGCTCTAAAAACTCTTTTGTTCTGTGCGCGGTGTGAGAACTCGCATTGTCGTGATGGAGGATGATGCGGCGGCTGCAGTTCTCTTTACGGAGTTCAGAAACGACCTGTGGCAAACAAATGCTAGCATACCATTCTGCATTAACCGTTCTTTGTCCGTCAAGGGGAATAGTCGTAACATGGCCGGTTTTGAAGACAAACGTGGCCACCATTTTTTTGCAACACTCCGTGAACGAACAATTTTTGTTGGCTTTAACTCATTTTCAAACACCCAAACTCGTGACTGGTTTTTTGTTTCGGTTTCGTACGCGTATATCCAGGATTCGTCACCTGATACAATGTTGTATACCTACAGCATTTGAGGATCCTGCGTGGAATCTTTTGAGAGTTCTGACGCACCAAGTAACGCGAGCCGCTTTTTGGTCTTCACAGAGCGAATGCGGTATCCATCGGGAAAACAACTTTTTTACACCTAATTGTTCATGCAAGATTATTTGTATTTGACTCATGCCAATGTCTAAAGTTGCCGGAATTTCGCGGTATGTCACATGTCGATCTTCCTCAATCAGCTTACGCACAGCATCAACGTTTTCTTGGGTGACTGCAGTTTTTGGACGACCTTGACGGGGATCATCACTGAGCTTGACACGTCCACGAAACTCAGCAAACCAGCAATAAATTGTGGTTTTGGATGGGGCTTCATCACCAAATGCAGAAATCATCCGGTCAACACACTGTTTTTGTGTTAAACCACTTCGAAAGTCATAATAAATCATCGCTTTTGAATTTTCTAGAGTCAATTCCATTTTCTCAACGACTAAACAACTTTGACAAAACCTCGTGACAAGACCGAGAATCTTTTTTTAAATAAATAAATGGTATTCGATTTTTAAAACCAAGGAGTTTTCAATTAAAAGATTTTAATATGACAGGAACAGTGGAAATATTCCATTCCCGATACTTTTAGTGCAGCCTAGTATTCATTTCTATAACGAAGTGATAATGTAGGTACTTCAGTTCAAGGGGGATAAAATGTTGACTTCTATCTTATGTCATAAGATGGGAGAAGGCCCATACGTTTTCATGTCAATTGGCTCCGGTAACGACTTAACACCGGTGGGTCGTGTGTTCATGGAATAAAAAACAAAAGCCAAAAACAAAGTATGCAGTACAAAAGAAAACACATTACCTACGTTTTAATTTATAATCCATTTAGCAGATTGCTGTTAATCCAAGCTAGCTTGTTATCGTATTTGAAGTCATAAAACTATTCGATGACGTTTCTCATACGTAAATCTATAGGTATGTTACACTGATAAAGTGGATTACCTGTAGCACTTTTACCAGCAATGATAAAAAAAAACGTGTTCGACACGTTTGTTTTTTAAAGCTTCAATAAAATTTAAGGGAAGCCTTTTGCCGGTGACTGAAGAGTGGGCTTCCCTGAAACCGTGTGCATTTATGAAAAAATTAGCTTCTCTAAAAAGGGTAACCAATTCAAATTTTATCACTATGAATAATGTATGTATATATTAACCATTAATTAGGTAACCATACGTGTATGATACGTACGATACGATCTCCAAGTGTGCCAAAATTCCCGATAAATCATATCAAACACGCGACTTGTGATAATTATTTGAAACTTAGAGAATTGTTGAAAATTAAAATAGCAAACGCAAATTAATTATACCTACCTATATGAATTATCGTGATTATTATACGAAAATTTTGATATGAAAATTATCACGTTTATGAACTTGAAAATGATAAGAGTACATACATACATATATCGGGATCATGTTTATTTACTTCTGAATAAATGCTTGTTATCGGTTTAATTCATTGTTACAAGGATGTTGTGACCCGGCACCATATGTTGCTGTCCTGCTTAACTTTGCAGCGAGGTAATCACGCGCTTCATACTGTTTGAAGAGTATCTCAATAATAATGATAATGTAGTTAATGATTCGTCTTCATATCTTAAGGGACGCATCAGAAAAAATAATTAAAATAGTATGTAGTTACTTTAATATAAGATGGTCGTTCCGGATACCACGAGTAGGCAGAGCATACTGTTACTGCCAATCCACGCTGTTTAAAATGGTTTATAGCACTATGGTCGTATAATATTACTATGGTACGAGGGGATGACCGCGCTTTGCTCGGTATTTTTATTTTATTTTTATAAATTGTGTTTTTTAGAAATTATATTTAAATACGAATTACATATTGATATTATATTAAATTATTTGCGTTATTTGTTAATTTTTGTCAATAAAAAAAAAAGTTTATGTTTAAGTTGATTATCGATAAAGTTGATTATTGAAAACACGAATAAAACAACATTTTCCGAAAATAAATAGTAACTAGATCGATTTATTGCCGCCGAAACCCCCTGTATACTAAATTTTATGAAAATCGTTGGAGCCGTTTCCGACATTCAGATTATATATATATATTTATAAAAATTGCTCGTTTAAAGATATATGATTTTAAAACAATGTTAATAGTAGAGCCGTCGCTAGTATTTTAACAGAATTCGAAGTTAATATGATTTGATAACATGTATACAATAATACAATTCGATGTGAACCAATCGATTTATTGGAAAGTAAAACTTGCAAATGCTTTTATTTAATTAGTTCAACATACAACATATTTTAGATCAATAAATTAAAAAAACTGCTAAATAAAGAAATACAAAATAACACGTAAGACAAATGCTCTGTTTTTTTGGAATTTTCTTCCATAACAGTTGCCACTCTTAGTCCCAAAGGTTCAACGCTTTCTAATAGTAACGTATCCATAGCTGCGTAAGCTTCATGTACTACACGCTGTAACATCAGAATAATGTATCTTATTTCATTATTATTTCTAGAATATTTGGAAGAAATTGAAGTACTTAATTATTTTAATACGAATCTATAGATAAAGTATCTATCCAACACCAAGCTCTGTTTCATTATACGCAAAATTATAATTTGCGTAATTACTGGTGGTAGGACCTCTTGTGAGTCCGCGCGGGTGGGTACCACCGCCCTGCCGATTTCCGCCGTGAAGCAGTAATGCGTCTCGGCTTGAAGGGTGGGGCAGCCATTGTAACTATACTGAGACCTTAGAACTTACATCTCAAGGTGGGTGGCGCATTTACGTTGTAGATGTCTATGGGCTTCAGTAACCACTTAACACCAGGTGGGCTGTGAGCTCGTCCACCCACCTAAGCAATAAAAAAAAATAAAAAAACGTATCATTGAATTTGCTTGTTTCAAAGTTTGAGCTACAGGTGGTAGGAGTTGTTTAAATGCTATTATATAAACAGATATTCCAACTTCTTAGAAAAGCAAAGATGGCAGAAAATCCATATTGATGTTATGATTCTATAAATGATAGAATAAAATTTAAATTAGTTACGATTAAGCATGTACTGACCTCAGTCGCAAGTTTAGAATTGTAGGCATCATTTGGTCGAAACATCATAATTGTGTATGTATTATCAATACCGAGGTGACCATCCACCCAGTCTTCTATACCGCCCGCATATAGAGCTGCACATAAATAAGCTCTATCAAAATGTTACAATTTTATACAAGCGCTTATTTATCAAACATGTCTTTAGGTAAAATTGTTGGTATTCACGGGGTGTCAGGAACCAAAATTTAAGTATATGATGTAATATGTTGTAATAAATAATATTATATTTTCATAGCTGTTGATTCGATGAATTAAGTGGCCACATTGATGATGGACATGACGTAGATATGATGTGAACTATGTAGTATTCGTTACACATTGAAATAATCAAAATTGTAATGATTTTTAAATTAGGTTTCGCAATTTCACTCGAACTAGTTTTAATGAATAAGATAAATTTTATCAAACATGTGTTTATGTAAAATTGTTGGTATTCACGGGGTGTCGAGAACCAAAATTTAAGCATAGCTTTTTCATAACTGTAGAATCGATGAATTAAGTGACTACATTGATGATGAACATGACATAGATATGATGTGAACTAGTATTCACTACACATTGAAATAATCAAAATTGTAATGATTTTTAAATTAGGTTTTGCGATTTCACACGAATTATTTTTAATGAATAAGATAAACATAATTTATTTTACATGGCTCATGCTCTGTTGTGTTTTTTTTACTAATACATATATGAAAAGTGGAAACTTTAATAAATAGTCGTCCCACAGAAACAGCGCATAAAATATTTTCGGGATTTACAGATATTATAGTGCACAGATGGGTCCATCATCCTATCCATTACTGTCGCGATGCATTAATGCGTTCTGATTTCAAGGATGGGAGACAGCCACTATGCAATACTATTGAAACATCGACATTAAGTGTCAAGGTGGGTGGCCGTCATTTTGGTTGCTGGTTCCAATAACCATTTAATCCCACGTAGGCTGTAAGTTCAGCCACATACATATCAACAACATCTGTTCTATACCGGCAAAGTACTATATTACTTTAAAATCTTCTAATCTTTTTAATTAATAAGTGAAGCAAAAACTTTGTACCCCTTTTTACGAAAATTGCGCGGACGGAGGAGTGTGAAATTTTCCACACTTATAGAGAATATAGGGAAGGAGTGCAGAATGCTAATATTTTTAAAAAAATATGCATAAAATATACATTATATTAATAAAAAAAACATTACACACACTATCATGTATTTGACACAGCACACATATATAAATAACTACCCTTCGTTTATTGTCAAACTTTTGTTATTGTTTAAAGTCTGTGGTGAAATTGAGAATAGATATTAATATTGTTTGTCTATTATTATTTGTCGATAGTGTAAGCTTGGCGAAATCTGCAATTATAGAAGTATTGTCTTTGAAAATAGAACCATAATAATGTTCAAACTTATAATTTCAGTTAATCATAGTCGAATTTCGACTACTGTGGGACGACTAGTTATAATTTAGTAAATAATAAATAAAGTATACAAACGTAGAAACTCAGAAGTTTGTCCTGCGAGATATGGTCGGCCGCTTATACTGGAGGCAGCCGCTGCAGCACGTGATGCCCGCTGTCTCTAAGTAATATTAGTGTAAAATTATACTTTCTATCAAATTTTTGCATTTTCATTTTTCAATAACCACCTGTTTAGTTCAACCTATGTAAACAGTGAATAAATAAATGATGTTGATCAACTGCCAGTTTCTGATTAGCATTATTGTACCCTTGTAGTTTAAATATATGGTCAATGAAGACAGACTTTGCTGTTAATAGTTACAGCCATTCGTTGTAATGTAAGCCGAGCTGCTACTTCTCTGTAATACTTGTACATAGTACATTTCTTTATTTCAATACATAGAAAGGTAGTTCACATTTTTAAATTCAGTGACGCCGCAAAAATCATCTCTGAATTTCGCTTGTTATCGTTACATCCTGATGTTCTGATCTGATTTACAACTTTTCATTACGGTTTTCAGTTTCTCTGAAATTCATATGTACCTTTTTTCTCCTATCTAATCACTGATAGCCTAAGGGGCTATACCAGCTACGCCCGGGTCAGTAGGAGAGCTTACAGGCTCAACCAGAGAATAACAACCAATACTGGTCCTAGCACGAGCAGTGCTTCGCTGTGTCTACCGTCGAATCGCAATAGCGACTAATTGAGAATATCCGGCCCATTGAGAAGATCCGACCCATGGAGGAGATCCGGAAGAAACTCAGTGAGTTGTGTCTATAAGTTAGGTTGCACTCTTCGAAGAGTTCGACGAGAGCGGATGTATGTATCAGACACGTGTTCAGGATTGCCCACTGTTGGTATCCTATTAGTAATTGATTTACATTGCTAATGATATTGGCATCGCGACGCTTAGATATGAACGAAAACATTCGTTTGATTGAAAAAAGTATAAATTTTATCATAAAACTAGCGACCCGCCCTCGCTTCGCTTCGGAAACATTAAAACACACATGAAACCAAAAAAATAAAAAATAAAAAAAAAATTAAAAAACGTAGCCTATGTTCATCAGGGACAGTGTCGGCTTCTAATGGAAAAAGAATTTTTCAAATCGGTCCAGTAGTTTCGGAGCCTATTCGAAACAAACAAACAAACAAATCTTTCCTCTTTATAATATTAGTATAGATATAGATAAAAATAAATAAAAAACTAACGTAGATGTGATCGAACGTCCGTTTCTTTCTAGTATGAGAGTACGGATACATCACACCCTGAAAAAATATGTTTTAAAAGACATTATTTGTAAGAGGAAATAAACATTAACTTATCACAAACGGAACATAATAACATTTTATTGTTATACTTACTAGAACTTCCCCTTCTTTGAACGCAATGAATGTAAATAGTTGCGTTGTTTGTTGATGTAAATAATGTGTTAGCGCTCGAGTCTCGGCTTCACTCAGTTGCCTGAATCCAGCATATAGCTTACCGCATGGATGTTCGGAGCGAAGTTCCTCCGCTAATAGAAACATTTATTTAGTTGTACATATTTCATCCCAATGATTTAATTTCAATACATAGGTATGTGTGATGTTTATTTTTCATGACAAAAGCTTATCGGGACCTTAGTCTTAGGAATACTTGATCTTACATTGCTTTATTACGGATTCGCAAATTTAAACACAATAATGTGAATATTGTAATCTTCTATCTATATATATAAAAATGAATTGGTGTTCGTTAATCTCGCTAAAACTCGAGAACGGCTGGACCGATTTGGCTAATTTTGGTCTTGAATTATTCGTGGAAGTCCAGGGAAGGTTTAAAAGGTGAGAAAATATAAAAAAGCTTGGAATTATATAAAAACAAACAATTTTGTTTTTCCTTTGATGTGTCCCCTTGATGTGTCTTTTATTTATCGATTGAGGCACTACGAAGTCTGCCGGGTCAGCTAGTTTATAATATTTCATTCCGGTTTAAGTTTTGAAAATTTCTTTCATATAAATACACAATCTGTCAACTAACCCGGTATCCATTGATATTCAAAGTTTCTATCGAGGTTTACACCATAACATGATTGGACCGTGCATCTCAATCCGTAACTTTCACAGGCATAGCAAGACTCTCGTCCTATACACGTATTCCAAGTTTGTTTTAAATTTTTAGTCCACTCTCTTCTCTGAACAATGAAAACAAAATACATTAAAATAAAAATTAATAATTATATGAACAATAACAATTGTAACTCATCATTAAAATAATTCAGTAATAAAAACTCTTCACTTAACTCACATGTGGAAAAGTCATTGAATAGTCGTAGCCGTCAGGATTGAAAACTGGTATTATCCAGAAACGAAATCTGGACAAGAGATCCGAATGAGCTTCAGTTCGCTCTATTAATTGATAGAGCACGTACAAAGCCGTCGAGACCGCGTGATGATCTCTGCCTTGTATGCCTGTTTAATTCAACCCACAAAATTATAATTTATGTAATTACTGTTGATAGGACCTCATGTGAGTCCACACGGGTAGGTACCACCACCATGCGTATTTCAGCCGTGAAGCAGTAATCTGTTTCGGTTTGAAGGGTAGGGCAGCCGTTGTAACTATACCGAGACCTTAGAACTCATGTCTCAAGGTGGAGGCGTTTACGTTGTAGATATCTATGGGCTCCGGTAACCACTTAACACCAGCTGGGCTGTGAGCTGGTTCACCCATCTAAGCAATAAAAAAAATTCTCATTAAGCAAGTTAACTTTCAGTGCAAATCAAAAGAAATCGAAGATCTCAAAATACACACCCGCAATAATTAGAACAATCTTTTTTGCAGAGACAATTTGACCGCTGCTAGGGTCATCAACCATCACCAAAAATATTTTATTTTCCATTGCTGTTAAGTTCCCGCTGGTGATATCAATGAGTTTGACAAGGGGACTCGTCTCTGCCCAGGTTTTCAACTGCGAAACTATCTAAAACATATTTAAATATAATTGTTTACACTGTGTACCAGACAAACAATTTATGATTAGAATTTTAAAACGAAGATTACTTCAGGAAGCGTCCGTGGCGAATCGAAACTTTGATTCCTTAATTTGATCAAATTACATACTTTATTACGCTCCCTATCCGAATATTTTCGAGCAGAGAGACTGTTTTCTAACAAATTGTCATTGATACCATTCTTATTGATAGGTAAATCAGAATCAGAGTTCATATAAATGTCTGGCTTAGTCTGGTATTCTTTATCAATGGGGCTGATGGAATTTTGAATATCATCATAATTATACATTATATCATCGTATTTCCTAGTTCTAGTAGGTTTATCATCGTAATCAGGATTACGTAATTTAGTCACGTGGTTAGAGTCATGTTCGGCGTTAGCTCCAGAGTTTTTGTTTTCTTCCTCGTCTTTTATTGATTCTGGTGTATTTTTTGTTGCATGAAATATCGATTCTTCTGCATCAATAAATTCATATTGATTCGAAGTTGACCGCTGCGGAATATTTTGCTCTTCGTATCTTCTTCCCGTCTCTGTAGTCTGATCGTCAGCAAATAGGTCATTTTCATTCCCAGTTGTAGTTCTGGTCGGGACAATTATTTTCGGAAGCGGTATGGTCCGAGTGGGACCACGAGTTGTTCTATGAATATCCTTAAAAATGTTAAAAAAACCTTTTTTAAACTATTAAAATTTAAAAGGTAATTAACAATTTTCAAAACATGATTATAAATAATTACATGGAAGTCCATAGATGGTGGTAAGACTGGTGAGATGGTTGAACGAGTTGCGAAGGCGACAGATGTCACCGCGGCATATTGCTGTGATAATACACCAGGTGTACGTGATAGAAATTGAGGGCCAGCAGGGGGACTGTCATCGCGATTCAAATTTTTCCTTTGACCATAATTAGCTTAAAGAAAAAATAACTTTTACAAATATAATACCAACACGAAATTGAATTCCATAAATAGCAAAATATTGTTATTTCCAACCTTGTAATTGTTTTGGAGGAAAGTTTTTTTCCGTTAGCTGCTTTGGACGGACGGGCGCAAGGTAAAGATCATCATTAATATGTTCAATCGGAATAGTGGTCGGTAGTACAAAACGAGTGTAGTCTTTTGATGACATCATAAAAGGATTCGAGCTTGTTTTTTGGGATACCATTGCTCCGCCTATAATTATTTTTTCTTTTCCTTTTGTAATCGGTTCTATATTAACAGCTATGACTTCTTTCGCCTTCGACGTAGAAATATCATCGTCAAAAATTTTAACTATAAACTCGGAGGATGTTTCCGAATTCACACGCCATCTTGTGTATTCAATTGGAGCTCTCTTGATCCTTTTGACTGCAAACACGACTGAAGGTAAAACATCACGAACATTATAGTGACTCGCAGTTAAGTGGAGTATTTACTGGTACTTACATGCAACGGGACATGCAGGATACAAGTTGTATTCTGTTAAATTTGAATCACAGCTAATAGTACTTATGAAAATACAAATCAATAACACTGTTAAAATCCAAGTTCCCATAGTAAGGAAAATATTGAGACCATTATTATTAAATTTCAATGACATTGATGTCAACGTCTCAAATGTAAAGAATATTAGCCAGAGCTATGGTTTGTAAGCATTAGCCTATTTTAAACTAGTAAGCTCTTGGTGACCTTATAAAATTTCAACAACTATCCTAAATTAGGAAAGGTAGTCGAAACAAAGTCTTGTTTTTCCTTAACAAAACCAAAAATAAGGTAAAATAAGGTGGAAACGTAGATCGTTCGTTAGAAGAATAGTAAGTAAACCTTATTCTGTGAATGCATTCAAAGACAATACACAATCACTACGTTTTAGCGTCATTAAATTACTCTGAAGTTATTGTATTTGTGGACAAACTTTGCGTTTTGCAGTTTTACATATATTTTGGGCTGTAATTTAGACCATGCTCTTACAGTTCAAGGTTTACTTGATTTCTATTATTTACTTTTTAGGCATCTTGTTTATGATCTTATTTCCTCCGAGAAACTTTAGACAGTGAGTAAATTATTTTTATTTTAATCTTGAACACAATGATCTGTACAGTTCTAGTTCGCGAAACATCAGTATGGATTTTTAAATTGAGGAAAGGTATCCACAATAGATTAAAATATAACAGATTTGATATAAACAGTAACGAGTAAAGTAATGAGTTTTCCTTCTTCAAACGAGCCTTGTGGAGAGTACGTAACAGTAGGCAGTGGCTTGGCTCTGCCCCTGGCATTGCTGAAGTTCATGGGCGACGGTAAACACGCACCATCAGGTGGGCCGTGTGCTCGTCTGCCTATAAGGGCAATAAAAAATAATAACAATATAAATTGTAAATTAATTTAAATTATTAATCTTCACGACTAATTTGAAGTTTGATGTTAAAATTGAAATACTCATCTATTTCAGATCAGGTGCAAAAATACGTAAAATTAGAAGCACACCGAATGTACTAAAATACCCAAATTATGTCGACCCCAAAGCCCTTTTGTCAATAGCATCACAATTTTCAAATGACGAGTCAGAGGTTGTTCGGACAGTTTTATTGACCCCAAACACTTATGAAAATCGTTCAATCGTTGCTATTGAATTACGAAGCGACAAACAAAGCAAAAAGCCTGGTGTGCTTGTTATTGGAGGTAATATACACAGTTTTGTGACACACCACTTGTAAACATAACCGTGTGGTTAGTGCGAGTTTTTTAACGTTCTCGATAGCGTAAAAGTTAGTTCATATTTGTATGGAATGGGATCGTTTGCGTACGATTGCCGCTAGGGGCGCTGTTCCAACTGCATACAAAATTGGGCTAACTTTTACGCTATCGAGAACATTAAAAAACTGGCACTAAGCACACTGATCTATATCCATCCGTGTTCATGCACCGTCCTGCCTATTTCTAACGCGAAGAAGTCATGCATTCCAATTTAAAGGGTAAGAGTACTTTTTTTTATCGCTTAGATGGGTGGACGAGCTCACGGCCCACCTGGTGTTAAGTGGTTACCGAAGCCTATAGAATCTACAACGTAAATGCCGCCACCCACCTTGAGACATGAGTTGTAAGGTCTCACTTTTAACAGTACAACGGCTGCCCCGCCCCTAAAACCGAAACGCATTACTGCTTCACGGCAGAAATAAGCAGAGTGGTGGTACCTACCCGTGCGGTCTCACAAGAGGTCCTGCCACCTGGCTGCTCGACAATACATTTAAGATTTCGACCTCATGACTAAGCGTGGGTGTTGGCATTCTCGTTGTGATGTCCATTGGCTCCGGTAAACGTTTAACTTCAGGGGACCGTTTGATCGTTGAGCCAATTTTCATTTATTCAATTACTAGCGACCCGCCCTCGCTTCGCTTCGGAAATTGTAATTTATTATTGATTTCTCCACTATTTAATGGATGTTATTATTTATATATATAAACCTTCCTCTTCAATCACTCTATCTATTAAAAAAAAAACGCATCAAAATCTGTTGCGTAGTTTTAAAGATTTAAGCATACATAAGGACAGATATAGGGACAGAGAAAGCGACTTTGTTTTATACTATGTAGTGATTTGAATAAATAAAGATTGCCCTAAGCTGCCCTATTTCTGCCGTGAAGCAGTAATGTGTTTCGGTTTGAAGGGCGGGGCAGCCGTTGTAACTATACTGAGACCTTAGAACTTATATCTCAAGGTGGATGGCGCATTTGCGTTGAAGATGTCTATGGGCTCCAGTAACTACTTAACAACAGGTGGGCTGTGAGCTCGTCTACACATCTAAGTAATAAAAATAAAAAAAAGTTCTTCGAATGTTGATATTCGGGCAGAAGAATTTAAAATTATGAATGTTCAAACAATTAAAATTTGGCTACGGAGATTTAGTCACGCTACAATCTATCAATAATGTTGTTATGGGTTTAACAAAAAATAAATATTAAATGTCTTGTAAATTTCAAAATTCAAATTGTGTTTTAGAGTAATCAAAATTTAATTGATATCAATTTTATTTTAAAACCACAATAGAATTAGAAACGTGAGCTACATAAGGAAAAAGAATCGTTTCATGTATGTAGGTACTTACATTTATTTATTCGCATTTGTTATTATTGATGTAAATGTTTTAGCATTAAATGGGATGGCCTGGGGTGCATTGAATGCGATTCTCGAATTGGCTGATAAACTGCTATTCGACGCTAACTACCAAACTCCGTTTTTCAATGACTATGATTGGTTAGTAAAACGTTTATTTAATTTTAAATTTTATATTCAATATAGTAAAAACTATTATGCTCGATATCAACACAGCCTGGATCTCAAAATCCTCAAATACATTGTCTGCTACTGGTGTCGGGTACGGATGCGTGAAAACTCACGGAAATTTAATAGATATGTGTAGTTGTTTATTTTCTATCTTGTTTCTTTCGGCTGAAAAACATTAATGTATTCCAATTTAAAGAACCATTATTCTAAAAAAACCAAGAGCTCAACCTAGTCTCGAAGTGTTCTGTCCACATTTAATGTTGGTTTGTATAGCAATATAGTGAAAGAGCCGACGGCTCCTATATGCAATTTGAAAAACTACATATAAATATGTAGTCGATGTATGGACGAGTTTTCGGTTCTTCTGGTGTTAAATACGTACTGGAATTTCCAGACAAACTAGCGAGAATATCATCACCTTCCTTGAGACATGTGATCGAAGTCTCAATTTTATTGTCTAACAGCTGTCCGACCTTTCGAAGCGGAAACTAGTTTGTGGATTATGAGTGTACCTGCACATCTAAGAAAATTATTGAAATAAAATTTATAGGAGAAGCTCTAATAGCATTTAATTAAGATTCTGATGAACATGGCAGATGCCTAATACCCGCTAAATAATATTGAGACGTAGATAATACCTAAATAATGTAATTAATAGATATAGTAACCGGCAAACTTCGTGAGCAAATGACCTTGACTGCGCAGAACCGAATTTTAGATCACTTTGGTGGTGAGGGTGAGGCGCGACGGCAGGGGAAATCGTATCGAGCGCATTATTGGTAGATCAGTCGAACCTTGCGTCCCGCACCGCGCCCTCGTTCCGCTTGCTCCCAAAAGTACGCTTGCGTACAGTAAAAAGTCTATCGTTATTAATCGTTAAGTTATTTGTTATAATTGCTTGTTGACTTTGTTGCCATTGCTATATGTTGAGTGTTTGTTGATTTTTTATAAAAAATACACTATAGCGTAGTATTCAAAAGAAAGGGTAGAAAATTTGTGTACGACGTATATTGCTTCATTATAAAACAGGAGAAGAATGATATGGAAAAAGTAAAACAGACTTTGGAAGCAAGAAAAACATCAGTGAGTACTGCTAGGTGCATTATTAACGAAGCTAAAGACTCTGGCTTGCTCGCCGTGTTTCGGACTCCGGGTAAGAAAAGATCAGGGAAGAAAAAAGTTACCGGAATGGATAGTTTCATTCAATCTGTAATAAAAAGATGTAATCATAATAACTACATAACAAGCAGCGAAACTCCATATCGTAGAAAGGCTTCGAAAATTTTTAAGAAGATATAAATTTTAATGGCTCGGAATGAAGAATGATGGAAAAAAAAAACAGAAAGTAATCGGAAGCTGGTAATTGAAAAAAGTAACATTCGATTACTACGAATCGAATATCTTCAAAAAATAATTAATTATAGACAAAAAAGAAGATCGAACCGACCGAGTTGTAAACTACACCGATGAGCCCTATGTCGACTCATCACGATGATAGCGACTCGGGTGATGAAAACATTGATGATGATGCTGGTCAAGATTATGATAACGAAAAAAAAATTACAAATACCAGCTTCGCTTCAACTGAACCAAGACCTGGCAACAGCTCTAGTTTTGACTTAATAGAAGGAATATCTATTTTACCCCAAGATTAAATTATTACAATTATTAACCTATATTAAATACATAATATGTTGATTTTAATAATTTAATAGCATTATGACGCAGAGTAANTAGTTTTGACTTAATAGAAGGAATATCTATTTTACCCCAAGATTAAATTATTACAATTATTAACCTATATTAAATACATAATATGTTGATTTTAATAATTTAATAGCATTATGACGCAGAGTAAATATTGTTTTTGCACGTGAGTGTACCATGCGCGAACTTACCCCCACTACGTCGACAAATGCTCAAGAAGTTTGCCGGCTATTATACTGAGTAGTACATTTTAATGCGTAAAAATCACGCAGTCGAACAAGAATATTAAATTCTAAAACTAGATTATCGGATTGATACAAGTATGTATGTCATTGGAAAGAAAGGTCAATTTACGATAAAAAGTTCTTTAGCACACCGCATAAAGTTTTTTTTTTATTGCTTAGATGGGTGGACGAGCTCACAGCCCACCTGGTGTTAAGTGGTTACTGGAGCCCATAGACATCCACAACGTAAATGCGTTACCCACCTTGAGATATAAGTTCTAAGGTCTCAAGTATATTTTTTCGTATTGAAATAGGTACTTGATCCCAACGGCCAATCCCGACGGAATACAATTCACCCAAGATATACGTTCTCGACAACCTTTGGAAATCAGCCAATGGTCACGTAATTTGACGGCCAGATCAAAGACTAGACCGGTAGAGTGGCACAAAAATGTAGACAAGGATTTAGAGAAGGACACGTGCTTTGGAACGAATATAAATCGCAATTTTGCTTATCACTGGCAAGGTAAGACGTAGTATATTTGAAAGTACTGCTTGGACTGTGACTATCAATAAAATTGCGCAAATGCAGCTATTTGGATGTATTGATAAATTTATATTTTCATGGTCAAGTAGGTATAAATGATTAATTTCAATGTGATAGTTAAATGCCATTCTTTACCTAATTGTTATCGATTAATAAATGTATTGTTTTATAAAGTTTTGTAAAAAACCTTTATTCTGCAGACGATGTCCACAAGAAACCAGACTTATGTTCTCAGTCATATCCGGGGTCCAGGCCGTTCTCAACGGCAGAGTCTCAGGCTATTCGAACATACTTAGATGGTCTCGGCGAATCAATACAACTGGCAATACATCTGCATGCCAGTTTCTTGCCGAAAAAGGTTGTTGTCATTGTTCCGAATTGGTCTGGTAAAGTAGAATTTGTGGGAATTATATCACGCAAATATGTAATTACACCGAGGCCACTTTTTGTACGACAATTACAACGTAATTCAATGTAATAAAGCATAATTTCAGGAATATATACTATATCCGTGGCGGTACTCACTTCGGCAACCAAGCAATTATCGTGCATTACAAGAAATAGGGGAATATGCAGCTCGTCAGGCACGTTTACCTGACGGACGTCTTTATCAGGTATAGTAATCATAGTATATAAATCTAATTTTTTTTATGATAGCAATTAGATATTATTCATATCATTTCCTTTATTTCACCGTCCTATCGCGCAAAGGAAAATCGACAACTTTATTGCCTTGGTTATATTGTGTCTGGAATGTTTTTATCGGAATGGCATTTGGCGGGCAATGGTGGTCACTCACACGCATCTACTCTAATAAATCCGAGTTTCTCGTCATCAACCTCTTCATTTAGTTGTGCGCTATTCACCATTGTTAGGAACGATTAAGCGAAACAACTGCAATTCTGACAAAAAAATATATATTTTATGAAATACAATAGACAAAAAAGTTTTTTTTTTTTTAATTTATTAAGTTGTATCCAAATATACTACATACTTGAATTCGAGGCTCAAAATAAAAAAGTTTACAAGTTTTTGCTGTGCCTGAATGGTACAGTAATCTATATAGCAGCTGCAAGGAGTGGGGTGTTTTAAGATTTAGCGGCTGAACTTATAAGGTTTGCTGCCCTATAAATTAATGCAAAAATTTAAACTTTGAAATACGAAAATAAAATGCTTTGCTGTGGGCTGAAAATGTTGGTAACAATGAAAATACTAAATTCAATCAATCACACTTAATCAAAACGAGTTTTTTGATAGGGATTTATTTTATTTTAATATGATGGTCAAATTAAAGCTGACAGCGAAATGATTCGGTTTGCGCTTTGCAGCTGTGCGCGAATTCATGCAAAAACGATTCAAAGTAATGTAAGTTTATAGTTGAAATTATCAAATTGGTTTTAGGAGGTTGAATATTTTTTATTGTTTAGAAGCGGTAAGCGGAACTCAGACATGAAAAAAAAAAATGCCTTAGACATGAAAAATTCCGCCACCCCCCATCTTGAGACCCGAGTTCTAAATCTCAGTAATGCGAAATTCTTTAGTGCTTCACGCTAGAGACCAGCGGGATAATTGCTCAAGTAGCCGTGTGGGCTCACAAGACACCATTAAATTAGTACCAGACCAGTACTTAAAGTTTTATTTTTAATGTTGTTATTAGACCCACTATGTACTACTACTACCGAAATTCAAAAACATATACAAAAGTTTCGTTAAGTAAATCATGCATATTGTATTGTATGTAGCATTTGTATTATATTTTACTTGTTTTAGGTTCATCAAGGCAGCAACGACGCACGTGTCGCGGGAACGCTCAGCGATTACATGTCTGGAGTTGTCGGCATCGATTTAGTTTTCATTATAAAGCCCTATCATGAGCCGTTTCCGAATTATACAGATACCAGCTTACTGGGTTAGCAAATACTATAAAAAAACCTTTCCCGCGTATTGTAAGTTCGTTAGTGATGTAATCGTCGTGATCCAATAGATATGAGGTCCGTATTATTTACACGATAGAACCGTACCAATGTTCCCGCACAGGTATCAATTTTTCGTATCAATAATCGTACCAAATGCATGTTCGTGAATAAAAACGTGTCGAAGGAACAATAAATAAAACTGCATAAATTATGATTTTTTTTTATGATGGTTGCTTCTGGCTATCGCCATCATTCATTCGGTTCGGTATGAAAGGCGGGACAGCGGTTTTCCAATACAATACAATAGACACTTCGACTTTGTGTGTTTAGGGGTGTGGCGGGATTCACGTTGCTATGTCTATGGTCTCCAGTAAACACTCAACGTCAACTAGACGCACTTTGTGCAATAAAAAAGAATCATTTCAAACTAAATACTTTTTTTTAGATTTTCACATAGACTTTTAAGTTGTGCAGTGTAAGAAATACAGTTTCGAGACCGCGAAGACACGACAAGGAACTCAGTTTGATAGTTTTTTTTTTTTAAATACAGTTAGCTGTAGAGATATTTTCTTAAAAGACTATTGCTATAGAAAATAGTTGTCACTCGTGTATTACAATATATTATTGGTTTTTTTTTCACAGAAACATACGTCAGGAAATCGATAACGACCATCCTGAGCGTGGTTCGTGGATGGCGGAGCAGCACCAAACAAAACACACTGTCGTTTTTCGGCAAAGACGTCGAATTCTGAACTGCCATCTTAAACACAATTAATACTCATTAATATTGAATAGAAAATATTTATTTCTTATTTATATATCGACGCTTGTAAGGCAAACGTGACTAAGCGACAATAACTGCTTTGTACATAATTTATGATAGGCAATAACCATATTCGATGCGCAAAAAAAAGATATCTCTAGGTCTATTAAAATCATTTCAATCCTACAGCTAGATTCGTTAAAATATAATTTTTTTCAAAGGTATTTCAACATTAAATTAGTCTACTGTAAAGTTCACGCATTGTCGCTTAGTCACGTTTGCCTTTCCAGCGTCGAATTATGCATTCAAAAAATCGCGAATTTGTATTTTTTTTATTATGAGCATACGTTAAGGTTTATTATTGTTGTATGTTAGAACAACAACAAAAAAAAAACAACAATAACAAATTTGGTCAACAGTTCTTGTTTAATTTCTCTCGAATGAAAAATAAATAATAGTAAACGTACATAAAACTATACGATGAGCAATTTACACTATTTACATTAATAAAAGGCCAATATCAACTGTTCAGAGCGGAGTGAGCGACGTTTCGTCTTAAAATCGTTTCATCTATTTCCCAATTTTTTGATAAAGCGACAAGTGAATCTACAAGTGACGTCTGTTTTATGCTGTTCTCGCTGAGATCAGTTATGTGGATCAGGTTAATCTTCAATGAGACTTGATGCAAGTGCTGTAATCTTTTAAAGAGCGCCCCCTTCAGCAGTTCGTTCACAGTTCGCCGCCAGTACTTCAAGTTCCTTCCGATCAATGCGGTTATGTGTTCCCTGATTTCCTTCAGACACTTGTTCTTTTCTATGTTAGTCTGCAACAATAAATTTACCATAATATAATTTTTTTTTCTTTTTTTCTTTGATGGTTGGATGAGCTCACAGCCCACCTGGTGTTAAGTGGTTACCCGAGCCCATAGACACCTACAATGTAAATGCGCCACCCACCTTGAGATATGAGTTCTAAGGTCTCAGTATAGTTACAACGGCTGCCCCGCCCTTCAAACCGAAACGCATTACTGCTTCACGGCTGAAACAGGCAGGGTGGCGGTACCTACCCGTGCGGACTCACAAGAGGTCCTACCACCAGTTAATAATATACGTAAGTTTCGTTATCAATGTTTCCGAACTAGCCTGTACAAAAGAGTGTTCTGGGGATATTCTTGAGATGACAGGGAGTAGAGTGCATCCCTACAGTATGCTTAGTGAGAGTTTTTTAACGTTCTCTATAGCGTAAAAGTTAGCCCAATTTTGTTTGCAGTTGGAACAGCGCCCCTAGCGGCAAACGTACGCGAACGATCCCATTCCATACAAATATGAGCTAACTTTTACGCTATCGAGAACGTTAAAAGACTCGCACTAAACACACTGGCGACAACTTGAACCGCTGCATTAATCGACCGCTTATTTATTTATTGCTTAGATAGGTGGACGAGCTCACGGACCTACTTGTATTATGTGGTTACCAAATCCCATAGACATATACAACGTAAATGCCGTCACCTACCTTGTGACAAAAATTCTCAGTTTTAACAGTAGTTGTAAATCATCGTTTTTGTCAATCAAACAATACGAGATTATTTCGTTTTTTTAGGCGCCTTTATGGCACACCTGGTGTTTATTGGACCATAGACATTACCGTGTAAATGCCACCACAGACTCGCGATGAGCGCGAAGGCATACAACATTGACTATTACAGCTGTCCTACCCTTTAAACTGGAATGCACAATTACTGCGCGGCAGAAATATGCTAGATCAGTGTTTCCCAGACTTTTTTGTGCCATAACCCACTGTACCATTCCAAAAAAATTTATACATAATTTTTAACATTAAACAATTGATTTGTTCACATAAGAAACATGAATTACATGTTTTAAGAGAAATCACTATGAAATTGTTATCAAAACGCAATAATTGATATTTCAAAACATAATAAAAAACTGAAATTGAAATTAAAAATATTTTTTATATTAATTTAGTGCGATTGTCCCCTTAATTATCAAATTACCCCCTTGTAGGGCGTGGGTCCCACGTTGGAAGACACCGGGCTAAATAGTACATACACGTGCGGGTTACGTTTTTTTTTTTATTTTACCGTGGGCATGTGTAGAGGTCAGAGCTCATCCAAACAATTTTTGTTGCGAAGTTACTTTGTGTAACTATTTGACCAAATAGTTTTTATTCCAATGCAATAAATGACCTTTTGTCGAAAAGAGCGCGTTGATATTCACAGCATAATAATCACCACCGTATCATGCATAGGTAATCTAGATCCGAATAATCATTTAATTCAGAAAGTGATATTTTTATTCTACGTACAATGTTATCGTAAAGTCTTCATCAGTTAGGTAATACCCGTTTTTTTTCTTTAGCATGTTAATCATTTTTTCAGTTTGAAAACAATATACACTATCGTTCATAAGTTTGGATGCACCTATATTATTTTTACGGATTTGAGACCCGTGAGCTCACCTTCTTACCCGGAGAATCTAGTATTACCCCTCGAGGTTAGTACTTAGTAGAATAGGTACGAAAAAAATAATCAAATAAGTGTATACGGAGTGTTAGGAGACCGCTTCTGGATACAAAAATTTTGTACCTACAAAGTTGTAAATTTTAGGGAACGCGGTATCAGCGCCGCGCCGTTGTGCGTGTGAGAAGAAACGCCGCGCCCGGGCGTTCATTGATCCGAGCATCAGCTGTTTTTGATTTTGTTTTTCATTGCTGTTTTTTTTTTTGTAAAGTAATTGCTGTATTTTTTATGAAACTATCGTTTCATTTAGCTGCACTGACATGATGGAGCGTGAATAATGCTAATAAAAAGTTTTAAAATATGTTTTTTTTTATTTATTTAAATCAGGATCGATTTTTTTCCGTGCCAACATCGAAAGGTGTCGTTAGTACTATCGTCTGTCTTCGTTTTCGGTAGCGGTCTCCTAACATCCAGTATGTACTTACAGCGACGGTTGCGCAGAGCGCTAGTGCGAGTCGCGCGTGTATGGGGGCGGGGCGCGTCCGCAGCGCCAGTGCGGCCACACCGCCCGCGCACACCCGCTGTGTTGCGGGATACACCGCGCTCTCTGCCTCTACTCTGTTGCTGTAACAAAATCGCACTTTAACCTAGTCTTTATTTGTTATAGACAAAATGATTAAATTTTCTAAATTTGTGGGTTATGAAAATTTACAAAATCCTTCATTAAAAATAAAATATAGGATAGGTAAGTAATATGTTACTGCCATCTAGAGGAGCAATGAGAAACTAATCGAAGCGAAGCCTAGTGGCTGACGCCCGTCAAATTTTTTGTTAAGTGCTTGGGTTGCTTATTTTATGTGTATTATCTATGGTGAGCGCGGCGGTCCTGCGCAGGCGACTTTTTGGCGGGAACGCGAGGAGCGAAGCTGCGTGAATTATTTTATTTTGTCTATTATAGTTTCTTCAAGTTTAAATGTGTAATAACGGTGGTTTATTAACTGTTTAGAATTTGTGAAAGTGCACAATTGTGGGAAAATGAAACAAAGCCGCTGAACATATCTTCTCGGGATCCTCCAAAAAGTCCACTGAAAAAGTGTCAGTAAATTACTACCATTTTACTGAGATTATATTTCATCACATATCATCTCATTTGTAAATTTAATTCGTTTTTAATCATTTATATTATGTCGCGATTAGTTTTCTTCGTTTTTTATTATTCATAAACTGTAAATAATTAAAACAGTAAACTGTAAAAATCTTATTACTTAACGCTGGCTAATGCACAAACCGTGCCGGAGCCAAAACATAAAGAAGAAGAACTTTAACACTTAGGAGTAAGATCTTTATCGCGGCTCCAAATGGATCCGTACCGTATATATGGATACAAAATAACATTTTTTACAATTTTTGTGTCTGTCTGTCTGTTTGTTCCGGCTAATCTCTGGAACAGCTGGACTGATTTTGACTGGACTTTCACTGACAGGCAGCTGATGATATAAGGAATAACTTGAGCTACTTTTTTAGACTAGCTTCGCCCCGCGGCGTGACCCGCGTTATGACAATAACCGCGGGTAAGATCGAGGGACTCAACTATCAATAATAAAATTTAATGTTTCCGAAGCAAAGCGAGGGCGGGTCGGTAGTTAATAATACGCACCTGTCGGCGGAGAACACGAATATAGTGGGGTACTTGTCGACGGTGTAGTGGTAGGGCAGGTCGTGCCGCAGCGCGTCCAGGCGGGCGGCGCGCGCGGCCAGCCCGCACGCACGCAGCAGCCGCACGCCCTCCGCCACGGCGCGGCTCGTCACCGCACCGCACGCGCCGCCGCAGATCGCCACCACCGTCACCTGCGCAGGTTTTTTAAAGAATTTTATGACCTGGTAACTAAGACCTTTAGGTCAAGTCCTATTTTAATTTTAATGAAACAAAATTTTATATGACTATACTGAGACCTTAGAACTTATGTCTCAAGGTGGGTGGCGCCGATAGACATCTACAACGTAGATTGTAGATGTCTATCGGCTCCAGTCACCACTTAACACCAGGTGTGCTGTGAGCCACACACCACCCATCTAAGCAATTAAAAAAATTAAAGTAAATTGGTGGTCATTTACTGATACTTTTTCAGCGGACTTTTTGGAGAATCCCGAGTAGTTACGTCCAGCGGTTTTGTTTAATTTTCCCACATTTTTGCACTTTCACAGATACTAAACAGTTAATAAACCACCGTTATTACACATTTAAACCTAAAGAAACACTAAATAGACGAAACAAAACAAATCACACAACTTCACTCCTCGCGTTCCCGCCAAAAAGTCAACTGCGCAGGATCGCCGCGCTCACCATAGATAATACACATAAATTAGTTATAGATAAGCAACTTAAGCACTCAACAAAAATTTTTACGGGCGTCGGCCACTAGGTGGCTTCGCTTCAATTAGTTTCTCATTGCTCCTGTAGATGGCAGTAACTATTACTTACCTATCATATATTTTATTTTTAATGAAGGATTTTGTAAATATTCATAATCCACAAATTTAGAAAATTTAATCATTTTGTCTATAACAAATAAAGACTAGTATGAATTTTTTTTCTGTGTTTAGTCATACAATAATTAAATGACTTAATTTTAACAACCTATAAGTTTAGGGGTATCCACAACAAGATGTCGATAGTTTCCATACAAAAAAAATGTGTGCGTGTACTAGTGTACACACGTAAGAAGTGAAACTTGTTTATGGCCTTATTTTTCGAAAAATGATCTACATGCAACTTTCTAGAAATTGGTTAAATAAAGTTAAATTAGATAAAGTTTAAACAAAAGGATTTTATTATCATAGACATGAATACAAATAATACAATTATTTCACTTTACCTTTTTGCTNGCTGCGATAGACGACTGGCCGCGCAGATTGAAGGCCTGTATTCAAAATCACGGAGGTCATTTTGAATAAACTTTAGTGTCATAAGAATCTATGTTTTGTTAAGTTCATTTTGGTATATGAATGGTTACATAATGAATAAACTTGTTTCAATTATTTTACATTAAACATGTGACAGAATTTATGACCTGACTAGGTATATACTGACGTTTAAGATAATAATTCCAGTAATTTTCAATTGCTAATTAAAACTAAAATGTATCTCAAAAGTTAATATTTTAAATTTTACACTGCTTTAGAAAATAATCAGTTTTTTATTTCCTGAACATTTTACATTTTCAGAAATGTGCCCTTTTCAAAATTGCATATTCAATTAATTAGCATATTATTTGACTTCAAGTCTTATATTATCGGGCCCGCCGCTGGGCGTTTCACCGCCGCCCCTTTTTTACCCTCCTGCTTACCCTACTAGACTCTTAAGAGGGGAAGTTGATGTCGGATAAATTATCGACTTGAAAATTCCGCCCTATGCAGTGCGTTTCCATCCCCGGCGGGCCTGCATATTACATTTAATAACAATATGGTCCTATTTTTGCAGCAAAAGAATTGTGCATTAACGTTTGAATGGTGTTTTACAATAAATATCCCTCATGGACACAGCCTACTGAGTTTCTCGCCAGATCTTCTCAGTGGGACGCGATTCTGATACGGTGGTAGATTCTGTGAAGCACCTTGCTAGGGCTAATGTTAGGCTTAGTGCTCCCAGGTTGAGCCCCGTGAGCTTGCCTATTCGTCCAGACATAGCTGGAATAGCCTCTTAGATTTTTTTTATTTTTTTTATTGCCCTTGTAGGCAGACGAACATACGGCCCACCTGACAGTGAGTGGTTACCGTCGCCCATGGACTTCAACAATGCTCGGGGCAGAGCCAAGCTCCCGCTACTTACAAGAGAATAGGTAGGGAAAAAAGTACGATCTCAAGTTGAGTATTTCTAACAACGGAGTCGAAGAAAATAATTTATATAGGACCTTATCAAATATTGTATAAAAACCTTACTAGGAATATGTACCTTACTATCCAATATAACGGCCGAAGTCATGTCCTTTTTATTCGTTATGTTCACGCCGAGCGATTCGGCGAAATGATGATTTCGTATGCTGTCAACAGCCAATATGTACAGGCTAAAGTTATTCGCGCACGACATTCCTTCTATACGAGTTACATTACGTTCTTCCTCGGGATCCATTGAGAAATATAATGGCGGACTGTGACCGTTTGCAAACTTCATTAATCTACAGAAATGTTTCACGTTGTCTTGTACGAGATTTTCTGGCGATAAAGGATCATCTTCGTCCGGGAGCATTGATGTTGGTACTCTGAAATTTAAATTTACTTTTTTTTTATTTACATCTATGTTTTTTTTTCCTACCTAAGCTGATAGCCTTGAGAGGCTATATCAGCGTAACCTTAACTAGTAGGTGAGCTCACGGGGCTCAAACCTGACGACGTTGCTAACACGAACCCCAGCAAGAGCCGTGCTTCGCAGAATCTACCACCGGATCGGAAACGCGACCCACTGAGAAGATCCGGCGAGAAACTCAGTGGGCTGTGTCTGAGGGTTAATTTACTCGTCGAGCCCTTCGTCACAAGCGACGGGTTCGACGAGAACGATGACCGGAGCCATCAATGCAGTCATATGTGTCTTATAATTGAATATTTATAATATTTCTGCCACGAAACAGTCCTAAGTTCAGATTTGAAAGATAGGACAACGATTATCTAATACAGTTCAGACTCGTGCCTCGTGTCTGAAGGTGGGTGGAGCCCACGTTGCACTCCGGATTGCCTTCAAGCACGGGGAATGACTCACAGTAAATTTACATAAATAAATAAATATAAGGTTTAAAAATTTTCAAATATTTTTTGTATGCTAGCTACAGTATGCTTTCTTGTATGTATGCTACCAATACACTACATATTTTTATAGACTTGATTATAGCACATTTATACCTCTAATGGATAATCGAGAATATACTAGGCTGCACTAAAAGTATCGGGAATGGAATATTTCTACTGTTCCTGTCATATTAAAATCTTTTTAATTGAAAACTCCTTGGTTTTAAAAATCGAATACCATTTATTTATTTTAAAAAAGATTCTCGGTCTCGTCACGAGGTTTTGTCAAACTTGTTTAGTCGTTGAGAAAATGGAATTGACTCGAGAAAATTCAAGAGCGATGATTTATTATGACTTTCGAAGTGGTTTAACACAAAAACAGTGTGTTGACCGGATGATTTCTGCATTTGGTGATGAAGCCCCATCCAAAACCACAATTTATCGCTGGTTTGCTGAGTTTCAACGTGGACGTGTCAAGCTCAGTGATGATCCCCGTCAAGGTCGTCCAAAAACTGCAGTCACCCAAGAAAACGTTGATGCTGTGCGTAAGCTGATTGAGGAAGATCGACATGTGACATACCGCGAAATTCAGGCAACTTTAGACATTGGCATGAGTCAAATACAAATAATCTTGCATGAACAATTAGGTGTAAAAAAGTTGTTTTCCCGATGGATACCGCATTCGCTCTGTGAAGAGCAAAAAGCGGCTCGCGTTACTTGGTGCGTCAGAACTCTCGAAAGATTCCACGCAGGATCCTCAAATGCTGTATACAACATTGTATCAGGTGACGAATCCTGGATATACGCGTACGAACCCGAAACAAAAAACCAGTCACGAGTTTGGGTGTTCGAAAATGAGTTAAAGCCAACAAAAATTGTTCGTTCACGGAGTGTTGCAAAAAAAATGGTGGCCACGTTTGTCTCCAAAACCGGCCATGTTACGACTATTCCTCTTGAGGGACAAAGAACGGTTAATGCAGAATGGTATGCTAGCATTTGTTTGCCACAGGTCGTTTCTGAACTCCGTAAAGAGAACTGCAACCGCCGCATCATCCTCCATCACGACAATGCGAGTTCTCACACCGCGCACAGAATAAAAGAGTTTTTAGAGCAAGAAAACATAGAATTATTAGACCATCCACCGTACAGCCCCGACCTAAGCCCTAATGATTTCTATACTTTCCCTAAAATAAAGAATAAATTACGTGGACAGAGATTTTCATCACCTGAAAAAGCTGTGGACGCCTACAAAACGGCCATTTTGGAGACCCCAACTTCCGATGGAATGGTTGCTTCAATGATTGGTTCCATCGTATGGAAAAATGTGTCAAATTTTGCGGAGAATACTTCGAAAAGCAATAAATACATTTTTAAATAGTAATGTTGTGTCACTTCGTTAATTCCCGAAATTTTCAGTGCCGCCCTCGTAGTTACTAACGTGTTGCGTTTCGATTTGAAGGGTTGGGCAGCTGTTGTAACTATACTGAGACCTTAGAACCTTATATCTCAAGGTGGGTGGCGGCATTTACAGTATAGATGTCTATGGGCTCCGGTAACCACTTAGCACCAGGTGGGCTGGTTGTGAGCTCGTCCTCCCATCTAAGCCTCACCTCATTCAACCGCATATTACCTCATTATAACAAAAAATTTATATATCCAAAAAATAAAAATAAAAAGTAAATGTTAGGGTGGACAACCATTATCACTTAGGGGTATGAAAAATAGATAGTAGCCGATTCTCAGAGGTACTGAACATGCATATGAAATTAATAAAAATCGGTCAAACCGTTTCAAAGGAGTATGGTAAATTACATTGTAACACGATAATTTTATATATAAGATAAAACGGTAAAACAGTTTTATATTTAAAACAAATACATATAAGATTTATGATATTATTAAAACTGTTTAATTTTTTTTTAAATTTTACTTAGTAATTAATACTTACCGCTCTAAGTTTTCGTCTATTTCTTCATCACAATTAAAAATATCTTCGTTCGACTGACACTGTTCGTGGGTTCCGTAGAAACTTTTGTCTGCCGTCGACATCATGCTCGGACTGCACTCGTGCAACATTCCCAACGAGCTAAACAAGTGGTGATCGTCCCCGCTGTTCGCAGCTTTGGTAATATCAAGACCGCGTTTTCCGAGGAAACTGAACGCGTTCCCTCTCTGGGGATTCTGTGTTGTATTCGTCCACGGATACTTGTAGTTATGCGACTGGATGTCCTTCCGGTGGTAACTATTCGATTTTGTTAGACGTCTCTTAAATTTGTACTCTTCACAAAATTTCGTAAAGTTTTTCTGCTGATATAAAATACGTTGTATATGTTGTAGTTTAATTAGTTCCGTTGTCCATGAACCGCTGTAGTTTCTGTTGTTGCAGTTGTAATATTCCATGGCCACCTCGCGTAACTGTAATACGATGACAAATAATATCATTGTCAATCAGAATTTCGATAACATACTTAAATAGAGATGCGTTTTTTTTATTGCTTAGATGGGTGGACGAGCTCACTGCCCACCGGGTGTTAAGTGGTTACCGGAGCCCATAGACATCTACGACGTAAATGCCCCACCGACCTTGAGATATAAGTTCTAAGGTCTCAGTGTAATTGAAACAGCTGCCCCACCCTTCAAACCGAAACGCATTACTGCTTCACGGCAGAAAGAGGCAGGGCGGTGGTACCTACCCGTGCGGACTCACAAGAGGTCCTACCACCAGTAATATTTAAGAATATTAATTTAATCTTGAAAATATATAATTAAGTACAATATTAAATTAATATTTTAAAAACAACTTCTACTGTTTACATCAGCATTCATTTTACAACTTTATGTAACACTTGTATCCACACAGACTGTATGGATACTTAAAAAATGACTTTGTTCGCAATATTATAACTCACCAAAGCATATGAGGGCTGCTGTTCATACAAAGGATTCATTGGAGTAAACAATATCAAAATCGGATTTCCATCAACATATCTTCCGAAACTGAACGACTTCTTCCACATGGGAATAATTCTCGCCACTGGTTGTGCAAAATTCTCCAATACCCAATTCATGAGACTTGATTCATTCCATACTTGAATATTAGCATCTTCCGAAATGTATTCCTAGAAAATTCATTACAAAATATTATGAGGCCGTCAGCGCAAAAGTGGCCTGAGCCTATCTTAGTTAGCATGGAGATATAGAAATTTGAATCTACTTTGACATTACTTCGTAGGCAAAGTAAAACGCGCAAAAATTAATGTTTACAAAGCCATCTGTTATCTATCGCTAAAACTAGGGATAGGCTGGCTTAGCATCAAACTTTATTGTTTTCAAATAAATTGCAATAGGTATATATGTATAAGCACGAATATGAAAAATTTTAGGTTAGGCCATTTTTGCGCTGACGGTCTCATATTCATTTACTATGCATTACATATGCATATACTAAATATGCATTTTGCTTTATAGCTTTCAGATTATATTAAGTAAATAAAGTCGAATTTTGAGAAGATGGTGCAAACAATACATATATGCATACTCGTATACGTAATTTGTGAAGAGTGTCAAATAAAATATTCAAAATATTAATTTGCCACTATATTTTTTTTACCTTTGTATCATTCCACAACATCAACCGTGCATTAGGAACGATATCTACACCAAGATCGGCCGATAGATCTTCAGATGTTACCGCTGCAAAGCATATTTCTCCTACAGTATCATATTCCCGAATTTTAAGGGCAACATTGTACCATATGTTGTAATATTTTGATGTATCTGCTAATGGAGTGTAGCCCACTGCTACTGCCTGTAAAAAACTCTTTATCGTAATTTATCGTTCTACAAAACAACAGTCAAACCATAATAACCACCTGTAGTTTGGAATTGGTCAATTAACCTCATATATTTTATTGTTATTTTAACAGTTCACTTGTAACTGTTATTTTTATTACTTTTTGCACACACTTTATAAACAAGTAAAAAAAGTTAAATTTTACGTACAAAATACGACCGAAATCAGATTAAAATAGAATATAGAAGATGAGAATATTATTGGTTTATATTATTATAATATTATTGGTTATATTATTAATAGTTTCTTTTTTTTCCACAGGAGAAAATGGCCGTAAAAATTAAAAACTCCTGCCGCTCACAGCCGGCGCCCTACCCCGGACCGGGCCGAAGCCCAATCGGGGCTATTGAGACGGCCGGACAGGGTTGACGCAGAGCATATTACATCCATCCCGCCGATCTTTATTTGTTATATCTCAAGGAGGGTGGCGCATTTACGTTGTAGATGTCTATGGGCTCCTGTAACCACTTAACACCAGGTGGGCTGTGAGCTCGTCCACTCTTCTAAGCAATAAAAAAAAAGTTTAACAATTTTTAGGTTCAGTAGTCAACTAGTTACTTATTTAGGCCCTAAAGCAGGACTGGACAATATTATCTCTTCAAGACATAAATTATATCAAGAAATCTAATTACTGAAGTATTTAAATCGAAATGAACGTGAATCGTTCAATTTTACTATTTTTATAACCTAAGTCCTATCAGTCACAAAATCCTACCCTACAAAATGAAAGACAGTGAGCAGATAAGGTCAAGTCTCATGGAATTTTATAAGGTTACCAAAGCGTAAATAAGGGAGCCCCCGTTGAGGGATAAGATTGAAGACTTAACTAAACTAGTAAAACATTTACCAGCCACCAACCAACCAACGGTAGATGCTGAGGCCAGGATCCAATGACTTCTGTACTTTCCAAATAAAATAAAGCATGTATCCTTGTTTAAAATATCAACAATTACAAACTCATCAATGAAATAAAATATATACCTACATCACACATAGACAATAAATTAATTAAATCTTGGGTTGATGACACTCTCTTTAGGGGCTTCATTATTAATTCTAAAAAGTTCAACATGCTGTATGTATCTTTTGGCCCTGAAATCAAAACATTATTTTTAGAACAAAACAAAGACGTTATTTTCTAGAATCTTAAATAAATTTTATTTTGAAATAGTTTTAGTTACTTATTATTATTAGTTACACACCACAGAAAGGACTATGCAATAAGAAAAGGTGCCTCATTGACATCAGAATGTAAATGCGAACACTGTGACACTATGCCGAAATTTCTTCAGCATTATTGTAATCGCAAGAGCCTGACCACAAGATTGCTCACCACTGAAATGGTCTGAAGTGGTGCCGAGCTGTGCATTTTCTTAGGCTGCCCTACCACCGAAGTTGGAGAGGCTAGTTAAGTATTGCTATTATAGATACATGGACAGTGAGAAAGTAGTTACACTAGCTCAAGATTAGGATTGCTTTTCTGCATTTTCTGATTAGCAACTGAACAATTTATTAATGCAATGTAAGAACCTCCGGCCTAGAACTATCTTACTTACCTTTATAAAATATTCCTTTGGTGTTTACAGTATACACAATTAAAATGGGCCATGATGGTATCTTATTGTGTAACAGCCTGCATTCACTACCAGGATTCCAACAGTTAATTGCAGCAAAATGTACCTTAAACACAAACGTAGTAAAGATAGATGATAGAGATTTTTTTGGATACTAATAATTCATTTTGACAAAATTGCAAATTTGTAATGTAAGATTAAAAATCCAAAATAAAAAATTTAAAACATGAAAAAGTTCACATGCCACCAATTTCACATTAATGATATTATGTTGGATAAGTACTGTACTAAGTATCATCAACATTACATAAAGATTTAGGAATTGATAGAGGACTAACAGAGTTGGGCTTTGGTGACCATTTTAGACCTTTTTTTAAAAGGAGGGATTACCGGTGACCCGGAGATACAGGATTTGCTAACAGCTGCCTAAGTACCTCAAAAGGATAACTAACAACTCAAGGGCAGCTATTTCGCGAATGAATCTGCTACTGGATCGGAATTGCGACTCCCTGAGATATCATGTGCAACCCAACCTATACCATGTCTGCCAAGTTCTCGCCAGATCTTTACTGGTGGTAGGTGGATCTCTTGTGAGTCCGCACATGTAGGTACCACCACCCTGCCTATTTCAGCCGTGAAGCAGTAATGCATTTTTTTCCTCTCTTTTCTTTAACTTTCTTATAAGCACACAGGCTTAAAAATAAATTATGGCAAATAAAAAATAAAATAAAATAAAATAAAATTATATGCAGGCAATAAAAGTGACCATTTTTTTGTTGCAATGTGCACTACCCCCACTACACCAAAACCTTGTCAACTTACGTGCTGCTTACTATACCCGATTAATTTCTAATGACATTTAGTTATTTAGTAAAATTAGACAGTTCCAGATAAGATAGTGGAGTGAGAGCCCAATCAATCTTATGAGTCCTTACAAAGAGTCAAAAATAATCATAATCATCCTTTTGTAATGAATAGGTGGCACTTTACCTTACCTCCCTGTAAATGGTTTAGTCTCAGTTTTATTTATTTATTAGGAAGTTAAAAACTTACTCTGTCTTTTAAGACCATAGCCGTTTTTTCAAACTCTCCCCTTACATATTGAGATTCAGCATCCCAAGGAGCATAATACATAACAAATGAAACATCTACATTATTGACTTTGTTAATGGCACTGCTCAACTCCCCTTTGTACCAGTCAGTAACAACAGACTCTGGTCCAAAGAATTTATATGCCTGTGGGTGCTTGGACACTTTTGTAGATCTGTAATAAATAATTGATTTAATTCAATGAACTTTTAAATATGTTTCATCTTTTTGCAATTTATTAAATGAGGTGCGAAACTTACGTATTATGCAAAGCTCCATAAGTAGTAAGCGCAAGGGTGACGCAGAATACCATCTCTTTGAGTAACATATTTAATGTTAACTCCCTGTTATTTTGTTGTAATGAAACTTGCGAATTTTCGGAAGAGTTTTGTGCATCGCTATCCGTACTATGTTTCTCTGATAGTGACGTGACCTGTGTAATATCTTCAGTATTCGCCGTTGGAAACATTACACGTCATTCAATAACAAACCTTCGAGATACTATTACGAATAAAATGCCCAGATAACTACAATGTTTGTATGTAACTTTTAAATCTAAAAAAGCAGTGCATGCCAAAAATGGAAGCATTATCATTTCATAAAATCACGAGTAACATTTACTGTCAGTGGTTATAATATTAGTACATAATGTTTAGTTTTTTGGAATTTTGTAAATATTTCAAGCTTCGTTTGCAGCTGATACAATTTCAACTTTCAATGTCATAGTACTTATGTCAAAGTGATGTTTTTGGGTTATCGATCTAAGAAGGCAAAAGAGAGCTCAATCATACAATAGGCTATTTGTATTAAAAAGCTGAACAGTTGAAAAGTGACGCAATTTAATAAGAATATAAGCTAATTTCACTATATCAAAGTTGTGTATTATAAATGATGACATATGTTGGAGTTTGAATATAAATGTAATGGCAGGCAACACTTGACACATGATTACAGATTTCGAATATTAGAATTATTTTAAATGTTTAAAAAACAGATGATTGTCTTCTCGTAAGAAAAAGTTAGAACTTCTAATCTAGACATGATCAAAGAAACATGTCAGAGTTTTATAAAAATATAAAGTTAATAATTTTATAAAGGTGTAACAGTGTCCAAACTATCTGCAATATAATTATAATGAAGCAGTGTGTTTTTAAAATAGCCCGTCATCAACCTACAGAACCCAATCCCCTCAAATTTAACCGTCCAACAACATATTATACCATATATGGTTAAAGTCCCTGACTTTCACCAAAGGGAACGTAGATTTTCATACATTGAATTTCGTTTTATTTTCTTTAATAGAGGTAGCTCTGACTAGTCTGTAATGGTTTAATAATAGTATTAGTTTAATGGTTAATGATTACAAATCTAGATAGATTTGTAAATTTTTCCACTGAAAAATTAATAAATTTGTTAGATTTTTAATTTAATTTAAAAAAAAAAAACAAAAAAAGATCGGTAAACTTCGTTTCGACATATCGGTAGTAATTCGACCTAAACGCTTGTTGGACGGTTTAATTTGAGGGGATTGGGTTCTGTAGGTGATGAGGGGCTATCATGGAGTTAATGTACTTACTAACTCCATGGGGGCTATTTAAAAACAAGTGTCAAGTGTTGCCTGCAATTACATTTATATTCAAACGCCAACAACGCTACTAAACTAGCCGGGACCACTGTAGTATGAAACCTAGGTCTATGGCCGGGACGATCACCTCTAATTCTCACGTTTTGTCATATTGACAATTGACATTTTTGAGAGTTCAGAACAGCCATTTTAATTCTAAACTGTTTTGGAATTGGAATTTTGAATTGACGACGAAGTTGTAATAAGTTTTAAGTTTTATGTGTTTATGGGTGAAATTTTACTACAAACGTAAAAATATTGTTCACAGCGAGCGAACTTTATATTCATGTATAAATAGAGATTATACAAGCAATTTCTAAAACAACGTAACAGTACGTTGTTATGATTCGTTGATCAGCCTCTGGAAATTATTTGCTAAAAGTTGTAAGCTTCAATAGGATCATGCAATCTCCGAAACAAGCAGATTGTGACACAGTGGAGTACTGGAAAAATCTAGCAGAATGCTATGAACAGAAGTGTGTTCTTTATCAGTTGCATGCACAATGTTTTGCTTTTTTGTTAATTTGCTAGTATGATTCATACTTTTTTATTATTACAGAGTGAACGACATTCAGCAAGAATTAGATGAATACACAGAAAATTCGGCTCAGTTGGAAAAGGAATTGGAAGCATCATTAGGGCAAGTTGAAAAACAGAACAGAGATCTGGAACACCAAAATCAACGCCTTAAAAATGAAATTGAAATGTTAAAAGTAAGTTATTTCAGGTCATTTATATACAAATTCTCAAAAAAAATAAAAATAGTAAAATGACATTGATCTAACTTTTCTAAAAAAACTAACTTCTAAACTTGAGATAAAAAGCCATCATATTTCTAATTAATTAGGTATAATGTGGGATTTGGATATACTGTAGGCAGCAGCTTGGCTCTGTCCCTGGTATTGCAAATGTCCATGAACAACAGTAACCACTCACCACCAGGAAGTTGTATGCTTGAATGCTACAAGGCCAATAAAAAAATGGATATCTACACTTTTGCCATAAGTTTTATTTAGCCTGGTCCAATTTCTTCTTAGTTGTATCCATCATGATTGATGATTGTGGTTGGAGGTCATCATCCTATCATGAACACATTTTTGCCATGTATTTTAGTTCATCATGTTCTTCACAACAACAAACAATATCCAGTTTAGTATTTGAGTTAAACACATTTTTTTAGAACAAGCTGGAAAGAAGTCAATATGAGACTAATGCTTTAGAAAATGAACTACAAGCTTTAAAGATAGATAAGGACAAGCAGGCAGCATATGTGAGGGAATTGGAACAAAAGAACGATGATCTGGAAAGAGGTCAAAGGTAAATCAAATCTTACTAAATGAGGTATAAACTTATGATGCATGTTATAATGTGTAGTTTGTAATACCCTACACACTCTGCTGTGACTTTTTTTTTTTGTGATTAAAACATTGATTTTATGCTGACACATACTATGGTACAGAGTATTGTAAACATCTTGAAATAAAATTACTGATAATGACACCCAGAATCTCAACAAAATTGCAAAATTGATGAATGTTGTATCCATATTTTCAGAGTCATATCAGAATCCGTATCATGTATAGAAACAATGTTAAATGAAGCATATGAGAGGAATGCAGTTCTTGAAAATGAAGTTGATGAAATAGAAAATCTTAGGATAAAATTGCAGAGAGCAAATGATGAAGCGAGAGGTAAGACGTAAGATTGTAAGCTGGTCAGCACTGGCTTACAACACGCACTACTATTAGTGAACCTCAAATTTTAATTGGTGGGTTTAAATTTATATGGAATGACGTTATTCTTTCATTGTGGAAGTCATTTCTAAACATGTGTTAAGTATGGAACATGTTTTAATTAGAAAATATTGGTACCTGCCTGTGAATTGTTTGGATACCGGCATATTCGTGTCTTTGGATAATATTAGATCATGTTAAATTTGGCCCTATATTCCTTCCTCAGATCTGAAACAAGAATTAAAAGTTGTTGAAAGAATTCCATCAAGTAAGAAAGAGGAAGATGAAAATGAAACAACATTAACGAACGGACATCTTTCAAATTCAACTCGGAATCAAGTTGAGATTGAGACACAAACATCCATTATGTCACCACAAAAACGTAAGTTCATTTATTTATTGAATGGTTATTGTGCATCTTTTTAAAGGTATTTAACTGTATTGTATTTCAACTGTAAAAATGAAGCTACAAACCTTTTTTATTAGTGTAAGCTTGCAGACAAGGAAAGAGCATTAGATAATATCCAAAGTCAACTATTTTCCAACATCTTAATTCAAGGTTGTGTTGATATTTATTATCATTTTGACATAATATTGAATCAATCGAATTGTCACAGGGGAAATAAATGGTAACGCAATGACACCATCGGCCAGAGTTTCAGCAATAAATTTAGTTGGTGATCTCCTTAGGAAGGTTGGGGTGAGTATCTTGTATATTATGACACTATTGCAAAATTATATATTATTCACTGTAGTTGTATTACTGCTAAGCACTGTTATAGTTTATTTGTTAGAATGTATTTTGTAAAACTGCTTAGTCAAAATCTTTACGTTTTGTTCAGTAACACTGAAATGGTTCCCTATGGTACAAATGTTTTGTATATTATGTAGGTACTCGAAAGTAATTGGGAACTACTATGCCAGCCTAAAAAAATAGGACTTGCCTGTCTTGTTATATTTTATGGTAATATCTTATTGTGTTTACGCATATTATGTTTCAGTGTTAAGCTTAGAATGTATAAATGCTAGTTATAATTTTTAAGGCTGCCTTTTCTAATAGTATTTCGTTTATATATTTCAATGTATGTCTAAGTATATGTATATGTATTTATGATATTATCTTATTCTTTATGTTCAACATAGATTCGATTTAGTGAAGGTCTAATCGATAGTCATTCTCAATATAAATTTTCTGGTGCATCGAATAGAATTTGCAATGGAATTTAAATAACAAACATAAAAAACTGAGATTCACGATTGCTTTAGAATTGTAACATATTATTACCCTTTTGTTTAAACACAATCTATATGTTTTAGTTTTATTTATTTATTTATTTAATATATTTTGTACACACAGCTGTTAGAAAAGACACGTCAATAAGGATACAGAGCACTTTAATTAAAGCTAACAAATTTAATATTTCATATCGTGATTTATGTTGATCTGAGAAATGTGTAAAGTTTAGTTAGCACTTGCGTGTAAAAGCTACACTTCAGTATATTTACATACAGTACAGCAGCTGGGTGTTTTATATGTGAAGTAATAAGCTAGTAAAATAAATGAATATAAGCTTTCACCACACCATTTATACGCAGAAAACTTTTTTTTTACACATTAGGCGTAAGTAAAACATATTTGGACAATCATTAAATGTAAATATTCAGTAGTTAGTAAAAAAAAANTTGCGTGTAAAAGCTACACTTCAGTATATTTACATACAGTACAGCAGCTGGGTGTTTTATATGTGAAGTAATAAGCTAGTAAAATAAATGAATATAAGCTTTCACCACACCATTTATACGCAGAAAACTTTTTTTTTACACATTAGGCGTAAGTAAAACATATTTGGACAATCATTAAATGTAAATATTCAGTAGTTAGTAAAAAAAAAATCATAAAAATATATTTGTGTAGTTGGCATGGTGTGTTGTTGTAGTATGCATGAAATTTATTGCTTGCAGCTTGAGAGGTTTCTTTGCCGTGATTGTGGTAAGATTAAATGCTCCTGCAATACACCGACTGCAGCCACTAATCAACCGACACAGGCCACGAGCGAACCGGACCTAAAGCCAGATAGGATCCCCAATAATTATGAATTGACCAAAAGTGATTCCGTGGAATACAGAAAACCTAGACTGTATACGCGACAATTCTCGGGACCTGAGAATACGAGTGACGTTTCAGTGAAACAGCCTCATTGTCCACAAAGAGCTTCGGAGCAGCCGTTTGCGCGTTCGACGCAAGGCGAAAATGGGAAGTTGCGAAAATCCTTTGCCGTGCGTTCGCGTGAGGGATTAGAAAACATCTTAAGTTTTGCATCTATGAGAAAAAATCATGACCAAGGAAAACTCAAGCAAACGTCGAAATAATAAAATTCACAATTTTTATTTATTTCGATTTCAATCCAAGTTTTATTCGAACAAAACGTACATTTATTTCAATAGCACAAAGTTTGATGTGTAGGTTAATTTGTTAATATTGATAATGTATAATTATAGCCTTACCGCCTAACTGTAGTGATGATAAAGTGTGAGTGAGTGAGTCTGGTAACGAACTCTGTGACCTATGCCATAAAAAATCTGAGTTTGTTGCGCAGTGCGGAGTAGTGACCTACTTAACCTACCTAGCGATTGCTAGTAGCCCAAGGGGTTATTCCAGCTACGCGCGTACGGGTAGGTGAGCTCACGGGCTTAACCTCAGAGAATTTGCTAACACTAGCCCTAGCAAAAGCAGTGTTTCGCAGAGTCTACCACCGTATCGGAATCGCGACCCATTGAGAAGATCCGGCGAGAAACTGTGCTTAGTGCGAGTTTTTTAACGTTATCGATAGCGTAAAAGCTAACCCAATTTTGTATGCAGTTGAAACAGCGCCCCTAACGGCAAAGGAAGGCAAACGATCCCCTTCCATACTAATATGAGCTAACTTTTACGCTATCGAAACCGTTAAAAAACTCACACTAAGCACACTGAGTGGGCTGGGTAGTAATGTTGAGCTCCACACGACATATGTACTTGCCACAATTATTTCATATTATACAACAACAAACACATACCCATGTGGTCAGTTGTTTTATTGTGCTCAAGCACATCTTAATACAGCACAGGAAATTGTGTCCAAATTAGATGAGAAATCATTGTGGAGCTAGTCGTGTACAAACGCATTATAAGATAATGATTATAAATATATATATGTAATCGATTTAGTGTTTGTCATAGACAAATGTGACGTCACTACGCCTCCCTCTGGGCTCACAAACATCAAATTCAAGAATGGTTACCGGTTATAGGCATGTAGAAAAAAATGGTTTTTAATAATATGATAAACACATAATATTTAAGTATTTCATAAGTAGTTTCAATGTGGCCATTATAACTATTTGTATTTTAAGCCTTGTGTAGTGTAATCTATTATGTATAGTAGATTAGTAATAACCATCTTTCGTTTAGTCTTCGCAGGTAAAGGGTTAATTCTAAACGTTTTCGCTTCGCTTCTTCTATTGGTTTTCAACAAGTGGTGGTTAAAATTACACATTTTCCATTCCTTTCACTTACTAATATTAACGTCACATTCATGTATGAAATTTTCTCATTGTAGGCTTTGGAATCGAAATTAGCATCGTGTCGTGGTACAGTTAGACCTAAAGAGCATTCACCAAACACGACCTCGGAAGTCAATAAGGACTACAGATGTGTACTCAAGAATTAAGAGAATCCGTAACGCCATCCATTCATCTACATTTTTTGTGTCTGCAACAGGCCGCCGCAACTCTGGCTTGTGTTATAGTGTGATATTATATTAAATACATATATCAATCAGATCAAACGAACGTATATTGCTTCAAGTTGTCGTTAATACTAAATATTCATGAAAAAATTAAAATCTGTGATCGTCTAATCACATTTTCCTAATATACTAATAATATCTGTGATGATCAAATAGTTAAGTATCGGATGTGTTGAACGATGTGTTTTTGGCCTACCCACCGCAGATCCGACAGGACTGCAGCACGCCTTGTAGTGAATAGCTTCGACACATTGTGGTGTTTCTTGTATGGTACTTGTGCGCGTGTGGATTGTATGACAATCATTACTGATAAGAATTCGGCAAGTTTAGGATTCCCTCCAGTCGCACGAAAGTCAAGAGAGTCATCGCTAAGAAAACACGCTAGTGTTGATGAAGGAGTATTTAATAATAACTTCAATATGAATTTTTTGTAAGTCATTGTAAATGGGCATATAAAATTATTTTCGAAAATGATTTAGTGTAAATAATATCGTACGTGATCAGAGTAAGTACGTTTGAAATCGGTATTCTGATAATTCTTTGTAAAAGTATTTACTATATAAAATTGATTTTTATTATATCATAATATGCATTAGCGAGTTATATTGTTCGTTCTACTTTTCAACAATATATAGTAATTCTTAAAAGAAGAAGAATGCAATCCAAAATTACATCGACGTTTTCAAATTTCCGAGTAAAAAAATTTCGTCGTCTTTATACCGTAATGGAAAACTTTGAAATATTTAACAATAATATGATCTTGAAACGTTCCACGGCCATCCTATGAACTTTGTCGTAACTAACCCAACTTGCATGCATGTTTATGTTGATATTTTTATTCGTTAGCATGGAAATACAATTAATACTTACTGAAATGTACTGGTTTTCATCATACTCGAATATTATTTATGCAAAATAACAAAAATTAGAAGTGCTATAATTTTATAGCCGTTTGTCCCAAGTAATCTTTTGTAACAATCATACAAATATGCTCATAAGGTTTAGGTACGTAAAAAGCAATGTTAAATTTAATAACTGACAAGTCTTGCCTTAAAATGTTAATCATTTGAAGATTATATGTAGATGCATAATGTTATATACCTACATAATGTTATTTCAGATTACATTTACTTTGGAAGTTGCATTCCGTTTCATTTTCAATAATATCACTGGACTGCAAATTTAGAATTAGTTTTATATTAATTTTTGTCTTCGTAACAGGTGTTTTTATTTAAATAAATTCTGAATCATATCCTAAGTTTTAGTGATACATTTAAATAAAATTTGGTTTAGGATTTTTACAATTGTACGATATCTGTGTATTTGCCCAGTTTTGCTGCAAATCGTTTTGTAACGTAAGCATTTATGCATTCACGCGTGTGGTGACCAACAATTTTATTTTTTGCGCAATATTAAATATTGAGATATTAAAAAAAAAAACTTGATAATAAATCAAATTGTTTTATTTAACAGCAGTCTTTATACAATTTGTTTTCCAACTAGAACATTGGATAATAGATTGGTCCATTCAAGATTTTTCGGTTTTTCAACGGGCGGTCTGAACATGGCTACCAAATCTGTTAAGGATTTGCTCAACAATTGCACCTCCACAACTAAAGGTGAGTTTCTACCATTCACTCTTTCTATTAAAACGTTTCCTGCAAATAATTGTTTGTAATTAAAATGCATTTTTACGGCGCTGCCCATCGTCACTCGTTTTTGACATTGAATCAACATATAAGTAGTAAAACATAGCCATGATCCTCACATCTGTCGATTGACGAATAAGTAATGTGGTTAATAGGTAACTAAATTCTATCCAAGAAATATCCATCTTATCCTAGTTAAAAGGCAATGAGAGCTAAATCATTACATTGGCCTGCTGGATAGTGTGTCGATTGTACCTCTCGGTCCGAGTACGGTTTCCTGTTGGGTATGAATCTACGTTAAAGATAATATGTATTTTCTAGTGGGTGCACTTATTCTCATCTCGTCTTGGCCGGTATCAATATAATCGTAGCTTATGGACGGTTACATGTAGATTATTCAACTTAGAACATTTTTATATTTTGATTACATACACCTATTTTTTTTTGTTGTGTTCATTGAAGTTACATGATTACGTATCCGTATCAATGGATAGCATAAAACGGAATCATTGCGCGGCAGTCAGCTTGGTATGGTATTACTAGGTTTCGTGCTAATTGCGACAAGTTAATAAAAATAAGCAACATTGTTTTACCTGCTACTTTTGGCGATTGTAACACCCAGAGGGATATCACATAAAACGGGAATGTTTGTATAATGTAGATCAACTGCGCTAATATATACTGAAGCGCCAGAGATAGTATTCTAAACTGAAAATGAACGATTGTATCTATCATAATATTCATAATACCTACATAAAAGTTACTAGTCACAAATTTCATAATAAATGTTCAATACCAATGTAAACACAATATAATACAATGCTGTTGTGGGCAGCAAAAGCAACAATATTGTAAAAGCCACAGTTCCTACAAATAATTCTTGATTCGTATATTCACAAGAGTCTATGCTGCCCCTCAGTGGATTGTATTTGCGACCAACGAAGAGTCTCAACAATGCAATCAGACCTGATATTTGCATGTTAAACATTCTGAAAATTTAAGAAATATTTAATTTTAATAGGTTAGCGTTAGGTTATGTTATGCATTTTTTATTCATCTTTTTAGTTCTCACCTTGCAGCATAAACATAGATGCAATATGAATGAAACGTTGCAATGCATATCATATCCGAAATCACTGCTATTTGAAACGTGAGCCCTAAATAACCCACATATCGGTATATGTGTAGTATTAAGTCAAGTTTTTCTCGCGAAACATCTGAAATTACGTTAATAAAATCATAAACAAAAGTGTAAAAAGAACTAATACAAATATTCATCATTTTATAAACTGGAAACTACTAGAAAGACCCGCCTATTTCTGCCGTGAAACAGTAATGCGTTTCGGTTTTAAGTGTGGGGCAGCCGTTGTAACTACACTGAGACCTTAGAACTTATATCTCAAGGTGGGTGGCGTATTTACGTTGTAGATCTCTATGGGCTCCAGTGACTACCTTACACCAGGTAGGCTGTGAGTTCGTCCACCCATCTAAGGATTAAAAAAATTATTTCAATATTTTATTTTCTTAATAATTTGAGTTTTTATGGCTTATTTGAATGGACGAGCTCACGACCCACCTGGTGTTAAATGATTACCGGAGTCCATATACACATCGACACGTATATTATTATACCTTCAGACGCTAGTTCCGAGTCTTTGTTTTATAATACAGTAGGTGCTTATAATACCATAGCAATTAAGACTTGGACTTTTCATGGTGAGCAAAGGTATTTACGTTTAGGTATCTAGATTTAAGTTACTACTTAAAAATAGATCGGCCCTGAAAACTTCTGCGTTTACTCAATATGGTGGCGACATCTGCGCTGTAGAATCTGTGTGCTTAGTGTGAGTTTTTTAACGTTCTCGATAGCGTAAAAGTTAGCTCATATTTGTATGGAATGGGGTCGTTTACGCACGTTTGCCGTTAGGGGCGCTGTTCCAACTACAAAATTGGCTTAACTCTTACGGTATCGAGAGCGTTAAGAAACTCGCACTAAGCACACTGGACGCTGATAACTAATACCATCAGATAATTCGCGAGCTCGTCTGGATAATAGAGAAATAAAAAATTCAATGCACAGCCGAACACAAACTTGATTGTAATAACTACCATCATTTTTGATAGATATGATTAGGCGAATTTTAAGTATAACTGTAAATCATATTTACCTAAAAACAGCCACCATAGCTGAACATGGTAAGAAAAATATTTTCCTAACATTTTGTTGAAAGCATTATTCAACTTCAAACCCACTGGTGCACCCATTAACCATTTTAACAATGAATAAAGTGAATTTATTAACCTCTGCAAGAAAAGTAACGAAACCAATAATTTTACAAAAGTTAATAATTTAACGGTAAATATTGTGCTAAAATTAAAAAATATCAACTTTCTACTACTATCGTAATCAGAATATTGGACGAAAAAGGACGTATTGTATTGGTATAAAACTATTGTATTGTCATCAGCTCTTGATATGTGTACAGATTTTTAAGTTTTTGAACATTTAAAATTGGTTACATAATATATAGGGTCACAGTAAATTTAATAAAAGCGTGTGAAAAAAAGGGGTGTGTTATATCAATGGCGATTTTTACACATATCAACAGCCAAGTTTTTTTGACATAGAAGGGTCGGCTCACAGCTCACTCGGTATTAAGTGTTTACTGAAAGCCATTAGACATCATGTGACCCTCCAAGACATGGGGTCAAAGTCTCAGCTGTATTTTCAAATGGTAGACACCCTATGAACCTGAACTTGATCTTTAGTTTTATTTACATGTAATTTACACATATTTACTAGTAATTTTTATGTGACATACACATAGTACGAAAAGACAACCTTTTTAATATTAATAATAAAAATATAAAATAAAATAAGTTTAAGATTTTTATACACCTTTAAACTGTCAGGAAGCATTTTTTATTCTTTTTCATGTAGCTATTAAAATTAGCTTTTGTGCTATCAATATTTTTTTTATTTATAGTTTTTCCTAATGTGTACATAGTAATAAAGAAAAAATGGAGATTATAAATTAAAATAAAATTTGAGTGGTCATTAATTAGTACCTAATTATGTTTGAATCTTAATCATTGAGCAAATTAGTGATTTTTATTAATAAATAATATTATTCCTAATAAATAAAATACTTAATGGCTGTTTCTCTTGTGTGCTTACCTCGAGCATGCCCATTAGTAATGAGCTAATGCTGTGGATGTCTCCTAACAGCAGTTGCAATAAGATACAGCCTAATATTACATCTGCTATTATTGCCAATATTAAATTACCTTGTTTTATTGTTACCTGAAATATTTATATTTAAACAAGTACTAATATTTCATTCTAAGCATTGTAGATTCTGTAATCAATTTTCTGTTTCTAATTGTCTGGTAAATTGAATATCAATGATTGAAAAATTGGAGAAGTTAATAGTCACTGGAAAAGCGGAGGGAAAAAGACCACAAGATAAAGACCTGGCACATTGGACTGACCAGATCTGCACTACTCTCGACACCACAGTCCACGATGCTCTACACTCAGCGATAGATAGCAAGAAATGGCGTAACTTTACAAAGCAGTCTCCTAATTTTTGTATTCAAATTATTAATACTACTATTCTCTTGTTGTTAATCTCATTTTATACTTTTATATTTATGATAATAAAGTTTAATAACTAGTTAGAATAATTTATGAATATTCAAGTAGCAGAGGCTGCCTTTAATCGTTTTTAATTTGAACTCAAAAATTTGCAGTAAAACATTGGTGTGAACTTCAACAACATCTCATTAAGTCCTCAATTGAACTCGGTTGGAAGTGGAGGGTAAAAAGTAACTGTTACTAGACAAGAGATCTTTCTTACAGAAATCTATGTGCCACAGACTACTGCACTGGTACTGAATTCAAACAAAAATAAGCAAATAATTAAGTGTCAAATTAATGTCTATTTTTTTTTTAAAGATAGAATATCGTTGTCATTTTTCTTTATTGTTTAATTGTTTTAGTAAAACTTACTTTTTTATTTGCCTTTGCAGAAATTATAAGCCATTGAATTAGTTGATAGTAAACATAGATGTGTTGTAGAAACATTGAATTTGATAACCACGGTACTTTCACATTGTTTAAATCACATTCTTTACATTGTTTTTCGTTTTGTTCCTCGTATATCAATCTTNATATCGTTGTCATTTTTCTTTATTGTTTAATTGTTTTAGTAAAACTTACTTTTTTATTTGCCTTTGCAGAAATTATAAGCCATTGAATTAGTTGATAGTAAACATAGATGTGTTGTAGAAACATTGAATTTGATAACCACGGTACTTTCACATTGTTTAAATCACATTCTTTACATTGTTTTTCGTTTTGTTCCTCGTATATCAATCTTTTTAGTTTAGTAAATGGTGTAAAATCGATTGGGGTTTGTGATTCTTTAATTTTATAGTGGTCATATAGTAACACAATACTGTTGTCTGCAGATATCTCGATGCCATCAATTATTAATAAATTGACTTTGTGAAATTTAAGATCCAATATCATATAATTTTTAAAGCTCTGTGTTTTAGCTGGTATTGTTTCAAAACAGTGTCCGTGTATTCTTATTTGATTTTCCCTTTCTTTTTTGTTGCTTTTTATTGCAGACGTTCCTAAAGATAGTTTATCGTACAGTTTTGTAATATAGATACTTATTACATGTTGATCTTTCTCAACGTAACCACTAAAACATACGCAGTTATTTTTGGGGAAAATTGGGAAAAAAATATTGATCGGTTGACTCTTCATTGTTATGTGTTGAATATTTCAGAAAACTAGGGAACTACACCGTTTGTGAACATTAGGTATCTATTAATTAATTTTTTTCCTTTATAATTAATCTGTAATTTATGAGCGAAAACACTGGGTACTTGGGTGTTCGTATCCCTAATGGAATTATTTATCTTTATAACTATATCAGCTTTTATGAGAGACAAATTCTCAAATATTTACTTTTTGGTAAAGTTGATGTCAAATTAAAACGTCAAATGTCAATTGTGAAATTAGCTGTCTACTTTGAAGTATTAGTAGTAGTATTTTTCAAGATGATAAGGCAAAGGTGTCATACCATACCATGGAGTTAATAAGTACCTACAACTGTACCATACAGTCTAATCTTTTATATAAATAACTTATTTTTAGGTTGGGGAAAAAGTCCTTTCGCATTATAGTATACTGTATGAACTTGTAATAAAATCTCTTTGGCTATACTATTTGTATCTGGCTGCTTTAAATTTTAAAGAACATAATTCGAAGATAACAAACATAGATAATTAGGTTTTTTATTTATTTTTCGTTCTATCAAGATGAGTGAATCTAATGAAGAAATTCGATACATTTTAAAATTTTACTACAAAAAAAGTAAAAATGCAACGCAAGCCGCGAAAAAAATTTGCGATATTTATGGACCTAGTGCAGTGTCTGTGAGAGGTGCACAAAGGTTTATGCGTTTTCAATCCGGAAATTTTGATGTCAAAAATGCAAGTCGCTCTGGTCACCCTATTACCTAGTTTTGGCGCATTTGAAAAAAAATAGGTATACAAAAAAGCTCGATATTACCTCACGAGCTCACTGAAAGAAACCTAATTAACCGTGTACTCTTTTGTGATTCTTTATTACGACGTAATGAAACCGAACCATTTTTGAAGAAGCCGATAACTGGTGATGAAAAGTAGAATGCTTACGACAAGAACGTGTGAAAATGGTGGTGGTTAAAGGTCGGTCAGGCTTCATAAACTGTGGTGAAACCCGGGTTAACTCGCAACAAGGTGATGCTGTGTGTGTGGTGGGATTGGAAGGGCATTATTCATTATGAGCTGTTACCACCAGGCAGGAAAATCGATTCTGAACTCTACATCAGATTACAGCAAGAAGTTGAGAGAAAGCGGCCGGAATTAATCAACAGAAGGGGTCTGGTTTTTCATCAAGATAACGCTAGACCTTACATATCTTTAGCCACTCAGCAAAAATTAAGAGAGCTTGGCTGGGAGGTGTGAATAAATCCGCCGTATAGTCCTGACCTTGCACCTTCAGATTTCCACATGTTTCGGTCTCTTCAGTATTCTTTAGGCAGTGTCAGGTTAACATCACGAGAGGACTGCCAAAACCAATTATCGCGGTATTTTGATCAAAAGCCCCAAAATGTATATATTATAGCAATGGGATCGTGTCCCTACCTAAAAGATGGCAAAAATTTATCGAACAAAATGGTACCTACATACTTTAGTTAAATGTAAATAAAAATAAAAAACGTTGTGAATAAGAAACTTTTTCCCCAACCTATTTGTATACCTAATGTATTAACCAACCTATATGTATTTATGTTTTATACTGGGTGTTATGAGACCGCTTCCGAAAACAAATGCAGATGATAGTACTAATGACACCTTTGATGATGGGACGGAAAAAAATGGATCCTGATTTTAAAAAAAAAAATTCATACGTTTTATTAGCATTATTTATGCTCCATCGTGTTAGTACAGCTAAATGAAACGATAGTTTCATAAAAAATACATTACTTTACTTAAACTTTACTTACAGATATTAAACTGTTTAATATACCACCGTTATTACACATGTAAACCTGAAGAATCACTAAATAAAACAATTAACACAGCTTCGCTTCTCGCGTTCCCGCCACAGTCTTCTACTTTGAAGGCTATTTTATTTAAAAAAAAATTCTGGCCCCTGAGAACAGAGAGAGAGAGAAGAATAATATCCTGAACCACTTGGTGCTACCCGAATGGTTACCGATGCTCATATACAGCACAATTTAAATGTCGCCACTCAATTTGAGCCAGGGGCTCTATGTGACTCAATTGAATATTTAACGGCTTCCAACCTGAAAAATAGTACGTATTTTTTTAACGCCTGGGTCGCTGGGGAATCCGTTTAATGATACCCGGTTGAGAGGTGATAACAGACCCGATAATGCCGGACTATAATAACGTAATATAATTGAAAAATATCTATCACTGGTATCACCTATGCGAACTCACAAGATTAGTAAATAAGGGTTAACATCTGTAGAGACGAAGGAGATTACATTGGTAGCATTAGTTTTTTACTATTTTACACTACAGTTAAAAATATTCTGTACGTTCTTTAGATGGATGGACGAGCGCACAGCCCACCTGGTGTTAAGTGGTTACTGGAGCCCATAGACATCTACAACGTAAAAGTTCAAAGGTCTCAGTATAGTTACAACGGTTGTCCCACCCCTCGAACCAAAACGCATTACTTCTTCACGGCAGAAATAGGTGGGGTGGTGGTACCTACCCGTGCGGATGTACGTTCATGCGGGTTTTAATTTTATGTAATTTCATTCTATTGTTAATTTAATTTAATTTCTACCGATTAGACGCGGTCTATTGGAAAAAAGAAAATTTTATCATATGGGCTTTATTTCTTTCGCCTGTCAAAGTGAGCACAAGAAAAAAAATCTTTATGGTTACCACCATTTTGATTTTGCCATTTGCCAAATTATGGGAATCGTAGACATCGCCAGTGAAAAGATTAGTAGAAATTAGGTTGAAATTTTTGGATTTCACTACTGATCAGATTTATTCTATCAACTTCTGCTGTCTGATTAACTTTAAAACATTTACAAAAGTTATTAGACTTGAAAATGTCAGCACACGAGCAAATGAGGGCTATGCTAGATCAGCTTATGGGCACAGCTCGAAATGGTATGTAATTTAACGATTAATAATAATTTTATTTTTAAGTACTTTAATTGTGAAGTGATTTTAGGAATACAAAATTAGTAATTGAAAAACAAACATTACTTTCACCTTTAATTAGAAATACTGTTATCAGAACATGCTACAACGTTAATTATTATAAAAAGCCAGTATTGATTCGCATGTTACCAAGAAATCTGTATACAAAGTTTGCTCAAGTTAAATGCTAAGTAGAAATGCAAATCACTATGAAATTGCTGTATATTTTATTTCTTCCTAATAAGTGCAATTTTTAACATTACAGAAATTTAATTAGAAATAATTAAATGAGTGGTCACCAAATTAGCTTCCATATTACATTTTCAGGTGAAAGTGACAGACATGGGGTAAAATTTTACGATGATTCTGTATGCAAATCATTTTTGTTGCAATGTTGTCCACATGAAATACTGTCATCCACCGTAAGTGATTGAGTTTTGATAAAATATAGTATTGGGTTTAGATCACATGTTTTAAGGTCTTAATATAATGAAGGTTTAAAATCAATAACATCAAAATAAGTAAACAAGTTTAAACAAATAGTTGACATTCAGTGCCGGCCTTAAATACCATAGTGCTCTTGATTTCTTATTAAATTGAATTTTTTTTAAATGTAAGAGAAAGGAGTTTGTTATATCAAGATCATCACGTAATTTAAATACTTCTACTGTTTAATCTTGCGCATATTATAATTTTATTAATTCTGGAGTTTCTAATGCTCTAAATTGTTTATGGTATCTTTCTCGGCTGACTATAATGAACATTACTCATGAAAATTTAAGAAAATAATACATTATATAATTAATACATTTAAATTAGCTCTCTTCATAAATTTGTAGCACTAAGAAAGTAAATTTAATGTTATGCAGAATGTGTAACCTTTTCTATTACTTTTTAGATTTATAAACATAATTGCGAACAAAAATAATCGTAGACATGAGAAAAAAACACTAACATGAACAATAAATCTCTAAAAGTTTTAAAAAGGTTAGAAATAATAATAAAAATGTAAAGCAAGAATAAGAATTTATAAAATATGAGTCATTGAATTATAATTTTTGATCTTGAAATCTTTATTCGATTTTTATATAATGATATTTTTCATAATTAAAATCTCAATGTATTATCTTCAAGTGGAAAATTTGCTTTCACAATTGTGATAGAGAAGTAGATAATTGCTATACTCTTAACTGGATAGTTCTTTGTTTGAGGCGCTGTACTACTGTTAGACCCTGGTCTTACCTTAGAGCCAGCACTGATTGTATTGTATTATATAAATAGATGAAACAACATTATAATGAGATCTTAGATTCAGGGGATTTGCAGTGCTCTATGCCTTTTCACATACACTAGGATAGTAATTTTGAAAAATTTTGGATTTAATTTATATATAATTCTCCTATTGTATGTGTTCTACTATCATCTGTCACTTCTATTATACAATAAAATGTTGTATTGTCACTGGAATATACTCACGTCAGAGTGGCATTAACTGTGGTGAAATATGCTTTTCAGAAAATGCCCAACACTAGTCTTTATCGCTCATCACAATACTTAACAGATGAGGGATAGATTGTATGAGTTAGGCTGTTCTGTAAGTACCCAGATGTACGTATAAAACATTTATAGTTAGCTGAATGTAATCTTACTGCTAAGCAGGATTTAATTCAATATGGTTCTTGTCATTAAATTGTTTACTAATGCTGCATTGGTGAGTACATATAAAATTTTAGGACCTTCAAAAAACTTAGCCTGGTGTGAAATATTTGGTGACATACAATAACTACATTGGGTATGTACTGTGCTGTTTAAATGTGTAGGGGTACAAATACATTTGCATGTGCTAAAATGGAATAAAATTCTTAAAAAAATATATTCTAAAAACAATATACAATATGTAAGCATAAATAATAAACAAACAAAACTGAAATAAAATTCAATTTGTTGTATGAAAAACATGATTTACATCTATATAAAAAAATAGAAAATATTAAGTGGCAATCATAGCTATTGTTCTAGTCTACACACTTTCGGTAATTGTGCTTGATTGTCACATTCATTTTATTTTATGGCTTCACTTCACTCTTAAAACCAAAATAGTATTGTAAGAAATTCTGGAGGGTGTTTCCACTATTTGTTGTAAGTATTTGAAAATTATTATTGAACGAGGGAGTGAACCAGCTCAGTGTGCATTTGTCGGTGTTATAGTATGTATTTTATATTCTATATTTTACCTATGGAGATATTTTTACATATTTTCATAAATATTGTTGAAACAGTATGATTTGGGGTCTTTGAGTTTTGCAAGCATAAACATATGTGACACCATTCCTGACCCATACATTTTGTCATAAAAATGAACTTTTACTTTTCATGTGGTTTTAATTTTTTCTTTTGCAGCGTATGGATTTAGGTGAGTGTCCCAAAATACATGATCTGGCTCTACGGGCGGACTATGAAATAGCTTCCAAGACCAAAGATTATTTCTATGACATTGATGTAAGTATAAATAACTGCATTTTTTTTTGTTAAAATTGAAATATAAGATATTTACACAATTTAAAATTTTGATTAATGTATCTTAAAACTTCCAGTCTCAAATGTTTTGTTTTGACATGAATTCGACCATGGATCAAAGCCGTAAGACTTATAATTATTGTATTTAAATTGTGGTCAATTAAATAAAATTTTACTATTTTATGTAAAGGCTACAGAGCACTTAGAGGCGTTTATAGCTGATTGTGATCGTCGAACTACTGCTGCTAAGCAACGTCTGGCGGAGACACAAGAAGAACTGTCAGCAGAAGTGACCGAGAAAGCCAATGCTGTTCATGAATTGGCAGAGCAAATAGGGCAGAAACTGGCTCGGGCTGAGGCACTCGGAGAAGAGGGTATGGTCGAGGAGAGTGTCAAATTAATGGGAGAGGTAAAGTTTTAGAATTAAAATAAAAGTCTTTAAGCTAATCATAATTCATTTGCTAAATTTAATATCTTTTTGTGAGTAGTGAGCATAAAATCTCAATAATTTCAGATTGACGAACTCCGCAAAAAGAAAGCTATCGCCGAGCAAGACTATCGTAATTCCATGCCCGCTTCGTCCTACCAACAGCAGAAATTACGAGTTTGCGAAGTTTGTTCAGCCTATCTTGGCATTCACGACAATGATAGACGTTTGGCCGATCATTTTGGAGGAAAATTGCATCTCGGATTCATAACTATTCGTGAAAAATTAACAGAATTAAAGGTAATGTTGCATTATTTTTTCATTGCTAAGAATGGTAGACAAACTCACGGCCCACCTGGCGCTTAGTGAGCATCGGAGCCCATAGACCACATTCATCGACCTTATAACCACCCATTTTCAGACGTTCTAAGTCTCAGTTTTTATAGTACAATGGCTACCCACCCTTCAAACCNATTCATAACTATTCGTGAAAAATTAACAGAATTAAAGGTAATGTTGCATTATTTTTTCATTGCTAAGAATGGTAGACAAACTCACGGCCCACCTGGCGCTTAGTGAGCATCGGAGCCCATAGACCACATTCATCGACCTTATAACCACCCATTTTCAGACGTTCTAAGTCTCAGTTTTTATAGTACAATGGCTACCCACCCTTCAAACCTAAAAGTATTACTGATTCACGGCAGAAATAGGCAGATACCCACCAGTGTGGGCTCGCAAGACTCGCAAGACCGTAATTACGCAAATTATTAGTAGTTATAGTATTATAAAAATTAGTACATGCCGGTGGGATTCGTACACCTTCACAGTCGCATCGCTGCATACGAAAGCACCAGGCGTCTTATCCTTTATGCCACGACGAATGCTTCACAGAATGATTTTATAGTGGATAATGTACTATTAATATACTTATAATTGTTAACATTAATATTTGTATTGTTAACAGAAAACTGTGGACAAGCGACGCGAAGAGCGCGGCGCGTCGGAGCGCGAGCGGAGCAGCGGGCGGCGGCACTACGTGGGCGGGCGGGAGCTCGACAGGCGCGCCCGCCGGCACCGCGAGTCCGCGCGCGACCGCGACGGCCGGCACAAGGACGACCGGGAGCGCGGGGACAAGGAACGCGACCGGACCGACAAAGATCGCGATCGTGGGGACAAGGAGCGCGACCGGGAACGCGAACGTGACAGGAAGTACGTACAGGACAAACGTGATGAAATCATTTACCGGTTGACTTAGTTTTGTAGCGTCATAAGTGATCAATGTTCTCTGTGAAGAAAATTCAAGTCATCATTAATTAGTTCGTATGCGGTAGTACTAATTGAATTTGTACCCTTTGAGTCTGGCACCGGAAACTCACGCGGACGGAAGTTGAGAGGTTAGGCGTTATTGCAATGAGGACCGAAGCGCGTCTTTCAACTTGGTTTTATTATTTAAAAATCCATGAACGATGTATTTTTTTTTACTTTATGGCGGGAACGCGAGGAGTGAAGCTGTCTGATTTGGTTTAAATGTGTAATAACGGTGGTTTATTAACTGATTAGTATCTGTGTAAATGCACAAATGTGGGAAAATAATACAAAGCCGCTAGACGTAACTTCTCAGGATCCTCGAAAAAGTCCACTGAAAAAGTCTCAGTAAATTACCACCATTTTACTGAAATTATATTTCATCCCACATCATTTCATTTCATTTCATGCCATGTTTCATATTAATCGACTTTATTTCATTTTTACTGGTGTTAGGACCTCTTGTGAGTTCGCGCGGGTAGGTACCACCGCCCTGCCTATTTCTGCCGTGAAGCAGTAATGCGTTTCGGTTTGAAGGGTGGGGCAGCCGTTGTAACTATACTGAGATCTTAGAACTTATATCTCAAGGTGGATGGCGCATTTACGTTGTAGATGTCCATGGGCTCCAGTAACCACTTAACACCAGGTGGGCTGTGAGCTCGTCCACCTATCTAAGCAATAAAAAAACACAACTTCACATTATCATTTTTCATATAGTGCAGTTTTCATTAAAATTAAAATAAGATTTGACCTTAAACCTTTACCTTTTTGACCTTTACCAGGCCATTAAAAACAATTTAAATTTTTTTTTAATTTGTCCTTTTTATGTCATAGGCGTAGCCGATCACGGAGCCGAAGCAGACATGAGAATTCCCGAGAGAGATCCCGCGGCCACGACACCCGCGAGCCCCGCCGGAGCCGCTCGCATCGCTCGTCGTCACGCGACCACCGCCGCGACTAACTTCCACTGACACCCGTATACATATCTACGAACCCGTCAAATCGAATTCTGAAGGTCTTTTTGGGATGGTATTTATTGTATTCCTATATAGATGAGATAAATGAGATAAACTTGACAATTTATAACGCACTGCAAGTGAATGGATGAACTAGAAAATGGTCTTGCAAATAAGTGACTGACTTTAGTAGCTTTCAAACTATAACTTACATCACATATTAAAATACGTTGAAGACCAAAACAGTGCCTTCGGAATTGGTCCTGACGAGTGAGTGACACAATGAAGTGATGAATTTTCCAAATTTTTTTTTAGAATATTCGGATATATGGAAAGTTTGTCATGACCATAGGTTAGTTGACTGAAATTCAGATTCTAATAAAAGCTTGCCATAAATAGTGCCGATCAATGACATATTTTCAATATCGATACGCGAATTCACGATACGCTTTCTATGCGCTGTAAAGTTTATATATACACACTGAGAAAGGAGATAGGGAATTAGCTCGCAATGCCAACCAAAACTTATTCTGTATATATTACGTACAAATTCATACTATGTATATTATTAAACGTATTATTTGAACTAAGCCCATGTTTTTAATTTACAACATCAGTCAACTGTCCTATTCAATAAAAGCTTTGTAATGAATCATTGAATTTGAGTGATTTGTGTAGTTATCTAGTTGTTAACTCGAGTTTTATTTGCATTCACTAGTATGCAATAATATTCGGTTTAGTAAATAGGTTTTTTAAAGTAAATGTAGGGTTAAATATCTGAACTTAATTTTAAGTGTCATAATTAAATATAATTGTTTATGGGATTGGTAATGATAAAGTTACTTACCCTTGAGAAATAATATAAACATTGAATTTGTGTTAATGATAAACGAACCTATAAAGCGTGTGCGATTTGGAGAAACTTGTTTTTATTTGTTGCAATAAAGTAGTACTACTAAGACAATGTTTGTTTTTTTTCACTTACAATGTTACTAACAATCGAAAATCTGTATAGGGTTACCACATTACAGTAATAATTTAGTAGATTTAATCATTAAAATTTTGCTTGTTTTTTTAAGTTGAAAATGTTACGAAAGATAAAGCTTAATCGACTTTATCACAAACACGCGCTTAACAGTAGTACAAAGCGTTGAAGTGTGATGAAAGATTTGCCTCGCTCTGGTAGGCCATCAACAAACTCAATCAAGTTATTATTGCAAAAGTGAAGGAAATAGTGACTGAAAATCCTCATTCAAGTTTGAGAGAGATAGCCGTCGAACTTTGTGTATCACGAGTCGATCCGTATCATTTTTAATAATCACTTGGGTATGAAACATGCCGTTTGGCTGACCCCAAAATAACTGAATTTTCTCCTTTTTTTCCCCTATCTATACGCTAGTAGCATAAAGGGCTATTCTATCTACGCGAGGACGGGTAGGTGAGCTCATAGGCTCATAACAACTCTTAGACAGCAGTGCTTTGTCGTCTACATCGTGAGGGCGCCGGAGGCTTTTCGTTGCCTCGCCGCCCGAAAAGTCATTTCCAGTGACTTGGTTTAATTTTCGCACACTTGTGCACTTTCGCAGATTCTAAACGGTTAATAAGCCAACATTATTACACGCTTTAATCCGAGGAAACATTATACTGACAAATTAAAACAATTCATACAACTTCGCTTCTCGCGTTCCCGCTAAAAGCCCATCTGACTGTGCGTATGTATACCTGGAGCCATTGCGTTCATCCTCAGCGCGTTTCCAGAGATCTTTTTTGCCACGAACCATACGGCTTTGGAATGAGCTTCCCTCCACGGTGATTCCCGAGCGCTATACATGTCCTTAAAACTTGGCTTGTCAAGAGTACTTAACGGGAGGCAGCTGCTTGGCTCTGCTCCTGGCATTGCAGAAGTCCATGGGCGACGGTAACCACTCACCATCAGGTGGGCCGTATGCTCGTCTGCCTACAAGGGCATTAAAAAAAATACAGACCATAACCACATTTATCGGTGTGACTGGTGTTATTAGCATTGTCATACCTATGGGCTACGATAATCACTTAACATCAAATTAAGTGATTGAGGGCCGATTAGGGCTTTATTTAGGTAGTTAGTGTCGTGAATGTCATTTTATTCATTAGTTTCGTCGTGTTAGCTCTGGATTTATCATTCTTTTTATATGTCTGATAGAATCCACAACTATATAAGTGCAATGTCCATTAAAATACGTACAAGTACCTATGTCCCTCATTTTATTAATGACTAGCTGACCCAGCAGACTTCTTTATATTTTTAGCTTAGAGCTAGCTTAGAGAGCTTTTTTATATTTTCTCACCTTTTAAACCTTTCCTGGACTTCCACGAATAATTCAAGACCAAAATTAGCCAAATCGGTCCAGCCATTCTCGAGTTTTAGCGAGACTAACGAACAGCAATTTATTTTTATATATATAGATAAAGCCAGCAGATATTAGCAGGAACTATTTATGAATTAACATGAACGGAAAGTCCAGCTCTTAAAACAACTTAAAATAGAGCTGAAATTAATGATGTGTCAAACACGACAAAGAATAAAATTTACTGGTAGTAAGACGTCTTGCGAGTCCGCAGTTAGGTCCACCACCCTGCGTATTTCTGCCGTGAAGCAGAAATCTGTTTCGGTTTGAGGGGTGGGCCAGCCATTGTACTATACTGATTGTACTGTACTACCTTAAAACTCATCTCAAGGTGGGTGGCAGCATTTACTTTGTCGTCTTTGGTCTCCGATAACCATTTAACATCAGGTGAGCCGAGAGCTCATCCACCCATCTAAGCAATTAAAAAGTGAGCGATGATTTATAATATCTTAGGTAATGCAAGAAAAAGTCACATTTATGATAATAATATTATGTTCGATCAATGTCACCTATTTATTGTACGGCCATGAACGCTGTAAAGGATTTACAATGGCTTTACAAAGAGCATCGATTGCAATAACATAATATTATGCGATAAATTTCATTGACTTTTTTTTCATCAATGAATAAAAATCGCAAAAACATAAGAAATCATTATGAAATGACAATATTTGTTACAAGTAAAACAGCTGTTCTTTGTATGTCTCTTTAATTGAAATTTGTTGTTCACAATTTTCATTTCGCATTTTATGCTAGATACACTTTAGGTCACATCAATAAAATAAAAAAAATAGCTTTTAATATGTACAGTATTTTCGAAAACAATCGTTTTAGAATTTGATAGGTTCACACATAAAAAACTTCAGAGGTGTCAAGGGCCACCCGGATGGAACGAAGTTCCTTTCGATTAATTAGTGAAGGAATTGTAATTTTTTTTTAAGTTATAATAATAAATTACGGCATTATGAAGAAGAAAAAAACAATACTATGAACTAAATTACTATTGTTGAAAAGCTATCTCGAGAAACTGTACTCATTACGCGGACCAATCGGATACGAGCAATGTCACGCGATAAGCGCCTACACATTGATTGGTCAGAATGACGGATCTAAAAAGTGTCGTGACAACTTTTCGTAAGAATTTTTTCCGTCTAGCCCCCTTTCACAGCGCGCGATAAGGAACTTCGTTCCAATAAATAATCTTGTTTGAAAGAACAATTCCAGATTATAACAATAACATTTTATTCTTTGTCTAATGATTAGTTATCTTGAAGGCTGTAGACCATGGGATTCTGATTTGATCCCCGGTCGGAGTCAGTAGTTTTGTTTGGGTTAAAGAATATTCGGGTCTAAGCGCAATAGTTGTTCCTGACTCGTTTCCGTTATTTATATTATAACTCAGGAGAATATCCTACCTTGTAGCGTTAATCTGAAGTGGCGCTTGTCTNCTAAATTACTATTGTTGAAACGCTATCTCGAGAAACTGTACTCATTACGCGGACCAATCGGATACGAGCAATGTCACGCGATAAGCGCCTACACGTTGATTGGTCAGAATGACGGATCTAAAAAGTGTCGTGACAACTTTTCGTAAGAATTTTTTCCGTCTAGCCCCCTTTCACAACGCGCGATAAGGAACTTCGTTCCAATAAATAATCTTGTTTGAAAAAACAATTCCAGATTATAACAATAACATTTTATTCTTTGTCTAATGATTAGTTATCTTGAAGGCTGTAGACCATGGGATTCTGATTTGATTCCCGGTCGGAGTCAGTAGTTTTGTTTAGGGTCTTTAAAGTTCGGGGTCTAAGCGCAATAATTGTACCTGATTCGAAAATTCGTTTCCGTTATTTATATTATAACTCAGGAGAATATCCTACCTTGTAGCGTTAATGTGAAGTGGCGCTTGTCTATTCTTACATAAGGAATGTAAAATATGCTTTAAGAGAGCCGAGAAGGAAGTCCTTGTAATATGTTAAAAAGCTGATTGGACCAAATATCATAGTGTTTAGTTGGTTTTCACGAGTGGCAAACTGTATAAAACTATTTTCGAAATTTAATCTCGAATTTATTATTTAAATTTAATCATTTCCTAGAGTGGTGACAGATAATTGAGGCGGTATTTATCGATATTTGAATAGTTCGCCAACTACAGTCTTGAAATATATAAAAAAAATTGTCTAAGTTTCTTTTCCTTTAAACCACAATTAACTGATATTTCTCATATTTAGATTTGTGTTTACTTGAAAGGAGAATAATAAGCCCGAGAATAAACTAAAGAAGTAGTTTTAATCACGAAAATTATTAAGTGTTTTACTACTACCCGTAAAGCAACTCATTTCATACATTGGCCACAGCGCGGCGTCACATGACTGTTGACGTAAATATCAGCTCTTGGAACGTAACTTGTTGTCCGTGTTTTTAAAATAAGATCGTTGTGGCTTCATGAACTTTTTCCCCTAAAATTCGTATTTCAAACCAACATGCAATGTAATACTGTCATAAAAAAAAAAGGTACTTAAATATTTTAGTGAGATAGCCAATTTTTTGTATCCATATAATAATAAATAACTGGGAACAAATCACGCACTGTCATCCGGCACCTAATTAGGATTCCTTGTGTTATGGGTACCAGAGGTTTAATATATATACAATAACAAAGAGCTAACAAAATTATTCATCAAACGAATGTTTGCCCGACGTGGGAACCGAACCCACGACCCTCGGCGTAACAGTCAGGAGCGCTAACTACTGCACCATCGAGTCAATCAGAGATATGAATTAAATGATTTTCATTGGTGAACGAATCAATGAAGAACGGTTTCTAAATATTTCAATACACTTTTAGGTATTCGGAATATAAGATTTTTTAGGGCAAGAAAAATTAAAAAAGATGCCTGGAAATTTGAAATTTCATAAAATTGACAAAACGATAACCGTTTATTGGACTTCAAGTCAGTAAGAAGACTGTCAGGTCAACTAGTTGCAACTGGTTCACAATATAATTGATTGTAAAACGCAATACTATTTGTGTTCATGTCTTCAAAATGTAAATTGTAAATAAAAAAAAATATATTTGTGTAAGCAATCACACGAAAACTAATAAATTAATTAATGTAAAACCATTAATATAAATAATTTGAATAACGCTTTTCATTATTTAAATTCATGAAATATAATAATAGTATTATGCACTCACTATGCAATAGTTTTAAAATTCTATTCTATATTTGTATCACTTTTCATGAGATCAACTTAATAGATTCATCAGAAAAAATTTAAAATGGCAATACTTTGATTTGATCACTTACATTATTAAGTAGCCTAATCTATTTTATACACTGCAATGATTTTAAGTCCTAATTTAACGAATGGCCATGTAAAAAAATCTGCGCTATTCTGCACTTTCAATTTATATTTCATAGGTATCATTTATTATTTATTAAACCGCAATTCGCACATTACTAATTGTTGTAAAAATGTTAAAGATGGACACACTTTTTGTATGATTGAAAAATCAAAAATTTTACAATTTCAATTTTTAGCGGTGCCGTCAAATAGATTAAGCTAAGGAACCATTTTATGTTTTATTACACCACTGCACATAAAATATTTTAGGATATAAAAAGTACTGTTCAAGTTTATTTAATTTTGGCCAAATAAAAAAATAATCAGATACCATTGAATCCACACGTGTTTTAAGGCGATACAAATATTTATATTGCACCTTATTCATAAAGATACTACAATCTCTACATAGTCACTCTAGGACGCGGGTCTGTAATTCGAAATACGGACCTGATATTACCTTTTATTTTGAAATTTAATATAGAATAGTAGTATAACTAAAAAAAAAAAATATTTCTAAGTCTTTTCTTTTCTTTGTATGAACAAAGAATTCCTTATAAAGATAATTTTCAACTACTTATAGACGGGCTATTAACATAGAAATCTTTACTCGTTATCAAGAAACGATGACAATGTATCAATTTTATTAGTTTTGCGTAACAATAGACCAAGGTCATCGCGATAAAAACAAATGGTTAGTTTCTAGTTCGACTTGCTATTTTAGTTACTCTATATTGACTTCTTAATGCCTTATTTAATTTCGTAAACGCTCATTTAACATAAGTCTGTCCTCTCATAATTATTATTATGAATTATAAAAATAATATGGTCTGGCGTATTATTTTTTACGTATGGCAACAAAATAAGATAACTTATTTTACGAACGTAAGTAATAAACATACATATTTGTAAGTTACAAAAGAGATCTATTCTAAGCGTCTATTTGATTTTGATTTTGTGTAATTTCAATTTGAAACCCAGCATCTCGGATAGAACACCCGACAGGGCGGACAATATAACAACTTTCGATACGGTGTACAAATAATGATTAGCACAAATACCGGATATCTTGAAAGGCGCGTCTAGTTCCTGTAAGAAAAAGAATTTAATTTAAATTTAAATAATATAGCTAATTTTCTTAACTGGCCATATTTTTTTTTATTGCTTTGATGGGTGAACGAGCTCACAGCCCACCTGGTGTTATGTGGTTACTGGAGCCTATAGACATCTACAACGTACATGCGCCACCCACCTTGAGATATAAGTTCTAAGTTCTCAATATAGTTACAACGGCTGTCCCGCCCTTCAAACCGAAACGCATTACTGATTCACGGCAGAAATAGGCGGGGTGGTGGTATGCGTGCGGACTCACAAGAGGTCCTCTACCACCAGCACATTGTCTTCAAAATTTAAATTTTTAAATAAATAAAGGAAGCAAGGAAAACCAAAAGAAGATAATTTGAACCCACCTTCAGCAGATCGGCGGCTAATTTGAGCACGTTATTGGCCACAGTTAATTGGTCTTTGCTCTCCGGTCGCTGTTCTATGGCTAGATGCAAGTTGATCTGCTCTGTGAGAATGGCCGACAGACAGCCTCGGTACTTTTTGTTGACGTTACTGCCCAATGTGATCAGACGCAACAAGTATATCCCGAGACAGCAAATCCAAACCATCGCTTCGAACAGCCATCCTTCTTCTAACGTCACCGAATCCTTTTACGAAAGAGATGTTTTGTTTATTATTATCATTGCGGATAATTACGTTTTACTCGAACGATGTAACATTAAATGATTAATTTTTTTTTTCTTAATGTCTCAAAGGACGAGTTTCTCAATCCAATTTTTTTTAACATCCAAATTTTACTACAGTCAATCCGTTTTTTTAAAGCTCGCGTTTCACTTGTTCCCCCATTTAAATTTTATCGAGATGTTGACTTGACAAACTTTAACTATGTACATTGATCATATTTTCATTTTAGTTAGCTGAAGTCGGTTTGCTTATTTTGTTAAATTTTTGTATTATATAGTACATAATTTTTATGCTTATTGTTTTGCGTGGAATATCTTACCCTCAATAGGTGAGCGCTGACGCATGCAAGCAAAATCAATGTGAGCATGAAGGCAGCGGATACTATGACGTCTACAGAACGTTGAGGGCCACGGCGCTGTAAGACATGAATTTGTTTAGAATATTTAATTTTCGAGGGTAGATGTGTAAAAGAGCTCACACGAGGAGTGAAGTTGTGTGATTTGTTTTATTTTGATTTTGTCTATTTGGTGTTTCTTCAGGTTTAAATGTGTAATAACGGTGGTTTATTAGCTGTTTAGTATCTGTGAAAGTGCAAAAATATAGGAAAATGAAACAAATCTGCTGAACGTAATTTCTCGGGAACCTCCAAAAAGTCCACTGAAAAAGTCTCAGTAAATGTCCACCATTTCACTGAGATTATATTTCATCCCATATCATCTCATTTAATTTTGTTTTCATTTAATTTCATTTCATTTCATGCTTAGTTTCATATTAATCAACTTCATTTCATTTCATAATATCGTTTCATATAAAAAAGTTTTCATCAAAATTAAAATAAGACTTGACCTAAAGGTCTTAGTTACCGTGGGTCATAAAATTCTCATAAAAAAAATGAAAACTTTTTTTTAGTTTTTTTTTTTTTTTAAATACTTTAAAAGTCGTACCCGCAAATAAGAACGAGTCGAAAGCCAAGTCTTGATGTTTCTGACCGTGTTGAGTCTGAAGTGTGGCAGCTCCGATTTGCGGGCTCGTCTCGCCGACGTCAGATGTGAGAACAGTTTCGCGTATAGAAACCTCTGTTTGTAGGCACGTTCTGCAACGGCCAGTAGGAAGAACATGAGGCCGCTTAGAGCGAAACGCAGGATGCATGATATTATATTCGTCATCAATTCCCTGAAAAATAATAATAATATAAATATACATATATATTTATTTCAAGATAAAACGTGGATTTATAAACAATATTGTTCACTCAATGGTAAAAACACAACCAATTGCTTTTTAAAATAAAAATAACGTATCAATTGTATTATATTGTCCGATTGCGCTGAACTTATTTTAAGTGAAATAGATGTTTTTTCAAATTGTCTCACTACTTACAGGAAAAATCTGTCGCGGATCATCTCCCAATTAAATTAATCTTAAGCAATGAATGAAATGTATCCAATTCTTAGCTGTATATTTTATTTTTATTTTTAATATAATGTAAATGTTAATGTAATGTCGATTGCACCTATAATTGAGGTGACATCTGCCATGAACTTTTGTCAATTTGTCAATGTTTTGTATTGATGATCACTTTGTTGGTGCAACTTATTAAATAAATAAATAAATAAATAAATAAATAATATACGTAATTATGTCCTTGAAACCTCAGAACCTGAAACCTGATACGTACATCAGTTTCAAAAGGTAGAATTACTAGAGGAGAATTTATATTCTTATCACACTAAAAAACATGTTATTTTTACTCTACAGACTGGAAGCAACACCACTACAGAAACGGTTGTATTAAAAATCAAAGGAAAATAAAAATAAATCTATTTTTTTTTTCATACTTTGTAATCTGTAATGTAAAACATATCAATTCGAGGGTCAACGACCTCGCACAGCACATGTCACGACTTCCGCGCTCGTGCGAGACCATTGACCTTACGTGACAGCTGATTTTAAGTTGTTCTACCGAAAAAAATATTATGGAATAAGTACATTCACCCGATACTGTTAGTTTTAGATTGGAGAGCGGTCCATTAGCATGTTTTATAATTAAATCGATTGCATTTTTCACTCACCAAGCATTATCTCCGAACGCTCCGTAGAGTATATATAAAACAGAGCCCTTGCTGTAGTTGACGACGACAGATATTATGTACAAGAAAATTGTCATTGACTGCGTCTCTTCTTCTGTTCTCGTGTCTTGATCTATGGCCAACTTTAAAGATAAGAAACTTCAATTTATTTAAATAATGAGCTTTTATAAGTGTTTGCTAGCACGTAAGTATGGACGAACTAGTTAATCCGTAGTTATTAAAGGTCAGTGGAATACAGATACAACTTAAAATATCTGGCGCACATAGATTCCATACATACTACTAAGACAGTTAAGGGAATCGTTCAAAACTTGCTATTAAAACGTTTATATGAATTAATTATACCAAAACTTGGTATGGTCTATATTTTTGTACCAAATCGATTTTACATGAATGATTTATTTATTCAATTAGTTTGATTCGTTAGTATCAATGAAGCTGAGAGTATCTAAATGGCTCCTATATTTTGTTAATTTTCTTTGTTCCGGTACAAGGCAATACAATGCGTAGCGCGGTTAAGATGCAGGTTTCAGATCGGTGTACATTATTTTATTTATCTATTATTAACATAGAAGTAGAAACACAATCATAATCTGCATTTGTGCTTGAACTAGGTGATAAAACCTGTATCTAAAGCAGCAATGCTCCTCGTACAAAGAATACAACAGCTTTACTTTAGATACACAAAAATATAAATTTAATAGACAATAATTAAACTGAAATTCATAGACTGCATAAAAGTGACAAAATGTGAGATTAAAAATATCAAAATTAAGAAAAAAAATTGAATTGAATGTAGTAATGTACCTTCTGTGTGTAATGAGCCTGAGCATGAGTGAGTGTAAGAGGGTGTGTGTGGGCGTAGTCAAAAACATTAAAAGTTATTTAACAAAATTTTAGTGTCCTCATAGTTAAATGCGTATGTAATGCGTACGCATGTCCGATCCTGCGGACAGAATGGAAAGCAGTCGACGTTGCCCCAAACACGTCATTTCGGATCCTCTCGATCCACTAACGGTGCTTTTAGGTACCTCAAGCACCAGTCATCGCTCTCGTCGAACCCGTCGCTTGCGACGAAGGGCTCGACGAGTAAATTAATACTCAGACACAGCCCACTGAGTTTCTCACCGGATCTTCTCAGTGGGTCGCGTTTCCGATCCGGTGGTAGATTCTGCGAAGTACGGCTTTTGCTAGGGTTCGTGTTAGCAACGTCATCAGGTTTGAGCCTCGTCAGGTCACCTGCTAGTTAAGGCGACACTGATATAGCCTCTTAAGGCTATCAGCTTAGGTAGGAAAAAAAAGAAAAATGTGTACGTACCTGCGTGAGTCGTATTGCGGGCGTGAGTAACGCGACGATGGTGGCCATGGCCAGACCTGCCCAGACGCAGCCTTCGGCGGCCATGGCTCGCTCGGCGCGCGCCACCACGTACCAACTAATGTCGACGGCCGACAGCTCAGCCCGTAGCGTTGAACCTCGCTCCCACATTGTGCATTTCACTAATAAGCACGATTTTTTTTTTCAGAACGAAAGATTACTGGCCTATCCAGTTTCACCGGTGTGCTTAGTCCGAGTTTTTTTAACGCTCTCGATAGCATAAAAGTTAACTTGCAAATTTTTATGCAGTCAGAACAGCGCCCCTAGCGGCAAACGTAGGCAAACGTTCCAACTTCATACAAATTTGAGTTAACTTTTACGCTATCGAGAACTTTAAAACCGTCGCACTTAGCACACAGGACAGTTGGGCGAGCACGGGCTCATCCAGGAGGGATGGGATTTGCTAACAGCTGCCTGAGCGCTTCCAAAAGAGACCGAACAACTCAAGGACAAATAAGCGAGTATAAAACATCCAAAACATCTATACTAATATATAAATCTACAGTGGTTTTTACGGATGTTCCGTTATAACTACTGAACCATGTATCAGATTGACTTGAAACTTGGTTGGATACATGGATGGATGTATGGATGTAGAAAATACATGTACTTAATGGATAGGCTAATATTTATATGAGTCGTGGACTCCCTACAGCAGTTGCGGGGGCGTTAATGATGAGAATCTTTGTGAGGTTGAGAAATAATAATGTTAATTTTAAATGCCCAGCGAAGCGGACGGGTACAGCTAGTCTTTAATAAATCTATGCGATTCAAGATGTTTTACTCATGGTACTGGCACGGGTACGTATTCTACGTATCACTGTCCTACTTTTTGTAATGAAGTAGGCATGCGTTCGGGCTTGAGTGATGGAACAGCTGATCAACAAAACAATTGCAACTACATCCTCGTGTTTCAATGTGGGTGGCGGCATTTATATGACTTTTATGAGCCCCGGAAACCATTTAACACCAGTCTACTTCAATACTACAATATGTAAAGATAGTTTAGAAAACATTAAAAAAAGTTTGAAAATAAAAGCCAAATTATTCCTAAATTCAAATTAGTCCTTAATTCGTGCGCAAAATTTTCAAGCTAATCGGACTTCTTAAAGTTGGTGATCTTTTTATTATTATTAATAATAATTACAAAATTTTAAACTAATAATTTCAAACTAATAAAAGCGTGCCAAACAAGATTTGTTATTGACCGCCTTTTCCTATTACAGTGTCCATTGAAAAGTTTCACATAAACGACATCATCTACTAGTAACTGCCTGTGGTATTTGAAATTATTAACGATATGCAGCGGCTTGGCTCTGCCCTTGGCATTGCTGACGTCCATGGGCGACGGTAACCGCTCACCATCAGGAGGGCCGTATGCTCGTCTGCCTACAAGGGCAATAAGAAAAACATCGTCACAGTTGGATCATTTGATACTAGTACACAGAGTCTTCTGGCCACGAAGACTTAAATACATACCTAGATTGTTATTATTAATTGAATAATTATGTGTTAACCAGAGTATAAACGCAAGGGGGTCCTACCATGCAAATCCAAACGCCAAGTTGAAGTCTCAATGGCAATACCAGTTTCAATGCGTACTGAACTCAATTTTGTCTATGGTTCACTGTGTGTCAAAGATAAAGTATTTTTATTATTATTTGAAAAAGGTCAAGCTAATGTGAAACGTGCGAATAATAGTTGAAATTCACGGTTACCTGTATCGCTTGTAGGGTCTAGTAAGGCGAACGGATCCCAGGAGCTATCCGCGGCGTAATGGAAGCCCACGTCAGAATTACCCCCTTCGGATTGCGAACAGTAACTACTCTCCTCACCTAAGAGCACATAGTCGATGTAAAAATCGTAACACATGGAAGGTAAATCATAGCTTTTGTTTATGTTTGTACATCTGTCTATATTTCATGCTTTATCAATGAAACGAAAACAAATAAAACAATAACGAAAACAAAAGCCTAACGTTGTTTTTAGAAGCAGATTTGTGGACTTACGTTTTAATGTGATATGTTTAATTGAAATTCATAGCATTTTGTTTTAATCAAATTCGGTCTTAGTGTCTATGTTTCAACAGATATATAAGGACAGGATTGTCGCGAAAATTTATGGTTCTTAACACGGACATGTATGGAATGAAATGCGATTCTTACTGTTAGTAGTTTGGCCAACCCAGTCAGACATAGTGTGGTGGGATGGCAGAGCGATCGATGGCGCAGAAGCAGAACATTCTCCATCGGATGACGACGTTTGGAAAGTTTCAATTTTCTAGGAACAGTTTATTTATTTAATTTCATTTAATCGTTTTTTTTTATTAGAACAAATGGCAAACTTTTTGATTAATTTTATTTTAATTTAACTGAAATCTTCAGCTAACGCAGCCTTCCCCAAAGTGGGCGATAAAGCCCCCTTGTGGGCCTTGCAGGCCTAAAGGGGGGCAGTAAAAGACCCAGAAAAAAATGGGAGCGTTGTGTAGAGACTTGGTAGGCGATTTGTATTTTCATCTAAGAGGACTCTTAGATACCGACTGAGCTCTCGCGATAGTGGTTTTTAAGTAGGTTAAAAAAAGAGGGGCGCTAAAACATAATTTATTCTCAAAGTGGGTAGTAGACAAAATAAGTTTGCAAGCCCCTGAGTTAACGTATGAGCATTATCTCAACGAATTCATGCCTTGTACGGAATTATACCAAAGCAATGTTTTCATCAATTTCATCATCATCATCATCAATTATTTTAAAGCAAATGAGGTCGCAATTTTCGTTAATTACTTTTCGAATTATCTGTTATTACTTTCGGATGGCGATTAAGTAATTTATTACGAAACCATGCTTAAGCAACAATTAAATTTTATACCGTTCATTACTACCTGGATGATCGTGCTGGTAATTCGGTCCATCTACCTATTGTTAAAAAACAGAATCAATATAGGATCCTCGTTTCTGATTGGTGCATATAAATATACAATACATAAAGTTAAATTAAGTAACGTCGTATCATGCTATTCTCTTTAAACGTAATTTACCTTTTGCTTATTCTTAACGTTAGCAAAATCATCGTCACTTGATTCGTCTCGCACGTTCTCTAGTATCCAAGAGCTTCTGAAACGTACACCGATTCGCTTTCCTCTATTAGGACTGTCAGTGACATTAACATCAGAGTCTGGTTCGTTCGATTTCTCATCGTCCTCTGTCTTTAAAACGTTTGCTTTGGCGGTTGTTGTGGAGTTCTCTTCAACTTTGTCAATCGGTGTTTTGTCAACGTCATTGGCCGAATCATCTTTTGCTGTCACCTCATTCCTTTCGTTACTAACTATTTTATTACCAGAAAGTCTGGCCTGTAAGATTTTTACCCTGTTGTCTCCGTCGCTCCCGTTCGAGTTGTAACCGTTGAGGCTTTCGAAGCCGTCGTCACCGTCAGCGAATAACGCCCTATGCTGATTTTGTCTTACATTAAAAGATTCTAAATGCTTTTTAGTCAATATATTAGACTTATATCTAAAGGAGGAACTAGGTGTAGCATCGTCCGGCGGTGGGGTGAACGTTACTATGGGAGTGTTTATATCCGGTTTCTTCCAAGCCATATAGTCTTCGTCGTCCGAATCTTTGGCTTTAAGTTTGACTATCGCTTTATTTTTCGCGGTCGGTTCAAGAGGCGTGCTAACATTTTCCTTTGGCAGTTCTTTCTTGCGTTTTCTATAAGACAACAATTCATTATCGATAATCGTTTCGTAATAGCTATTGACTACAAAATATTTACTACTTCCCCCATACCTGAGTCCATTGTCACCTAGTTCACTTCTGGACTGTCGGCGCCTGAATTTGGAGGGTTTTGTGGTAGGAGTCTTACTTTGGCTAGATGTAGCACCACTTTCGGCGGAACCACCCGCACTGCCGCCGTCACATTCTGACCGTGGTCGTCTACAAGAGCACAATTATAGATACTCCTCTAGTTTAAAGTAAAGTATCATCAAACATTGTGAATAGAACGAATTAGTACCTGAAATATCGAGGCAGTTTCCGTCGATAAGTGGAACGGGGACGTACTCTAGCAATTTCCATTTCTGTTGTACTAACTATTTGTGAATGCACCATACTCAGCACCAGCATTAAGCCTAATGGCACCAACCAGCAATTTGGCTAAAATAAAAATTTACTAATTTGTATTTTTACTGTACTTTTTACTTTACTTGTAATTTTACTGGTGGTAGGACCTCTTGTGAGTCCGCACGGTTAGGTACCACCACCCTGCCTATTTCTGCCGTGATGCAGTAATACGTTTCGGTTTGAAGGATGAGGCAGCCGTTGTAACTATACTTGAGACCTTAGAACTTATATTTCAAGGTGAGTGGCGCATTTACGTTGTAGATATCTCTGGGCTCCAGTAACCACTTAACACCAGGTGGGCTGTGAGCTCGTCCACACATCAAAGCAATAAAATAAAATAAAACATCGGTGTGTTTAGTGCGAACCTAGCAGCAAACGAAGGGAAGTTGTTCCAACTCCATACAAATTTGAGTTAACTTTTACGCGATCGAGAAGTTAAAAAACTCGCACTAAGCACACTGAAGCAAACGTCCAAAAACGTTTTAAAAAGCACAATCTTATTTAATGAATATTAAATTAAATGTACTTAATATCTTACCAAAATTAATGTAGCGCTGATTGATATGAGTGCCCGTCCCATTTTGTTCCATGACGACAATCATTATATCGGGTCTAGGCTGACTGTGACTCAAACTAATGACCGGTAAGTCGACTAAAATAATTATATGTTTAAGAAACTCACGTCAACATCCAAGTTATCTGGTGACATGAAGTAAAGAGATATATTCAGTACTTGTAAGAGCCATAGTGTTAATAGGAATTTGGCACAAGCTGGTGACGTCTGCTGGGCCCACCATTGGAACAGTGCTGGTAGGAACACTAGTCTGACTAGAGCGAACCAAACAACCCGGCGCATTCCCAGGGTGGGCTTCGCTTTCGGGAACGATGATCCTGTTGAATATAATCAGTATACATCTATTTAAGATATACATATGCTAGAACATATTTCTTCGTACTGTTATAGGAATTTACTCTAAGGAGGTTTTAAAAAAGGAAACTTTTAGGATACGAACTTTTTTTTTTAATTGCCCTTGTAGGCAGACGAGCATACGGCCCACCTGATGGTGAGTGGTTACCGTCGGCCATGGACTTCAGCAATGCCAAGCCGCAGCCTACCGCAAACTACTATTTTATTTGATTTATACAATATGGATGATAACTCTCAGAGCAGCCCTGGCAGCCGCACCCGTACTCTAAGACAGTTCACTCCCTACTGACTATTCTCCGGTCTCCTCTAGTCTCTACCTCGGATCGTCTAGTCAGCGGCTCGAGGGTATCAGCATTTTAGGGTTCAGTACAGATATATAACAGTACGTACGTTCTATCATAGTTGCGTTCGTGAAACGGTTAGTTATGTATCTACTTAGAAAAAATTGGACCGGACAGATGCTTTGAGTCCCGATACAGTAGCATCGTTCGACAATAATATATGAAATTGTAAAAACCGTCAAACGCAACCTAAAAATCCATTTTTGGGCTGTAACGTCTAGACAGAATTTTGTTCGTTTTATATGACATCGATAGATTCAGGAGATTTATTGGTGTAAATGGAAAAGCGAGTCACCTCTTTAATGTTCACCAACCGCCATCAACACCCAACTAAAGACGTGCTATAAAAGTTTAAAAAATTGCATCGTATTTAACTGGAGCCGAGAGGAGTGCTTTACGACAGAAATAGGCAGGATCGTGGTATCTAAGAGTGAGGATTCACTATACCACTGTTCTCTTATGTACTTCTTTGTACTCTTTGTAATCACTACATAGTATAAAACAAAGTCGCTTTCTCTGTCCCTATATCCCTATGTATGCTTAAATCTTTAAAACTACGCATCGGATTTTGACGCGGTTTTTTTTAATAGATAGAGTGATTGAAGAGGAAGGTTTATATGTATAATAACATCCATTAAATAGTGGAGAAATCAATATTAAATTACAGTTTCCGAAGCGAAGCGAGGGCGGGTCGCTAGTTTACAAATAAAATATTGGGATCATGCATGCATTAGGGTAAGGATTCATTTCGACAACTTTGAGAATCCCTGGTCTAAAGAAATAAAGTAACTTACCTCTTACTAAATCAACGTCTATGAGATACGAACGCGCGTGCGATGAAAAGTCTACGATACGTCGGCGGTATGTGCCTCGCATCAATAGCTGTTCTACCATGGTCTCCCATTCTTCTTTGTCGTAGGAGCTTATTTTTTTTTGGTACCTACAATTGATGATTTTCTATTACTAGACTAGTTAGTCTATCGCCATCAAGGTTCCTAAACTGAGTAGCTGCATCCTTGACATTACTATTACTCATGAGCCACAATTAATACTGTTCCAACTGGCCTTAAGGACGTTTGCTTTCAATAGCAAAAATATATAAATAGTAGAAAGTAAATACAGAACCAATTTAACTGATCATATATTTCATTTTTGTATAAATTAATTATATTTATGATTACCCTACCAATACTGTATAAAACAAATACCCCAGTAATATATTTTAAAACCAACTTTTAACAGTGCTGTGTGTGTGTGTGGCGTTGTCCTAGAATAGTGCGAGCTGCTAAAGGTTTCAATAGAAACTGCACTATTCTTTGAGTATTATATTAGCATACTAAGATTGCCAAACTGCATGTTAAGCGTGGTAATTATGGCAATGCAAGGAGTAGATGTATTTCAGCTGATGGTAATCATGTAACATGTCGCGGATCACAAAATATTGCTTCTGACATGATTTAAAAATCTTTAAAATGTAAAATCCAGTTTAATGTTGTATAAATTTTGTGCTTGTTTATTAGACTATTTTACTATAAGCAACTTGTTGCAATAAATTTAATCAACATAAATTTGTACAAGCAACTTGAACATTAGCACAAATTCTCTTTAACATGCTTCACACAGGTTATTTTAGTAGGAGTGAATATGTTTATGCTATTTTAAAATAGTCTGTTTGTTGACCGATATTTGTATCATCATAAAACTATCTACAATTAAGAGATATCAACAAAATCTGAACTTAAATTCTAAGCGTTTAAATTTCAGGCAAGATAGAGAGCATCCTATGTTGAACAGTCATAAGTGTTGACATATGCTATAATTTCATTAGTAAGAAGTAAATCTAATAGCGATTTAACAAACACGACACCAATCATTATCCGGTTGGTTATATTTAAACAAAAAACTCTAGAGACGTAGTAGAAGTAATAAGAGTATGTTTTTAAAAAAAGGTACAATGGTTACTTCTAAGTTTTATAACTGAGAACAGATTTTTTCACAATTACAATTCATCCATTTGGTTTAAAAGTATGTTTTTTGCTTATGAGATTCATATTTCTCTGTGTCCCATAAGTTGATGTCAATTTATTCTATTTAAATTACTTACCATGCTGCCAATTGTTTCATATTGTATATTCTTTATGTATACAGTCCTGGTGCCAGGTTCCTGTTTTTGTTGTTTGCCAGCTGAAACATTGTATTAAGGTAAATAAAATAGGATGCATTTATTACATAAATGTGTTTAATTTTATTTTGTGAGCTGCCAGTTATCAAATTGATTGCTGATTTTTGTTTATTACTACCTCCATCCATAGTGTGCGACCCAATTGATTTATGTTCATTTATACAATGTTTTTATTCATAGTTAATTAAGATGTACATACACAGTTAAATTAAAAATATATGAATAAATTTGTTAGTTTTTATAAAGAAATAAAATCTTACCATTTGGTCAAATCTATTTGTTGATTCTGAATTCTCTTTATTTTATTCACATGACAGCAATTTCGAATGAAAACTAAATTAAAAAAATATAAACAAAGGATGATTGTGTAAACGGCATCATAGAATTTGTATAATAATATATTTATGTAGGTGTGCAAAATCAGGTGTTCAAACTGAACTAACATTAAAATTAGAAACGAATAATCGACGAATGTTATTTTCTAAATAACTGTTATTTGTTCCATTTTTTTACCATTAAAAATTCTTTCTCGGTTTGTAGTTATATTTCTCTCTGAAAAAGATTATTGTAGATTTTACCCGGTACTCTACCTTTTCGAACGATAAAATGTAATGTCTCGTAAAATGTTAATAAAATAATCTGTAACAGAATTTAAGCTTATTTGGAATTAATAACACCGATGTAATCAAATTACTATCACATCGGACATCGCACTCGCAGATTCATAATAAGTGTTTTATCTATGAGCAGATTGATAGTTTGAAATTTATTTTGACATTGACAACGTGACATTTTAGTTTGTCACCATTCAAAAGAGAAATTTTGTCACTGCTTTCTTAGCTTAGTACCTATATAGGTAGGTACGTTACTAACCTACGTACCTACTTACCTTAAACTTAGAGATCTAAAATATTAAGTGTGTATATATTATCTATACATAAAGACTTTATGGCAGGAATGCGAGGAGCCAAGTTGTGTGAATTGTTGTATTTTGTTATTTTAGTGTTTCTTCATGTTTAAATGTGTCATAGCAGTAGTTTATTAAAGTGGAAATACGTGACAAAGCTGCTGGACCTAGTTTTTCGGATTCTTTCAAAAAGTCGACTGAAAATGTTTTCTAAATGGTAGTTAACATTTTAGTGATAATTTATTTCACCCGATCTCATCTCGTTCTAATTAATTTCATCCCAAGTATCAATGATCAAAGTCTTAAATTAATCTTCTAAGTCTAAGTCTTAATTAAGAGCAAATTAAAAGACTTGGCTTAAAGGTCTCGTTACCAGACCATAAAATCTTCAAAAATAAGTAGGTAAATAAGTTCGTATGCTAGGTAGGTAGGTAGTAATGGTTAATTTATTTTTCTGAGGTGGTGCTATTTTAAAACATTGTATTTTGATAAGTTTTATGGTAATTTGTAATACAAAATAATAAAAAAAACTCTATATACTTTTTTTTTTTTTTTTTTTTTTTNTTTTGAAGAGCACCGCTGTGCTTTTCGTGGGGTTAATGTCGATGCGCCACTTCCGGAACCACTGTCCCATGGTGGTAGCTGCGGTCTGAAGTCGTCGATGAAGCAACGCCTTCTTCCTACACGAGTAGTAGATGGCGGTGTCATCGGCGAAGAGCGCCAGATGGGTCTCCGGAGACCGGGGTATATCTATATACCAGAGATCCAAGCATTCTATGGTGATAACTAAATACTGAGAAGATATCCACATGGATAAATTAATTTCTATTGCTGTAGCAATATTGTGAGAATGAGACAAAAATATTAGTTAATACTTCACAATCCATCTTAAGTCGATGTGCATAGAGTAAGATTATATGTCGATGTGCCTTATCACGATGGAACTCCATGACTACCTACTATCGCCGGTTACTCCACCCTTTCAACCGAAATGCATCACTAGTGGTGAGCTCCACCCATGCAACAAATAAAGAATTAATAAAACTTCACGGCAAAAATAGATAGAGCAGTGGAACTATGTATGATTTTTGCGAGTTTAATTTTTATTACACGATGTTATTTCATCACCGTGGAAATAATTCGTTTGCTAAGTACGTATTTAATTGGGAAAAATGGTACATACAGCTCGACCAAGCTAAATTTGCACCTCGCATCGATTACGTCACACTGCCGCTTAGGTGGTCTGAAAAAAGGATTCGCTATGACTTTAAAAATGTAAAAAAATGTTTGTTAGAATTTACTTTGCATTTATTATTTTTAACAATATATTAAACATAGGTACATTAGAATATAGCAATATCGGGTTTTTGTATTAAGACCATCCGGGCGTTAACTTTTAAATTTGTATCCCAATTGCTAGTAATAATATTCCTTTATGTTTCTTTTTCAGGATTATGTTTCTCCCTTCACTGTGTATCACCTTTCCTTTCATTTTGTTACCAACAACAATCCTCTCGAAATAAAAAAAAAGAACCTTAAGCGTTCAGCAACAACAGTTCAACAAAAACTTAACAAAAATAGTCCAATAATATAACTAAACTTCAGCAAAAAACCCAACAAGAACAGTTAAAAAATTTAAAATTCAACGGATAGGGAGACGAAAACTCGTTTGATAACAAAGATGCTAACCGTACTGACGCGACAGGGCGATCGCGGGACGGTGAGCGGCGAAGCGGGCGGAGCGCCGCATTCCAGCGAGGTGCAAACTTAGCTTGGTAGAGTTGTACCTAATGTGCTTAGTGCGAGTTTTTTAACGTTCTCGATAGCGTAAAAGTTAATTGAAAGTTGTATGCACTTGGAAGGTATGTTTGCCGCTAGGGGCTCTGTTTCAATTGCAAACAAATGTGAGCTAACTTACGTTTTGTGTTTCTATTATATCGTATCGCATTTTTATTATTATCCCAATATCTATTAATAGCTTTAATTTATTTTAATTACAACTAGCGACCCGCCCTCGCTTCGCTTCGGAAACTGTAATTTATTATTGATTTCTCCACTATTTAATGGATGTTATTATACATATAAACCTTCCTCTTTAATCATTCCGTCTATTAACAAAAACCGCATCAAAATCCGTTGCGTAGTTTTAAAGATTTAAGCACACATAGGGATATAGGGACAGAGAAAGCGACTTTGTTTTATACTATGTAGTGATAAAACTTCATTCAAGAATGAAGTATCTGAGTAATATTATTTTTTTATTTTATGTTTTGCAGCCGAGTTGTTTTCTGTGAAGAGAATAAATTGCTAGATACTCATAATTTTTCCAATCAACTTTATTTCAGATGTTTCTTTCGGAAATATTTTATTATAATTTTACAATCAACATCTTATATTAATATTTACATTAATGTCACACAACAAGCATACATTTATAACCTAATTGTTACAAAATATATTAACAAAAGTAGCTTAAATAGCTTATTAGAAACAAATCTCGTATAAAAACTACATGCAAGTAGTAAACTTTATACATTTAAATTAATTAAACTATATTTTGTACTTATCAGACTTGGAATGGTAATTATGGAAATCCATAAGGGTAAAAGTCATAAAAAATCATAGTTCAGTGGTGAGTTCATCTTGAGGCCGCCTCGTCATTTCGAATAATTCATCTTCTAGCCATACACTTTCACGTCTCACAATGGGTCTCCTCTCCCAATGATCGGAGAGGACTATTGCTTCGCGTTCTATTTGGGAGTAGCTCGGTGGTCTGACGTCATTCCATTCGGACTGATTTTCTGATACTTTATCTATATTACTGTCGTATGATGTGGGGGAATATGACGGTGGTTTAAAAGTGGAAAACGACTGTTGCGTTGTTTCCGAGTCAGAGCTGTGACTCGGTGGCGTTGGTAAGACATTTACGAGTTGCCCTGCTTGTGGCTGTTGTCTGTTGCGACTGTACCTTTTAAGAATTCTGTGGATAAATAAAAATTACATAGTGTAAAAAAAAAGAAATCCTTCGACTTTTATGATTATTAAAAAAAAAGTCTACTTAACACGGTTTATGGTTTTATTAAAAAATACTAGTATTATATGCTTAGCCCTTGGCGTGGAGCCATAGATATTCTGCGCAGAATTGAAATGAATAAAAAAACATTTGGTGTATGTTTTTATTTATATCTTTTAAGTATTATATGATCATCTTCATTGCGTAATTGCCTACTGATAAACATTTGCATAACTACCTCAATACCAGTTATTTCGTTACAGAGCCAATCTTGTCTAGTTGTAATTCGTGATCATTCTTAGGAATGGCTCCAATAGATCTGGTTACAAAATAACAATTATTTGCGAGGGTGGCTTGTCTATATCTGCTGTGAATCAATCATGATTATGGTTGAGAGTGTAATAGAGCTGTTATTCAAAATCCTACGCGCAATAATATATTATTGAGATCTCGGCTGTCCTTATTAGCCAAAGTGCAATTAATTTTGTCTACGGTCTCAGTTTATATTTAAGACAAGCTGGTTTAAGATAGTTAATAAAAACTTTGTCTATAATGAGATTAAATTACCGTTCAGCCCAACTGGCGAGACGTGGCCATTCTTCCGGCACCACTGGTACGTGTTGTTTGTTTAACAATATAAGCAGCTTCGCCAGATCACTCAGTATGCAACTGTAAAGAATAGATAACTAAATATAGACACGAGCAACTCAATTACTTAACGTAAATAAACACGAACATGTGCACCGATATCGTGCTAGTAGGGTTTTTTGGGCCACCTTGCTCCCCGTTTACGGGAACTGATTTATTATTAGTTACACCAATGTTCCCGTAAGCAAAAAAAAAGCTACAAAAACTATCGGAATCGTCAAGTTTTTGTTCGGTCGTTAGAACTGAGAATATAGCCAGTTTGGTACCGTTACGGTATTTTAGACTGTGCTTGAAATTAAATCGACCAATGATGGATTCGATTTGTGAAAGGCTTCCGAATCTAGGCTATTGAAATTTATATGTTTATAAAATTCGTTCGCCACTCCTTGCGAATTGTTTACCTAAGTAGCACGATTAAGGAATGAGCTGCCTGAGAAGTCAGAAGGAAACGAATAAAGTAATTATATTAGTCGAACTATACTCTTAGATCACGCTTAATAAATTTTGGAGTAATTTTATTGGTTTATTTTAGCTTTAATTTTTTTAATTAGTAATAGTATATTGTCTTCTGTTTAGGTTTTGCAGGAAAGCTAATGAATAACTTTTAAAGACTAACGGTCATACATAGAATTTTCTTAAACTTTCCAATATAATCATCTCCTTTTTACCCGTTTCTAGGGCTTTAGTTACCCCACTTACACCAGACCATGTACCCTGAGCTTTCTTTAATTTTATGATAATCAGTTATCGGTTGATAGTCTTTTGGGAATCAATGAGCCACATACATCTCGGATGCTTTTGGAAGTTGTTCAGAGTGACTAATGAAAAATAGGACCATATATAATTCTGCATAAAATATTTATTATCCTCGTAAATATATGTATACAGTTTGAATTGAGCAAAAGTTTTACAGAAGATTAAGAAAAAGAAGCTATAGCTAGTGTTCAGGGTTTTATAATAAACTATTATTAAATATATTAATAATCACAGCAATGTATGTATTATACAATTTATTTAGTTCATGTTACCTGTAAGCCATTGCAGCGTCGTTGTTTCCGAGCTGATAAAGTTCTCGCACCTGGTGCCTCGTGTGATTCAATATCGCTAGGAGTGTGTAGGCATGAGGCTGTAATAAATGAAAATAGCATAATTATAAATTCCTGCCGTATTCCCAAAATAGGATTGTCGAAATACTTACTATAGCTTTCGTTTCTAAACGTTAGGTATCGTAGTTTTTTTTTCGTTTTTGATGTTAGTAAGTTAGTTTCTGTTATTAACATGGTTTAAGGACCGCCACGGTAGTTTCGGTGAAGTAATGAGTGCCCCTGAGCATTGGACCGAGAGTCATGACACAGGTTTAGGGGTCAAATGACCATGAGTTATTTATTGCCGATAGTTTATTTACTATTTTTGTAACCATTTTCCTATTACTATTTATTATTAAATTATATATAAAATATTATTATTAAATGGTATGTCATAAGATGGTGTATGTACCATGTCTGTTTCTCAAATAACTAAGTAATAGGTACGTTTACGATTGAAGAAATGAGAACGAATTGTGAAATGTCTTGTCTAGGTTGATGAAAGTCAATTTCAATATCGAATGTGAGAATTTTGTTCGTGGTAATCAAGTTTTCTTATTGTATTAGCGCTATTTTTTGCCACTGCTCTACTAATCGAATGGCAAAGATGTTACACAAGTAGACTAATGTAATGGTTAAGTTATCGCTACTACTAGTATTACTAGCATACCTAAATGAGGAAATGCGGTTCTAGTAACTTTTTTTTTTCTTTTTTTTTTTTTTTCGGGCCGTTGGCCGAACCTTCTACTAGGTCCCCGCGCCTAGGGGGCGCGCGGGGTATGTGAGACTCAACGTATGTTAAGTGTTTACTGAAACGGTTAGATGATCTAATCTAACGTGAATACTGCCGCCCTTATTACCTTGACTCAATTTTGTTAGATAGGCAAAGGAGATCACAGATGAATGGTTCTAAGTGGTTACTGAAGTCATAGACAATATGCGACCCCCAGAATATGTTGAGAGTTATGATGAAGTATTGTTTTTTTAGCGGTCATTCTATAATTCAATGAACATCTTGAACGACTGTGGTGGCCGCTCATGCTGGTCTACCTGAAATATACTACGAGAAGTATTGTGAACTCTTTTCTTTTATTGGATTAGTACCTACATACAGTAGTTCATAAATTTACAAGACAACTTAAGAAAACTAACAAGTATCAACGTTCTACCTCCTGTTTAAGTCAATCCTATGTAAAAAGCACGGTATATGTTTTCGCTAAATTTCATTGAAATCTACAAAGTAGATTAGAACCCTAATATTTTCAAAGTGATAGAAAAACGGGCAGTACCTATATAAAAAAGTAGTTTAATAAATTGGTGGTTTTAGACAGGTGCTATTTAAATAAAAGAAATTGATTGTGTATGACTTGTTGATCGAAATGTGGAAGCGTGAATCTGTCTCGCACATGGAGTTTCCGTGACACAAATAGTAACTACATGTTTGAGCTTGTATAAACCGGAGCACACTTGCTCAAGCGCATTGGGGCTTGTTGTACCGTGGATTCCGCATGTGCAGTGTACGGTATTGATTAAGTATAACTTAATAAGTATAACTTCTAAAATGTTACCTTGAAGCTTCCTCGACTCAAAAGATGTTAATGATCATCTCGAGGAATCCTTGGAATCGTTACCTATTTTTTTATTTGTATCTTAATCTTTGTTTTAGCAAGTCACTTTCTAGAGGTGAAATTAGGTGAAAGGTGTTTAGATGATTCCTTACATTTTCTTTATATAAATTTTAATATTATAAGATAGATAAGTCGTGTATGTACTATCAGTATGTCATCGTTGTGTTAACAAACGATGCTCACTAAATTAGGTTTCATACTTCAGTGACTAAATGAAGTAAACCGTCTTGTCATCTTGACTGGATTCTGACATCAGGACTGCACTCTCGTTGTTGACAACACATTAAAAAAACAAAAATATTGCTAAAAACTACTAGGTAATATTAACACTACTAGAATAATCAGTTCAGTTTGAAACTGTGCAAGCGAGAGTAGAAGTAAATCATGGCCATAGCGTACGTCCGGCCTCGTCACTTCGTTCGAGGAAAAATGTCGAGTGGCGCTAAGTAAACGACTTTAATTTCCAATTAAGAATACCGATTTACTTAAATCGGTGTCGAGTTAGTTTCAAGGTAACACGCCTTAGAATAGGGTTGTTAGGTTATCATTACTTTTTTTTTTTTGCTTAGATGGGTGAACGAGCTCACAGCCCACCTGGTGTCATAGCCCATAGACATCTACAACGTAAATGCGCCACCCACCTTGAGATATAAGTTCTAAGATTTCAGTATAGTTACAACGGCTCCCCTACCCTTCAGACCGAAACGCATTACTGCTTCACGGCAGAAATAGGCAGGGCGGTGGTACCTACCCGCGCGGACTCACAAGAGGTCCTACCACCAGTAAAGTACTTACACGTAAGCAATCAAGTTGTTTGTGGAACTCCCGTAGTCGCGTGTCGTCGTCGTGGTTCGTACGCTGGGGCAGCGGTTGCGCTTGGGCACGCGCGTTGTTCCTGCAACGAGCGTACGCAGCCGCTGCTGCGACCAGCGCGACACACAGTACGGCACCACACGCGCCTCCGACCAGCAGCTGTGTTGTAAGATTAACGCATTGAATTATTTTTTTATTGCTTAGATGGGTGGATGAACTCACAACCCATCTGGTGTTAAGTTGTTACCGGAGCCCATGGACATCTACAGCGTAAATGCGCCACCCACCTTGAGATATAAGTTCTAAGATCTCAGTATAGTTACAACGGCTGCCCCACCCTTCAAACCGAAACGCATTACTGTTTCACGGCAGAAATAGGCAGGGCGGTGGTACCTACCCGCGCGGACTCACAAGTTTTTCGTAAGACTTCAGTTTACAGCTCAACAGAGGCTCAGCGGTCGTAAACGCTGCATAATCAATGCCACCGCCCGTACTGAGACACGTGGCCCAATTCTTAGTTGCATTGGAATAAAGGTTATACTACACTTCAAAGGAAGCTTTGCGGTGGTCGTCGCGAGCATGAGTTATATCATAGTACCTAATGATTCAGTTAATCAAGTGTTAGGTTATCCATGGAGTTTATTACGTAGGAAATTAACTGTATCTGATTAACAGAAGCGTCCGTGGCGGAATATGTATAGCGATTGATGGATTTATATTTAATTGTTTAAGTCTTACGGCAGATATCAATTTTTTCTTATATGGTATCTTCTATCTTATATGGAAATGGGGACAGTTGCACTCAGCGCTAAATGCGTCACCTTGTATTGGTTTATTTCAGTCTCGTTCAATGTTCGGACGCGAGTTGTTCAGCAACAAAGAACTTTAGTCGTTGAATTTCGATATGGATATGCCCCGCTTACTGCTTCAATATGTACACGTAAGTATTTTACGACCCAAATGTATCTAGTCGTCTAGATCTCATCTGCCCATCTACGCCAGTGTATGAAACCGAAGTTATTAGTCAATAATTGGTCAGATGAGGAAACCCTTTGAAACTAAGCGATCTTCCAGAAACACGTGGAACACAAAAATAAAACGAAATCCCATACCGTAAACACCGAGTTCATTAAACAAAGTAATTTTTGATTCGTTTCCCATACACGGATATCATACGAGCGTTAAAACTTTTGTAGGTCCGACATTTTCAACGGATTTACGATTTTTAATGAGCGTGCCTGCATCAGTGTTGTACATCGAGAGTTGTATCACAGAGCGGCTTTGGTTTGATGTTTGATGAAAAACAGCTTGTTTATTTCAACCCGATACTAATAAAAAAGTATTTTTTATTGGCAACATTTTTTTTATTTATTTATCTTGAATGTGTTCTTAGTTTCATAATAAAATCAAGGTAATAAATTTTAAAAATAAAACTATATATTTCTTCTGCTTCATCTCGAGTTTATTATTTTCGTTTTCTTATTTCCGACTTTTCGAATACTTGAATTTTCAAGAACGACTAAAGTATTCAACATCATACGATTAAGAACGTAAATGTATTTGTAATTATGTCTACGACTTGCAAAGACCAGAGACATCTAGTCTTGATTTAAGCTATCCGTTGATTTGTGGAAATAATTTAATTTAATTTCATGGAATAAGTATTATATTATTATGTTGTGTGTATATGAATATGTATGTGAATTTACGAGTACATGATAGAGATTATATATTGATATGTATGTAAATTTTATATTATTATCATGATATAATATTGTGTACGTTGTTGTATGTGATGATATATATATACCGTGTATAAATGTATGGAGTATTATTATCAGTTTGGTTATTTTCACAAAAAGTAATGCACCTGCCACAGGATTCTCTATTCTCCTTGGTTGACTGGTAGAGAATCATTAAGGCAGGCATTAGGTCCGCCATTGTATTTCTGTGCATTAAGTTAAATAAATAAATATATGTAACTAAATATTGTTGCTTGTACCGCTATGAATAATTTCAGATAGGTTTACACTTTATGTAGTTGCTTCCAGTTGAATAGGCGTTTGGAGAAAGTCAGAGAAAACTGTCTTATAATTATTTACTTTCGCAGTTAAACAACGCTTTGACTCTCGAACAATTTTCTATTTTCTCGCACAGTCGATGTGGAATTTACTGAAGCGCTCATTTTATAATACAAAAGTGATTGGAGTCGATATTTATTCTGCTATACATAAATCTGTAGTAAAAACGATTTTTTGCTTTACATGCATTTGCAAAAAATTATCACAATAATGTGTTCCTAACTACAAATCAGTGCTTATTTGCATGTATGTTTTAAATGTATGTTGTATATATGTTGTATGTTATATAAGTAAAAAAAAACAAAAACATGCATAGGATATCTATTGAAGTTTATAGACTTAACAACTCGATTACAACTGTAACGTAAATCAAAGTTTGAAGGCCTATTTTTTTAAGTGCAACTAGTATAAGGTGACTTATTATGTGCGTGTACGAAATCGCGGGTACACATTTGACCATGTCATTGACATGTGTCCGTACAGTTTACTTTGGAGCCGTAGTTACCAATCGCTTATTATAATTAGTATTTAAGTGTTCCGTTGAGCCTCCAATAGTTTAACCAAGGATTTAATTTCCAGGATGAAAGGGAAGGAATTGACAAAACCGTCGTTGTCTGAACTAGGTAGTGTGTAAATAGCGTTGTAAAAAATGAGAAGGTACATAAATATGTACTCTTTTTAAAATATTTAAATAGATAATTAAAGTCAAATAATCTATTTCATATGTTACGACTAATGAGCTATCATTTATTATATATATTCTTCATATCTCATTCATATCATTATCTAAATGCAATCATGAAAACTTAAGAAATTGAATTTTTGTGTGTTGACTGTTACGCTGTAATCTCTACTGTGCGCATACGCGGATAGTTATTGTAATTTTGCCTTCTTCTATCGTAAAACATTCATGCCTTCCGATTTGTATTTTGGCCTAGATTTCATACGATGCATACAATAAAGTAACAATTGTGACTTTTACCTCGTACCTCAAGATGGGTGTCGGAATTTACGTTGTGATATTCTTGGGGTTCGGTAACCAGGGTTAGAATATGAATTTATTCACCCATCAAGAAAATATAGTATGGCTGTACTGTACCTCATTATAAGCGTGACCAGGATAGCAGATTCGGCCCATGAGGTGGTCATCATGCGCCCAAGACTCCCTGGTACCAGAGGGACACTCGTGTGTGCATGTGCCGCCCGGCCAGACCAAGAGTCTAAGGCACTTCACGCACCCGTCCGCACCGCAACGAACGCACTCTGTGCCGCATCCTGTAATTAGAATGTTTCAATTAGCTTTATCAGCACTTTGTTCTTTCATTTATCTTAATTAGTGTTTCGTTTTGTGAATGGATAAACATGTATGGACTTGGAGGTTATAATAAGTTCATTGCGTCGTTGATTGAATTGTTTCCGGTAGTAAAGATAAAACCGAGGCTCCGTGAATAATTTTGATATACATAAATAATATATGTTAAGATATTGATTTGTAAGTAATATAGCAAATACTTTGGATCTTCGATTGGATGATGCTTCAAGTCGACTCTGTTCTATGTATTTATAGGTTCACTTAGTGCCACGTGTAAGTCCAAAAGCGTATAATAAATACTTTTGTAAAGATAGTTTACTAACAATGAAACAATTTCATTCTACGAAGTCAAAAACTGCGAATATTCCAACAGTAACTAATAACAAGTAGTCTACTAATTGTAATTTAATATCTAAACAGGTGTCTGAGATTTACAATTCAACTCTCTGTATAGCTAGTTACATAATATAGGAACCTAAAAACGATACTCGAGAATCATTAAAAAATGAGATGAACAAAAAACCGACGATGTACTTGTATTTTGAATTTATGACATAATCACTTTAAACGTTTCTATATTACAGATTCTCTGCAGAAAAAAATTCACGAATAATACTGAAGCTGTGAGTAATAGGTAACAATTTCCTTGTAAATTGAAAATGTAGACTTGAGAGAATGAAACATTATTAATATTCATCGTGCAAGTCATTTGTGAATTTTATATTAGGAACATAAAATTTTGTCGCGTCAAGATTGCCACAGTATATTTAGTAGTTTAAAATGAGGGTCACGATACTTATTGGGACGTAAAAGATTTTATAGGTCATCAAACTTACATGAAAATTGATAACATATTAACTCCTACCCTTATATAAGGCTTCAAAGTAAGTAACATTCGTATAACACTTGACCGATTTTTCTTTTGTGACGTTGCATTGCGATGCTATTCAACACGAAGAATAATTCAAATTTTTATGCTAATAATATTGTCATATTAGGTTTAATTTATGCAAGTTTGAGGCACGTTCATTTGATAATAATTGCACACGAACTTGGTAAATGGTGAACGTATAATAAGTTACATTACGCCAACGCAATACTGCATCAAGCCAAGTATAATGATAGCGTTGTATTTTTTTTTTTTCAAAACAGGTTCATTCTAGAAACACAATTTTGAAAATTTTTACGTAACCATACGTAGAATGTGGAGCACATTTAGGTATATTTATTTTAACGTATGATATAAATAAATTGGTGATTTATGTTTATGAAAACGACGTTATATTTATGTGCTATAGTCGTTTCACCGCTGGTTTTCAATAATCTATTAGGTTTAATATAAGATTGACGGCTGTGAAATCAACTTCGAAGCAACTTCACCGTCGATTTAATTCGATGCTTTCCAAAGCGAAAGCGGTCGCTATGCTTGCTATACGCGATTAGTACACGGCTGTTTAATTAACGGGACTCGGTACAACACGTATTGTTTACCTAAAAATCCGTTACTTTTTTTATTAGGCCGGTAGGCAGCAGCTTGGCTCTGACCCTGGCATTGCTGAAGTCCATGGGCGACGGTAACCACTCATCATCAGGTGGACCGTAGGCCGTGTGCTCGTCTGCCTCAAATGGCAATAAAAAAAATTTGTCTACATAGTCAAACGAGCATATGATCCGGGTGATGGTTTGTGGTTTTAGCCGTTCAAGGATGTCAGCAGTGCCAGAGTTAGAGCAAAGCTGCTTCCTACCCCTGACTGCTCTCCGTAAGCCTAATTTGAATAAGAAGATGTCATAGCGTTCTTATATATACTAGTGGTCCCGCAGTAGTCGAAATTCGACTATAATTAATTGGAATTGTAAGTTTGTACACTATTATGATTGTATTTTATACTTATATAATCACAAATTTCGCCAAGACTACACTGTAAAAAATATTAACAACAACATTTAATCTATTCTCAATTTGATAACAGACGCCAAGAACAAAAGTTTGACAATAAATAGTATGCATGCGTGCGTGCGTCAAATACATGGTATGTAGTGTGTGTAATGTTTTCTTTATTGATTTAATGTATCTTTTATGCATTATTTTGAAAAAATATTAGCATTGTGCACTTCTTTTCTATATTCTCTATAAGTGTGCAAAATTTCATACTCCTCCGTCCGCGCAATTTTTGTAAAAAGGGATACAAAGTTTTTGCTTCACGTATTAATTAATATATAGATATAGATTACTCGTTTGCTTTGTACCTTTTTTTCAATTTTAATTCTATTTTTATAAATTAAATAACGGCCGTCTGGTGTGGTGGTAAGTGACATGGTTACTACACAGGGGGGTCGCGGGTTCGAATCCCGCCAAGGGAAGATATTTGTATGATAAATATAAATGTCTTTTCCAGGGTTATGGATGTCTATTAAATATATGTATGTGTATAATAAAAATCTTACATTTATATCCGTTATCTGGTACCTGTAACACAAGTTCTTTACGAACTTATCACGGGACCAGTTAACGTGGCATGATTGTTAGTAAATATTTATTTATTTATTTTTATAAATTTTAACGATACGAACGAACAGAGTTTTAAAAGAACGAATATTATTTTCTTCGGATTAATTACATAATTGTCAAGTCCGATTGGCGTGGGCGCATTTCGCACGTGTGTGTACTATGATTAGCATTGCATCACAATAAAGAAAGTTTACATCCGCTTCGTGTTATGATTGCACTTTAGACGCTGACAATAATACATACGATATTAATTATTATGAATTATGTATAATGTGTATTATATGACATGCGATTAATTACTAGAAACGAATGAGCTTCGAAGAAATCACGAGCGGTTTTGTTAACTGTCATTTCATCATAAGATATTTAGATTTTATTTATTTAGCATTTTATTTATTATTCATATTTTGTTTTGTAAAAATAATAGTACTTATCATAAATTGTTAAACAATTATCTTATGAGAATAGTTTAAATAAATAAATTAATGTAAAGATAGAGAATTAATAATTTAAAGTAATTCTTTATTGAGGAATATAAACAGCTCATAGCTAATTTTGTTGATTTGGTTCTTCGGATAAAAGCATTTAGAAAAGAGGTAGAATATTTTTACGCACTGGGGTTCGGGATAAATAAAAATTCTACCGGAGTACAACTTAAAACTGTATTCAACACTTAGAACACATGAAATACTCAACAAATACTTTAAAACTCTCAATTCGCTTCTTTCGCTTCGCTTCAGGTGATCCGTTCGCTGTTTCGCTTCGAGTAGTTCCGATTACTGACTGCGTGCCTTCTCTGCAACACTTTTATAGCCGATACCACATTCCTAGAATGATCGAGAACATTCCACACATTTCTAGTATTGTGTTTCCGCTATTTGACAATAAATGGCGTTGTACTTCTCGGACGTTCTAGGTGCTACTAGATCCTTCGATATTCGTTCGACTATTCGGCGATAGATGGCGTTACTCGTACCGGCGTAACAATATCTATTCCAGTTAAAGTTATAGTACACGTAGAGAATAGCGTACATAAAGTATATTATGATAAGAAAGATATGACTCACTCACGTGTGTCGTTGAGTTGTGGCGGCGCGTCCGCCGGTGGAAGCTGGGCGTTTGCTGAGCTCGCCATCACCAGCAGCGCCAGCGCCACCAACGCCACCAAGCTCATCGCACCGGCCAGCACATTGTGGGCTTACTATAACAAAAAGAAATAAAAAAAAGTACACAGTTCACACATCATTAAAAGTATGCTTATAAAATTATCAAGTCGTCGTGGCTTAAAGGATTAGACGTCCGGTGCTTTCGTATCAAGCGATGCAATTCGAATTCAGCAGGCATAACATCTATACATATAAATAAAATTGGACTGTCTGTTTGTAACTGTCTGACTGTTTGTTTGCATAGGCAGCGGCTTGGCTCTGCCCCTGGCATTGCTGAAGTCCATGGGCGACGGTAACCACTCACCATCAGGTGGGCCGTATGCTCGTCTGCCTACAAGGGCAATAAAAAAAAAAAAATATGAATATATATACGGTACATACACCAAAATAACATTTTTTACAATTTTTGTCTGTCTGTTTGTTCCGACAAATCTCTGGAACGGCTGAACCAATTTTGACGATATTTTAGACTAGCTTCGCCCCGCAGCGTCACCCGCGGTACGACAATAACCGCGGGTAGCATCGCGGGACTAAGCTATCAATAATAAAATTTAATGTTTCCGAAGCGAAGCGAGGGCGGGTTACCCCCCTCGACCGGGTATCCGTAAATGGATTCCTCAGCGTTAAAAAAAAGGGCTAGTGTTAAAAATTCTACAAACTGCAAGTCTGTGGAACATTTTGGAACTGAATAGAAATTAGAGCAGCGACTAGTATCTTTAAAATGAAGCAACAACGTGAAACGAAGCTTGCAGCTGCTTTGAAAGTAAATTAATTAAACATTACGTATTTTTTAGTAAAAGAAATAATAATATTTTACAATGACTGATAAGTATCGCGATTTGTAGTATATTTTATTATCTTACAGGGCCATCGCCCCTTGCTTAAAAGTAACCTACATTTTGCATTTATGTTGAATACGTAATTAAAATTATTACATCAGCGCTAGAATTAGCAGTTGTTCGGTTTTTTTTTAAATATTTGAGTGAACGAGCTCACAGCTCATTTGCTTTTAAGTGATTACTGCAGTCTATACAGTAAGATGTCTTCAACACATTGAGATATGAGATCCCAATTGTTTATTATAACAGCTGTCCTACTCTTCGAACCAGAACGCACTATCCATATCAGAAATACGTAGTATGGTAGTACCTATCTAGGACTTAAAAGACACCTTACCACCACTACTATCATTTCCGTTTTTCTGAAACTCATATGATCCATTAGGTAGTTTTATTGGTTGCAGGGCGTATTCTGAGTACGGACGGGTGCCTGCCTACCACGATCATCCTGCTTCCAATGGCAACATTTAAATGCATTTAAGCCAGAACAACCGTTATCATATACAACCGAAACTTCGAATCTTACGGCCTGGCCACGGGGATCGGCGGTGCGAACAGCGAAGCGGTGGGCGAGGCGACCATTCGCGCAGCACCGTTTGCAGGCCACGGGTACTCACGTTCGCCGCCGCGACTAGTAAGGAAGTCCGACAGCGAAATGTCTATATCGAAATTATCTCGATATTGCTTACAAATTAATAGTTTTTTGGTTCAGGACCTATTATTTNTTTTTTTTTTATTGCCTTTGTAGGCAGACGGGCATACGGCCCACCTGATGGTGAGTGGTTACCGTCGCCCATGGACTTCAGCAATGCAAGGGGCAGAGCCAAGTCGCTGCCTACCGCTTAATACTCTCCACAAGCCTCGTTTGAAGAAGGACATGTCATAGCGCTCGGGAAACACCGTGGAGGGGAGCTCATTCCATAGCTTAACACTGGGTTAGTTGGGATATCATCTACTCCACTCTATCTTGTAAGATAGACATTGTTAATGGCATTTGGGTTTCGCAAAAATGTGCCCGCCCTATTATCTTTTCGTAAACATTTAATATTTAATTTCGTCCCGCAAATCTATATTCTATATCTATACATATAAAAATGAATTGCTGTTCGTTAGTCTCGCTAAAACTCGAGAACGGCTTGACCGATTTGGCTAATTTTGATCTTGAATTATTTGTGTCCGTTGAAGTCCGGAGAAGGTTTAAAAGGTAGATAAATATAAAAATGCTCTGAATTAAATAAAAATAACAATTTTGTTTTTCCTTTGATTTGTCCCCCCCCCCCGTCGGACGGATTCCTTTTGTTTGTTTTAAGTTTATTTTATACAAAAGTTTAGGTCTTTTATTTATCGATTGAGGCACTACGAAGTCTGCTGGGTCCGCTAGTTTTTTATAAAACTAGACATCACCAAACGGTAAAGCGATGCTTACACCAGGTGGTCTTGGAAACCAGTTACAAAAGCTTACATGTTTTTGTCCGAATCAGCACCTAGTTATGTTAAATATTTGGCCAGTTAATTATCATGTTTACTGTGCCGATTTGGGTCAGGTCTCGTTCGGAGAGCGGTAATACTACGACCGGCTTGCAAATCAGTTGACATTGGCATTCGATAACGATATCGAACACATCGATACACATGATCATTACATATGTGTTTGTTTAAATATGAACTGCGGATGCAGTGTGTTGTTTATGTTGGAGATGAGTCATTTTGTTTATTGGTTTTCTCGTTTCTTATGAGAACTACTTAATGATCCGAGGAATTGCTTAAATTTTAAGGTCGCGCTAAACTTCAGTATCTTTTCTGCAGTCTTCCCGAAATGTTGTTTAGGGAGTTATTACATTAATACCACTTTAAAGATTACAAATTGACTTCTTTTGGCTCACGGGCTTCTTTTTTACTGGTGGTAGGACTTCTTGTGAGTCCGCGCGGGTAGGTACCACCGCCCTGCCTATTTCTGCCGTGAAGCAGTAATGCGTTTCGGTCTGAAGGGTAGGGCAGCCGTTGTAACTATACTGAGATCTTAGAACTTATATCTTAAGGTGGGTGGCGCATTTACGTTGTAGATGTATATGGGCTCCAGTAACCACTTAACACCAGGTGCGCTGTGAGCTCGTCCACCCATTTAAGAAATAAAAAAATAAAAGCCACATTTCGCTTAATACGCGACATTTATCTTTTTACTTAAAGGTCCGTTTTACTTGGTATTAGTATCAAGAACTCGATGTTTTTAATTGAACTTCAACTATGTTTACTCCATTCAAATAGCTGAAGAAGTTTTTTTTGTTATGATATTTATCCAAATTTTAGACTTTAAATCAAGAATATAACGAGTAAAATTTAAATATCATATGTAATAATTTAAGTAGTAATCTTTTATAATAATCAAAATCATTATTCTGCAAACGTCACACATTGGTGGTAATCATATTATGAATATTTATCTGGCATTATGAATCTGCTGTCGGATTCATAGACAATTAACCTAGATTGGACAAGTTAAATACCATTCCTCGCTAACGATGTCTGGAGGCGGATTAATTAATTAAGACACTACTAATTCGCACGTTCTTGGGTTGATCCATAATTCAGTTTTTATTTTAAATAATAATTTATAGCCGTATCCATATATTGGTTATTGGGTTTGATATATTCGTATATTGGTTTAATAGCTATATCCACCCAGTTACGGGTATCACTACATAGTATAAAGCAAAGTCGCTTTCTCGGTCCCTATATCCCTATGTATGCTTAAATCTTTAAAACTACGCAACGGATTTTGATGCGGTTTTTTTTAATAGATAGAGTGATTGAAGAGGAATGATTAAATATATAATAACATCCATTAAATAGTGGAGAAATCAATAATAAATTACAGTCTCCGAAGCGAAGCGAGGACGGGTCGCTAGGTTAACAATAATTTACAAGCAGAGCGTAAATGTGTATGTTACGGATATTGTCTCTAGGTGAGGAATGAATGCAATGTACCTGAATGAACTACTTTGTCACAGTTCTAGAGAAACTAACAAAGGTATGGAACCAGGAACAAACGTGGTGGAAAGGCGGCTACCGTAGGTACAACGACCAGTTTAAAGTCAGTGTGCGCGAGTCTATTACTCGTTAGTACTAAGTCGCGGTGAAAGTTGCCGGTGACGCACTTTTGTATTCACGCAACTCACGGGCGCGAGTAATTTACGTTACCATTGTAATGAGGCCTCCCTCGCCTTGCCCATCAATTTAACCGTTATATTATAGATGAGATTCCAATTGAATGTTGACAGGTCAAGATATATTTGTCGTTGTGTAAGATAAATCGTTGGTCGTGGCTCCAGCCGAATGTACGTCCGATCTGCCCAGACATGCGGGTTTCGATTCGTGCCTAGCATCCGGAATACATTTTTTTTATCTCATAAATAATAAAATGGACATTATTATTACAGTTTATGAAGTAATTCATTGTTCAGTTTAAATTAAAGTATAATTACTACTGTTCACGTAATCGATAAACTACGAGAAAAGCTTTCTGCATCCCGCAGGTCTTGTTTTATGATTTTGAAATATTCATCAGTCAATTTTTGTAAGTCGTCTTCATTTTGATCATCTCCGGGGCTATTTATTATTGCTTCCTGTTCCATGCGTGCTCTTAAATTAATTTCTTTTAAGCGGTTGTCTAAAATATGTTCTCGCCGCGTTTCACGTTCATACGTTTGCATCATAAGATGTTTGTCATTAAAATCTGGTGTTGTCATATTTTCAGATAAATGTAATAGGTACAAAGCCCCGAAGCTATCTCCCACAGCTACCGATTCACCATCAGAATACGGAGTAATTTTCGTAAGTTCATTCTGGGATAGTTTCAAAGCGGTCAAAGGTTCTTTGTATTTACGTAGAAAATCCCAATAGTAGAATTTTCCATTCTTGCACACTACCATGTAGCTAGAAAATCGAAGTGGCGCCCAAGTAGCGTCAGTTACTTCGTACCGATACGGTCTCGTGACTATTATAGGAGCTGTATGCACTTCTTCACTCCACACACGAACCGAATAATCGCCGCAAGTAAGGAACATTCGTGAAGTACAATTACTTCGTTGAACGGTTCTAACGGGACCCGAATGAGCTTCCCAATACGAAGGCAAAGTTTCTGAATGAGTTCTTCCCATGCGATTCACGTTTAAAACTAAGCCTGACTCAGTTCCACACAAAAATCTTGTTGATAGAGAAGAGTTAAATTCCATTGAAGAAATACCTTCAGCGTTACCTATGTTTGGATTCTCATTAGGTCTTAGTTTTATTGACATTATTAGACAATCTATTGGTTGATTAAGATTTCTTACATCCCACCATAAACACTGACCGTCTAGAGAGCCAGTGAAAAATTCGGTTTGTGTTCTAGAATGTGTATAAAGCAATGCTGTGATTGGTCCACGATGTGAATTATAAATAGAAGTTTGTGAAATAGGTTTTTTGCCCTCACGAATGTCGAATAAATTTACTATACCATTTTGTAGGCCTGCGATGACTTGTTCGGGATTTAATGTGGAACATGCTAATTGCCAACAAGCTTCCTCCGGAGTTATTTCATGTGCCGGGATCGTTTGTCGATTTAGATCCCAGAAGAAACATGAATTATTTTCATGAGTAGTTCTGGGGTCACTATACGCAACTACAAGCTTTGGTTTCTTTTCGTTTGTCCATTGAATGCAACTAATAGGTCGCGAAGAGGGATCACGGAAAACATTCGCTATTTTTACATCGTATTTCTCGACAGGCTTTTGCGACTCCATATCGCAGAAGTAGGCTTGGTATAATTCGATTGCGTTGTTTTGATCTAGATAATGATTCATTACAGGCGCTAGGTTCAGTACAGTGTGTACGTAGTTATCGTCGTGCATAACGCGACGGCGATGCCGATTTACGTGGTCTTCGTTGTAAATGTGCACCTCACGGGGCCATCCACCTTCAGTGTGGTTAATGCCTTGTTCGTGAACTACCACGGGCTCAGTGTTCGTTTCGTTTTCCGACTGCGCCATTGTTGATTGCACTAGACGGTGCACGGGATTCCGCAACATATATTGTTTTTGTTCGTCTTTGTTTGGTATAATGGAATCTACAATATGGGCTGGCACTTTTTGAAATAATGTCTGCCTTCCGAAGTTTTTCCGGAGTTTTGTATAGCCATAATCTGATTTAATATAGGAAAACATAAGTTTTCAATTTATTTCAGTAATAACGTGTAAAAATAGTATGTTTATGACAGATTTCACCATTAGATCAACTTGGCCGTGCCTTGAAACCAGTCAACGAGTATTATTACAATACCAAGTGTGACTAACACGTCACGATTACTTAGAAACACATGTGTCCTTGGACCGTTAGGTATCGCTTTATTACACAATACAACGTCTAAATAAATCTTAAAAATGAGAATAATAATTGATGGTTTGAGCTTTCAAAGATTCCATTAAATTTCGAATGTTCGAATTGTGCCGTTTTGACCAGGAAATGTCGTAACAATATTGTCGAAGGCAGAGTTGTTATGCAGACTGCATAAATATGCATTGAGAACATACGTACATAAATTATTATGGCAATAACAGCTAGCGAGAAGCGAGACTCGGTGTTACAACTGCTGTGTGCTTGCTTATACACTCTACTTACTACTGTTTCAACATCATAATGTTTGTTTATAAAACAATACAATTATTGTATGGTTCTAAAGCACTTGATAAGCAGGGGAGCGTTCGGTACTATTCTTAGGTTTGTACTTAAAATTTTGCGTTGCGTTGAACTTAAAATCTATATCTGAAAAGACTTAAAATTGCGGGTGTCAACATATTATTATCGATACCAAATCAGGCGTTTAAACATCAGTCGTAAACATTAAATTGTAAAAAAATGCGGTCGATCAAATAAAAGTACTAACTTCGTGCATTGTTTTGGCAAGAGTCAAGAGCCGCATAAAATATTAATGAATTAACTTTCTTACCATAAAATACGAACACCGTTTACTTCACCGGTATCGCACAAATGCTATTTAACATCACATGTTTTGATTCCACACTGTTCAGATTATCGCATCACTTATTCGTCGCATTCAATGGTGTCGTTGGTCTGTCACGATTTTGGCACAACACAATATTTTGAGTCACGTTTAGAAATCTGAAATCGTGGATGGTGCGCGCGCGCGGCGTACGCTCATTGAAGCGGTCGTCACTCGAGTGAGTGGCCGGACGAACTGGCAAAGGAAGGCGCGTGACGAACTCGCGGTAGTACTCGTTGTGCAGTAGTAGTTGTTGTCGACTAAAGACTGGTTTCATTTATGAGTTCCTTGACAACCGGTGGAAGGCTGATGAATGATTATTATACACTTTACTTTTGTTGGTCTTAACAGTTCTCCGTCAAATGACATATGGTACAACGTTTACTGTTTCCTGTTCTTTTAAATCGGTGACCTATCTTTGAAGTTATCAGAAAGAAAATATTACATAACTTTGGGGCTCGGTAGTTCCGTAGTAGTTTGGATTTTTTCCTGAAGTTAATCGAGTAAGAATGCTAAAAAAGAATTAAAGACTTTAGGGACATTGTTGGCGATGTAGGCCAATGGCTGCGATAATGCCTGTGTCACGACACCGCGTGCACCGCCTAGTACCTAGTACTCTACGAAAGCGACGTGTTTCGCTAACAACGCGAACGTGCACCGGACTAATTCTCGCCGTATTTTGTGGAACAATAACATTTAGTAGTTTCAGTTTAGTGAGTTTCAGTCCATTGTTCGAATTCCGTAGCCAGAAGGTAAAAGCGGAACTATTTAGTTTTGTCATATCCGTAGGTTCTAAAAGCTATTCTACTCGGTAGATAGGTAATTGTATAAAATTGATAAATTTTCGAAATTAGGTACCTAGATAGGTATATTGTTAACTGCTATGAAATGTTCTAAAATTTAAAAAGTTGATTTTAGGGGCAAGAATCTAGGCAAGCTAGAAACGTTAGATCTGTAGTGAATGTTATCATAACATCCTTCTCCAAGCGACATTTAAAAATTCCTTGATGGCAGGTAGCAGCTTGGCTGTGGCCTTGGCATTGCTAATGTCTATGAGGTCAGATGTACGCTTGTCAATGTCAGTAATAAAAACAATTCGAAGATTTCTATCTTTTTTAATTAGATAAATTTAGTTTTAAAACTTCGCAAAATGAAGGTCGGTGAGCTTAAAAGAAGTTTTAAAAGAAATCTTTAAAAAAATATGTGCATCGATATTATTTTTGGAAATGAGATATTTTCATGCGTACTATCCGCATCTTTAAACAGAATGTTGTATCGAATCCGGCTTAAATAGAAAAATATTATAGAATATCGTGAAATTAAATGAATTTCATTAAAGTAGTCATAGTCAAGGGTTAAACGGCATAATTGCTCTAATGACGGTCTTTCAAATTCAGTCGTACCTTCAGTTGATTGCTAATTGACCCGAGCCTGGCCTTGTGCTCATAGCATGGCATATCTGTCAACTTAATCAGTCACAGTGTCGGTTATTCAATTTATAAGGTTTTTATTGAAGTTTTGCGATTACACCTCTCGTTTGTTCGTGACTGATTATAAAACCAATCGAATTATGTTTTATGTATTAATAACCCTTTACAATAAATACAATTGCCCTGTGAAGTTTTTCAACATTTTTTAAAAATCACTTTAATAATAAAAACAATCTTCTTGTTCTTTCGTACATTAATTTCCTAAACCCAGTTGATATTAAAACAGGGCAGTGCAATAATTATATGAGTGTAAGCTCTAATTAGCGTGCTTCTATTAAATTATAATGAGGTACCTACTCAGATTGTTGGTCTCTGGTTGTTGTAATTGTACGATTAACTGTGTTAGCGCATGCAGATTAATAATTAAAAGAGGTCGTGTATACGATTGGTCACGTGCAATCACAGGACCTATGACAATGGGCTTGCCCAATAAACGTTTTTATCGATTGCGTTGTTGGGTGAATGGGCTCACTGCCTGTTGGTGTACAGCGGTTATTGGAGGCCATGGGCATAGCAACGTTAATGCCGTAAGCCACTTAGAAATGGACGAAATTTTTAATGGTAAAAAAAATAGGGTAGTAAGACGTCTTGAAACGCATGACTGCTTCGTGGAAGAAATAAGCAGGATGGTGGTATCTACCGTTCAGGTTTAGAATTTGCCCTACCACTAGTCAATGCCAGTTGTTGATTGCATTATACGTTGCTGCTGGTGTTAATACTCGGAGAACTCTCATTCGTCGGTGAATCTCTAAATCGCCTTTTATGACACCCACGAAAAGAAATTTGGGTTGTGCTATTCTAGGTCGACGCCACACAACCAAGGTTTACGACGAAAGGAAGATCTTCCACCGAGCGGGTGATATTTCTCGATAGACCGACTGTCCGAATGTTGTTCGGAACTTGTGTACATATATGCATACTTTTCTTGAAAATGTCGTAAGTGAGATTTAGGCATATGCCATATATCTTGTGTTGTATGATGCCTACCGCTATAATTTAAAAGTTCTAACTTCAATTATTGTGTTGATAATTGTATCAGAAGCATTAAAAACGACGTGAAGGCATCGAAACATTGTTTCGAATATTTTTCTAAACGCTATTTCAAATTACTTAGATTATTTAGGAACAGATAATATTTACTAGAACTATAACATTTTTTTTGTGAATATTCTGTCAGCAAATTGATTTAACCATTCAACTGATAATACTCTGTAAATAACAAGTGCCTACAAAAGCTGACCTCATAGATGTATTTCTGAAAGCGAACAATAGGCTCGTGATATATCGACGCATTGCCACAGTCTTCATTTTGCGCAAATGAATGAATTCTTTGTAGACACAATGGACAATGAAGCGTGCTCGAGCCGGAGTAGGAATGAAGACGATTTGAAAGAATAAAAAAAAACGATTGTCTTAAAGTATTTCAAGTACTTGGTCTACATGATATTACTAGTTTTTTGCGTTACGAGAAACTAGAGATATAATCAATTGTTTAATTCAAACTAAAGAAACTGGATCTTTTAAAGTATGAAGAATATGGTGATGGTATCTGAAACAAGACTGGGCAGTTGAGTTATTGATAAAATCTCAAAGTATTCTTTAGCAAAATATTATTCGCGGCAGAAAAAAACGAACTCACCAATAACTGTTGATTCATTTAAATCGGAGATAAAGAAATTTAATTTAATGAGAGATGAATCATAAAACTTATTTATGCTTCACGACGTAGTCAATAATATTATTAATGACGAAGGTAAACAACTGTAAGGAAAATATACACAGCAATTATAGAATTATTAGATTTTTGGCGTCAATTTTAATGTGTATAAGAAATGTAGAATTTGTATTTCATCGATAATTGTAAGTGGTAGTGATAGTGAATAAAAACATTACGTGGAAAATCCTGACGTAATAAATTTGTATCCCGACATAAATTAAAGAAGTTGAATACGACTATTTATCTATTTGTCACGTTTATCAACTGATGGTATGCAATATGTTATTTTAGGAAAAGACACAAGTATATAACACTTATGGTTTATTTACGTGATACACACTGTTAGAAGTCGTCGTGGCCTAACGGATAAGATATCCGGTGCATTCGTATTGAGCGCGATGCACCGGTGTTCGAATCTCAGGCGGGTACCAATTTTTCTAATGAAATACGTACTGAACAAATGTTCAATAACCCGCAAAATTATAATTTGCGTAATCACTGGTGGTAGGACCTCTTGGGAGTCCGCACGGGAAGGTACCACAACCCCGCCTGTTTCCGCCATGAAGCCGTAATGCGTTTCGGTTCGAAGGATGGGGTAGCCGTTGTAACTATACTGAGATCTTAGAACTTATATCTCGAGGTGGGTGGCGCATTTACGTTGTAGATGTCTATGGGCTCCAGTAACAACTTAACACCAGGTGGGCTGTGAGCTCGTCCATCCATCTAAGCAATAAATAAAATAAAAATCTTGGGAAACAAGGATACATATTGACGTATGTAGTAACCAAAATCCCAATCCAGTTCCTTGGACGCTGAAATGAGTAAAGGTTTATAGTTTTATTGACCTTGCGCTCGGTACGGTCCCAGCGTAATTGGGCCTTTGTATCTCGGATCAGTCCAATAACTCAGCCGCCTTGACAATACTGACCGTTTCTTGTTTCTGTATCACGTTTATTTGCGTTTCACGCTATAAAACGTCGGGGATTACTTTGCGATTTAGATTTAAAACGCCTGTTCTTGGGTATCGCAATAACTTCATGAGTTGGGACATTTGATTGGTTTTAGGTAGATCAAAAAATAATTAGTTAAAAGCATTTCAGCAGAAATTTCAAAAAAGCGGAAGTATTCGGGTTTGGGGTCTTCTTATTCTTTTTTGCCTTTCGCGGTTGAGACGATGGGCCCTTGGAGCCCTGAAGCAAAGAAATTTTTATCAGAAATCTCCAAACGCTTGAAGGAGGTTACACGTGATGCTAAGGCTGGCTGGTACTTTGCACAGAGAGTGAGTCTGGCTGTCCATCGAGGTAACGTAGCCAGTATCTTGGGAACTGTGCCTCCTTCAAGCGCATTGGAAGATTTGTTCTACTTTATGAATTAATTTATGTTAAATTATTTTGATTTGTTATTTATTAATAAAGAACACTTCCAAAGTAGCATTTATGAATATAGAATTTGTTACGTGCTCTACTCAAATATACTAATAGATATTCCGTTCCTATTTAAAAATATGATAATTTGAAAACTATCTTTCTGAACTTCGACAACATTTTCGAACAAATGTCGTAAAATCAAATATACATATAGGTATGTACGTCACCTATACGCTGAACACAAATGAAATCTTAGGAAAAAATGCCGAACAAATTATAAAGGTTCAAAAAGATTCGATTGTTAATTAACGAATTTTTCGCATTTATAATTATGTGCCCTAATTTCGAAAATATTCCACATCGATGCGGTCATATTTCAACCGTTCCCTTCATGAAGCAGCGAAAACGCTCCTATATCTCTCTCTGGAGATTTGAAACCACAACATCCACGTGATTTATGCGAAGTTCGGATGCCATTAATCATGCGTTGTCAATTGGAAAGCGTCCCATTTTCTTTAGAAGATATTTGCGGTTCTTCAGAAGTAAGTATCGAAGTGTCTTCCGGCAAGTTTATCTGTTGACGTTCAGTTTCTTTACAAACTTGCAGCAGAGACTTCCGATTCCGCAATCCTAATCGATAT